AAAATTATCTCCCGATTTACAAAAGAAATGGTTTGACACTATGAAAGACGAATTAAAGTCTATTGAAGAAAGACAAGTATGGACTTTGGTGGATCCTCCTAAAAATCAGAAACCAGTCAAGTGTCGATGGGTTTTCGCTATTAAAAGCGATGGTCGTTACAAAGCTCGTCTTGTGGCAAAAGGCTTTACACAAGAATTCGGTACCGACTTTGAAGATACCTTCTCTCCAGTGGCTAGATTCGAAACTGTTCAAATCTTACTCGCCTTTGCTGCCCAACAAAATTGGGAAATGGAAGCCCTGGATGTTAAAACTGCCTTTTTATATGGCAATCTTGATGAAGAAATCTATATGGAACAACCAGAAGGTTTCAAAGTTTTGGGTCAGGAACACAAGGTTTATCGGTTGCTTAGAGCCCTTTATGGCTTAAAGCAAGCTGCGTTGGCATGGAATAAAGCCCTTCATCAATCTCTACTCGCAATGGGCTATATTCAATCTAAAGTGGATGCTGGGATTTATATCCACACTTCCAAGGCTGGAATTGTTATTTTCCTTGTCTATGTCGACGATGGACTCTTTCTAGGATCGGACAAACATCTTCTTAAAGCCAAGAAAGAACAATTTATGAAGAAATGGGAATCTCGCGATCTTGGAGAAGTCAAGGAGTATCTTGGCATTCAAATCCATCGCAGTCGATCCAAAAAGGAACTTTATCTCGATCAAATACCTTATGTCAAAAAGGTTATCAAAAGGTTTAATATGGAGACTGCTCGAAATGTTCGCACTCCATTACCTTCGGGATATCAACCAGAAAAAGCACCATCAGACTATCAAGCCACATCTTCTCTTCGGTCCCAGTACCAGTCAATCATTGGGTCATTGCTTTACATGGCTCTTGGTACTCGTCCTGATATTGCCTATGCGGTTATTCGCATGTCACAATACATGGCAAATCCTACCGAAGAACATCGAAATAAAGCCTTGCATATAGTTCGCTATATTGCATCTACTCCAAAACTGGCTTTATATTATTCGGGACTTGAATCTCGAATTTATGGCTTTGCGGATTCTGATTGGGCTTCTAATAAAGACACACGTCATTCTACCACCGGCTATGCTATGTTCCTTGGATCATCCCTTATTTCTTGGCGCTCTTGGAAACAGAAGACAATCGCGCTCTCCTCAACAGAAGCTGAATACATGGCTCTCTGTGACGCTGCACGTCAAATCAAATGGCTTTCTATGCTATTTGATGAACTAAAACTCAAGACCGAGAAAACTATTCTCTACTGCGATAATATGGGAGCTCGCTTCATTGCTGAGAATCCTGTATCAGACAGTCATTCCAAACATATTGACATCCAATGGCACTTCATTCGCGAATGTGTTCAAGATAATTTGTTCAGTATTGAATATGTTCAAACTGACAAACAAAAAGCAGATGGTCTTACAAAATCTTTGACGTGGCAAAAATTTGAGTCGAATCGCTCGTCAATGGGACTTGTTACACTCCCATTTTAGAGTGAGGGGGAGTGTTGGAAATATTACTATATGTTCCGATGTCTAGATTGATCCAGATTTACACGTGCATCAACACATTGTTTATCACATGACATTCCTTAGCAATCAGCTCCACAATGATGTCATATTGACGTCATACTATACATCATATTCCATGACCTTCTGCGCTATTCCTTACTATACTGAGTAGTAGTTTCCTTTTACGCTCTTGGTCCGTGCGTACCTACTCATGTATATAAACTCAGGGATTTCTTACTCGATCCCTATCGAATTCCACATTCGTTCTTCACTTGTCTACTCGACAACTGAGCCCTTCAAGAATAACAAGCTTGACTTTCAAACGCTACAACAGTTCTGAATAAAAGGCAAGTGTTCGTGCCTAGCTCTTCGTTACTACCGTTCCTCTGCGCAATAGTAGTCCACTGTAACTTACTGGCTGTTGAGAACCTGACATCACCGTCGAGTATTGCCACATGTTCCACATGCGAAAGGACGTACATGATGAACGGAGTCCCAATGTACCGAGTCTCATGTATTTCACTAAGAAATCCCAAAATTGAGGCTTCGATTCATTTCAGACTTACGATCAGATATATGGCTGAGGCAACCGACATATACTTGTTCTGTTAATGCATCAGGACGTAGCAAAGTGAAGGGATAGCTGAATTACTTAAATATAATCGACCTTTCACAAAGAGGCTGTAATAAGTGGCCAGTAATATTGAGCGGCGTTTCAATAACACTAACCTCTTCCTCCAAAGCAAGAACTGGTCATGAATATCAGGTTTAAGCACTACCAGGAAGCAGAAGGCTCACCATAATCGTACATCATAATAATGGGCGGTACCACTATAACCTGCGTCAGTGCCGAGACCTGAGGATCGGATGACTCTGGTAATCTACCTTCCAAGAATCTGATCATTTGAACCGTCCATGCCCGGGAGAGATACTGTAAACTGGGTGTTGTGGCCATGGTTAGCGACTGGGGCAAAGCAGGCGTTGACTACAGGATATCTGAAAAGCCTGTGGTATAAATACTACTCGCCATACTTTCGGATATGGGTTCGGTCTCCTTCGTTGGCCATCTTCCACGAAGTTGATACGCGCCCTCGAAGTTGGATACTGAACACCCCCAGAGGTTTATCAACATCTGTTGGAAAGATATGGGTAGCCAAAACTCGCGTTCTCAGCAGTGCCTCCGCTCTAAAACACTGTTCTTCTGTAGATAGCACACTTAGCCCACCCGATCGTGAATTCCAAGGCCGTGAGGTGGCCATCTCAACATCAAGGTCCTACAGCCTTGGATAAGCAGAATTTTGCAATTCGTGGAACACGTTCCCTGGTTCGCCCGCAAGAATTCTTCTTCTTCCTTTCGGCAAATCCAAAATCCCCGTGTAATCTTTACAAACACAACCATATCACACGAAGAACACTGCAAAATAGCGTAGTATTATTATCAGCCCTGTTATCAGATGCTGGTTAAGTGCTGGTCAACTGACCGTAAACAGAAAGTTGCACGCAAGAGCCGAACAGCTGCGACCAACCCTGCCGGTGATTAACTGACTTGTGGGAGGCATACAAGCCAACAATGTAGTCATCAATTACAGTGATAACCACAACAGCAGGATTCGCAACCAAGACTGCTCCCAGTGTCGATACGACCTTTGGGTCTTCAGCATCAGTTTGGTGTAATGGCGGCGTCGAACTTTCACTTCTCGGATCTTGAGACGCTGCTCCTCCGGATCCGATGTTACACAGTAAGCTTCTGGATATTACTGCCTGGCGAGCATGATCTCAAAGTCCATCAGCAGCAACAAACAGGTAACCAGCTCATGAATGAATTTCACAATCCTTACGTCCATCAGAGATGCTCTGCCTCAAGGCTCAAGGACTTCAGAGTTTACCAACTGAGGTGGAGTCGGCTGGATGTCGGATCAGCAGACGTGCTGCAACAGCGCTGTGCGACATGTGAAAAACAGACGACGATACAGGTTGGTAAATAACTCTTACGTCGCAAACGGAAATTAGGGAGCGATCTCGATTCTACCGAACCCTCTCGAGACTGTCACCGGGAGATTTCTACTCCGTATGCAAGTAGTCACTCCACAGAGGGTCTGAAAGGGCCCACAGCATCCACGTTAACCTACTTTTTATTGTGGTATCAATAGCGGTACCTGGCATGACTCGTGATTCCACTCCTTTTTTCAAGTCTTCGGTGAACGAGTCAAGGGAGGTAGTAGAAAGTTGTGTGATGTGTGATTGTAGGAGCGTGAGACCGGAGACACCGGTGACTGAAGCCGGCATGACCTCTCCGCAGAGTGAAAGCACAACATTATTCACTTGGCGAAGGACCTGGAGTATCAATGCCTCGATGCGGTCCACCCCAATGTTGCTTGGAATTTCCTACTTATCATACAGTGTAAGCGTCGCAACTGCTGGTTGAAACGATACTCACGCCATCTGCCAAGTACTGGTACCGGATTCGGCATGATCATCAATGTTCAAAATATCGGTGTCTGGGTCGGGACCCACATATTGTAATCTACAGCACTGTTTGAGCACCAAGTATGTCTGGCCACGACGACAGGATCTCGGAAAGAGTTGTCTGTCCTTTCTGCGAGGTTTTTTTTTTTTTTTCTTCGTTGCTTTAAGTGCTTGAGAGTCTAGTGACCCTATGTTGCACTATACAGGCGCGGTATTAGCTTATCTAGTATGGCCCCCTGTGGCCTGCCTGATCCCACAAGCGAGTGAATGCCCTGGTGGCAAGACCTTTGGCCCCCCACCAGTCCGCCGTTCCCGCCGGCCGTTTTAGACACTCCGCCTTGGAGTGTTCCTGCGAGGTTGGATTTGCTAAGGAAAAGAATCGAGTCTAAGTCCAGAACGGACAGATCTTTGCAGAGCAGCTTCCATGCTTCGCTATTCATTTCTGGTAACTGAAGTGATCAGAAAGCATTGGTTGGACGAGGTAACGGAGACTGGCGAGTTGTTAGCTGGGCCTTAGGCCTAGTGAAGACTTACGGCTTTCCAAAGGGCTATGGGATCGCATACCTAATGCCAGCATGCCCTGTTCTTTCAAGCGAAGCCTGAGTCGTGCAGATGACAACTCAGGCCCTTGCAAATGCGTCGGTAAGGGTCGGATGACATTGGTACTTGCTTCTGACCGATCTCTTTGGGATCATATGAACGTCGACTCACCGTCGTGACTGAAGCAGGTATTTGGGAGGAAGTCGACGCAGGCAGAAGAGACGTATGAATGACCTAGTGACATTTTCGTCAGTGCCCTCCCGCTTCCATCCTTCCTAAACTCTACCCGTTGGACACTGGAGCAGGTCGTCTAACGTCGCGGTACTAAATCAAGTTAGTCTGCCAACGTTCCAATACCTTTGTGAATAACGCAACTGATGCTACTGCATTAGCATCAGTACTCGGCAGTTCCTTTCACTCGAAGTTCTGACTCGAGAGTTTGCATCCAACTTGGATTTTCGACGCCAAGAGAGAATAAGATTTCTAAAGGAAATGCGATATGTAACATACAAGTTGGCTCTGCGTGATTATTCGATGCAAATACTACAGCGTACTACCAAATGCAAGTCGTTGATCCATGAAGGCATAGCGGAATCAATGAGTCGAGTCCTTTAGTCAACCTCCTCGACTGATGGACCGTCCTCGCTAGCTCCAGGGAAGCCGCCAGGCGCAGCACCACCGCCGGGGAAACCACCAGCACCAGGGAAGCCGCCTGGTGCTCCACCAGCAGCACCGTACAGCCTCTGCATAATTGGGTTGGCGACAGCCTCCAACTCCTTTTGCTTGCCATCGTACTCCTCCTTCGAGGCTTCCTGTGAGCTGTCGAGCCAGCTGATGGTCTCGTTGATGGCGGTTTCGAGTTTCTCCTTGTCGGCAGGATCAAACTTGCCGGCAAGCTTATCGTCATTGATGGAGTTGCGGAGGTTGTATGTGTACGACTCGAGACCATTCTTGGACTGGATACGGGCGGCCGCGGCCTCATCCTCGGCTGTAAGCAAGTGTTGTTAGCAACGACAGTCGTGCTCAGCAGTCGAGGATACCTACCCCTGTACTTCTCGGCCTCCGAAACCATGCGTTCGATTTCGTCCTTCGACAGACGACCCTTGTCGTTGGTGATGGTGATACGGTTCGACTTGCCGGTAGTCTTGTCGGAAGCCGAGACGTTCAAGATACCGTTAGCGTCGATATCGAAGGTAACCTCAATTTGAGGAACGCCACGAGGAGCAGGAGGAATACCAGTGAGCTCGAACTTGCCGAGCAGGTTGTTGTCCTTTGTCCGCGCACGTTCACCCTCGTACACCTGAATCAAGACACCGGGCTGGTTATCCGAGTATGTGGAGAAGATCTCAGACTTCTTCGTCGGGACAGTCGTGTTGCGCTTGATGAGAGGCGTCATGACACCGCCGGCTGTCTCGATACCAAGCGACAAAGGAGCGACGTCGAGAAGCAGGAGATCCTGAGTCTTCTCCGAAGTGTCACCGGAAAGGATAGCGGCCTGGACAGCGGCACCGTAGGCAACCGCCTCGTCGGGGTTAATGCTTTTACAGGGCTCCTTGCCGTTGAAGAAGTCGGAGACGAGTTTCTGGATACGAGGAATACGGGTGGATCCACCGACCAAAACGATTTCATGCACGTTCCCCTTGTCAATCTTCGAGTCACGAAGGACCTTCTCGACGGGCTCAAGGGTGCTACGGAACAAGTCCTGGCACAGTTCTTCGAAACGAGCACGGGTGATGGACGTGTAGAAGTCAACACCGTCGAAGAGGGAGTCGATTTCGATAGAAGTTTGGGTGGCGGAAGAGAGAGTGCGCTTAGCACGCTCGCAAGCGGTGCGGAGACGGCGGAGGGCACGAGCGTTAGAGGAGACATCCTTCTTGTGCTTGCGCTTGAATTCCTGGACGAAGTGGTTGACCAGACGGTTGTCGAAGTCCTCACCACCCAAGTGGGTGTCACCGGCGGTGGCCTTGACCTCGAAGATACCCTCCTCGATTGTCAGAAGGGAAACATCGAAAGTTCCACCGCCAAGGTCAAAGATGAGGACGTTACGCTCGCCAGTCACTTTCTTGTCCAAACCGTAAGCGATAGCAGCGGCGGTGGGTTCGTTAATGATACGGAGGACGTTCAAACCAGAGATAGTCCCAGCATCCTTAGTGGCCTGTCTCTGCGAGTCATTGAAGTATGCGGGAACAGTGACGACCGCGTTGTTGACGGCGTATCCAAGGTACGCCTCAGCGGTCTCTTTCATCTTGGTGAGGACCATAGATGAAATTTCCTCGGGCGTCTACACACACCAAAGTTAGATTAGAAAAAGAATATGGAAGTGTCTACTTACGAATTCCTTGGTCTCGCCACGGTACTCCACCTGAATGTAAGGCTTGCCAGCCTTGCTGACAACCTTGAAAGGGAAGTGCTTGAGATCAGCCTGCACTTCCGCATCATCGAATTTGCGGCCGATAAGACGCTTAGCGTCGAATACACTAAACGCAGATGTCAGCACGCGGCGAGATAAGATAAACGGGGAAATGGCAGGACTCACGTGTTATGAGGGTTCATAGCGACTTGGTTCTTTGCGGCATCGCCGATTAGCCGCTCATTGTCAAGGAAAGCGACATATGAGGGCGTCGTCCGATTACCCTGGTCGTTGGCGATGATCTCAACACGATCATTTTGCCAAACACCGACGCAACTGAAAGAAGGGATGGGAGATCAGATTATCCCGAGAGGGAGCGACGGAACAAGTTGATACGTACGAGTACGTCGTTCCCAAATCGATACCGATGGCTTTTGGTGGTGACATGTCTACTTAAGACTGGTTTTTGTTGCGGGTCGTGACTGCGTACGAAAAATCAGTTGGTTGATCGTCGGCGCCGTATGTCACGGTGACGAGACACTTACACACCAAGTTAAACAGAGCAGAAAATGTCTGAAGAGAGGGAGCCCCCCTCCGATTGCGATTATATATATATCGACTGATATTCCGTGCCATTCCAGGACGTTCCTTCACTCTTCTAGAGGGTTCTTTCCTGACGTAGTAAGATTATCTAAGAAAAACATATTCCCTTCATGGAAACTCTATCAGCTCATGCTCAGACGGCCGAGTGCCCACTACCCAGATGCAGTTGCCAACGCAGCCCCATCGGTTACCCAAATACACGTGTAGCAGATATGTATGTTAAGGTAGGAATTGGTTGTCTAGAATCCGAGAAATCACACGCATGCGCTTTCAAGAGGACACAAACTCCGAGGTGAGAAAGGGGAAAATGAAATGAAACAAAGAAAATGAAATATTAACATTGACAGTCTGGACATGCGTGTAGGGCAGCGCAGGAACAAAAGAACGGTAGTCGGAAAACGGAGGTCATCAGTCATGAATATGGTAGAACCTGTCCGCAACCTTCCATCAACCCTGTGGAAAATGCGAGGCGCATCCTGCAAATTTGAATATCTATCCTCCATTTGCACGGGTCGTTATTCCTATCGTATCATCAAGACTGCGATGCGCTTGCAAATCACGCAAAACAGACGGGTCCACTATGCATCACCCAGTGTATGAGTATCACTCGGACGACCACAAGAAAAAACCATCTGCCCACCAGGTAGGACGCTCTTCCTGCGAACATGAGGACTCTGCGACGTTGGCGAGTGCTCCACGCCAACCTGATATTCACGCTACGGATCTATATTAAATACGGGCTCCAACAGCAGCAACGTCATCCACGTACGTCCAGACCTGGGTCAGCCATCGGCACCCTTTCAATTCCGCTTTCATCCAAGTCTCCAGGCATGACACCATCAATCGATACAGCGCTCAGCTCCATCGATAGGTCCATGATGTCCGAATCATCTCCCGCCGTTGGCGGAGGTGGAGGGTCCCGTGGAACTTCATGGTAACTGGCAGGCAGCTTGCCACCAGCATTCTGCCTCGCCTTCTCGCGGATTTTTTGCCAGTCCTCGTAGCGCTCGACCGCGTGTTGTTGCTCACTGGGTAATGTTTTAGTGGGACTCGGATCGTGCAATCAGCTGCTCGACATACGCAATCCTACGCTGCCTATATTGTTGTAATGTTTCATCGAATAGTTCTGGACTCAGCTCCATGAATAGTTTCAGCGCATTATACACCATCCCGTGTATAGTCCTTGAAGCGGTCTCAGTTGCGCTAGTCCACTTAGCAGAGGCACTCACCGATTCCAGTGACTCCTCGCATTGTTATACAGAGCCGGAAAGACAATCGGCAGGATCTTTGGCAAATTGTCGCTCATCAGATTCACGATATATTCATTGTTCCAATATAATAGAGCCCGTTCGGCCACCTGGAAATGCTGGCTATTGATGCAACGTGCCAGTTGGGCGAAGAGGGGCTCTTGGATCTTTTGGAATTCAGCGGGATCGGTGACATCCAAGACTTCCTCGAGCTCGTTGAGGAACATGACTTCCTTCGGCGAGTTTACCTTGGGCCAATACTTGAGCAGTCCAATCATCACCTCCTGTGCCAAAGTCGGGTCCTTCTCCAAGAACTGGACGATGCAATAGGCAAGTTGAGGGTGATATAGGCATAAAGTCTTGACCTTGTGGAGCGGAAGGAGAACACGCGCCAAGAAGATCTTGTGTTCGTCCTTGAGGGGCACAGCAAAACCGTTGATAATCGATCCCAAGATCTCCAGCAGCTCGGCAATCCCATTATGCCGCTCTGTCTCGTAGATAAAGTGGTAGAATACATTGTTAATTGACCGACGAATGAATGCGCGGAGGGTGAGGAATTTTCCGTAAATGCGGTGCAACGTGGTCTTGAGGAAGTCGCGTTCCCGTGGATCTTCAGAATCGAAAAGTTCCAAGAGGTTGAGTACGAATGTCTGGTCAACGTATCGCTTCGCTAGGTGTGTATTGAAATCCGGGCTCTCCACAAAGCGGAGGAAAAATTCGTAAACGATTTGTAAGTGAGGCCATGCAAGTTCGAGGACGGGTTCGTCCTCTTCGGGATCGAAGGCATCCCCTGTGGGATTTACGGGAGGGGGTATAGAGCGGAAGAGATTGACGGCGAACTGGTTCACAGTGAGATCTATTTTGGGCTGGAAGAGTATGCAATTGGGCATACCATGTTCACAACCTCAGGGTATATGTTTTCGGTGATGACACCGCGTTGGGTGGTAATGTATTCGAGCATTTCATGCAGAGTCTGTGCTTTAACTTGTTTACCTTTAAGCTCTGAGCTGGCATCGTTGAAGTCGAACAATACACGACACTGGTTGAGTTTCTTGATAAAAAGCTGTGACCTCTCACTCGGCGGCACCTCTGAGCGAGCGGGGTCAAAAAAGTGGTCTGTTATGTTCAGAGGGTGCAGACAAACCGTTGAAGGTCGCAAGCCTCTCGATTTCGACTCTTTCTGTCACGACGAAACGGCTGCTCCGCTGTTTACGCGGTGGCTTACCGACGATGGGGATGGTGTCCCGCGGACCAGAACGAAGGCGGTTAAGCGTGTTTGCACGTGGAGGGTTGGCATTTCCATCCAGCCCGACGGTTGCTCGCTCGGGAGAACCGTACTGACTTGATCGTGGAGCTAGCTCAGGCGCCGGGTCTGAGCTTACGACCACAATAGGTGGGACCGGGGAAGAGCTACCAGAACTATACCTCCGATCTGTAGCAGAGGTGGTTGCACTATTAACAGAGCGGTTTGAAGAAGGCTGTGGTTGAGAGAGAAGAGAGCGATTGCTTGTGTTGTTAACTGATGCACCAGGCAGTGAAAGTGGAGCAGGGACAGGTTGAGGAAGTGGCTTGGCGGTGTTGGGAGGAGGCGGGGGAGGAACTGACGGCTGTGATGCAGGTGGTTTTGGATCCTTGTTCTTCGAGGATGTATCTGAGCTCTTTCTTAGCTGGAGAGATGAAACCGGTCAGGGTGGGGCCTGGGCCAAAAGATGCTAGGTGACACTAACGAATGATTTCTTGAGACCTTTCATGATTCCGGGCGGGGTCAGCAGAGCTTTTGCCTGCACACTACGACTCCTTTGGCCAGGCTGATGTCTGTCAGATCGTCAGGTATTGCGAATGCCTCATGCGAGGTGCCAAATTCAACGGAATCGATGGACGTCGTTGCTGCTCTGCGCGTGACACTCGACGTCACAGCTGATCACAGTCACACACTCCCTGCTGCGAGGCTTGATATATGTGGTCGCAATCTGTTCAACGCGTATTTTGCTATGAAAAAATCAGAGGATCTTCCAAATGGCTGTTTCGAATTGGATGAGGTATTTTGTGTGTGTTCACAACGCTGGATGGGTCCTTTCCATTTGTCCAAATGGTACTCCGAGTTTCCCCGGGACGGTCGTAATTCAGCTCGGTCGAAGATGCGCTATATCCTTTGATAGTGGTGGCGTCGAATATCAGTGTTTCAGTATTGAGATAGCTTTCAACGAGCGTAGGGAGACTGGAAGACGTTCGTTGCAACTTAATGCAAAATGTTTAAGCTTGCAACTATGGACGTGCGGTTCCAGTGTTCCACGCAGTTCCAACCGTTTTGAGCCAGCGTTCTAAGAATCTGCTGCTTCTAAGATAGTTCACCCGAACAGTGAAATGATTATGTCCAGTAGGCTAACTGAGAGCTATCCTCGGATATTGCGTCAGACAGGGGTTAAATACCCATCCCCGGCACTTCTGAACGCCATCCAAGCTGGCAACCGACAACGTCGTCGCAAGTTTGCCTTATTGCCCGTTGCAGGCCCTTGTTGCACTGGACATTTGTATGCTTGTGCTGTGGTGACTGCGTGGTGGTGACAATGGCAACATGTGCCAGACATCCGCTGGATTTCCGTATTTAGAGTGATTGGCACGCGCGTCTCTTCAACTTGGCACATACCCACAGCAGCAACCCTTGCGTCGTCAACTAACATCACTGACTTGAAGTTCGTCTGAAACCAATCCCAGATGGCTGGTAAGCCCTTTCTCCGCACTTGCAGTTCGACGCCAACTCGTAGTTTTGAAGCAATATACGCTGTCTATACCTCTCCTACACACCCGCCGGTGCCGAACCACCTTCCAACCCTCGTCGTCACCCCACACGGTATGCGAGTTTCATAGAGTACATCGATCATTACTTCACCTCAGCTCTCTTAGGACAACCATCTAACATTTTGTACTCGTATCTCCACACTAACTTCGTCAGTGCTTATCCTGCTCTATTCCAAGCGTCTTAACACCCACCAACCCGTTCCAGAATGCCGAGAATTATCTCCTCACCCCCTCTCCCCAAGGCGATCTCTGTGTTGCTAGACTGTTCCCTCCCCGTCAGCACCAAGGCAAATCTACCGCTTCCGACCCAGGTCATTCTGGTCACTCATCCACTCGCGTCGTTCGCTGCGAGGCATCCAGAAACCTCAAATGGTCTATTGCGAACACAGGTGTCATTTCTCCCATATACAAACTCTCCCTCCCTTCCCCCGATTCCCCGGATCTCCCGCTCTTTCAGATATCCAAGCCGAACCCAAACGCGGCATTCTGGAGCATGTTCTACTTTGCTTATGCAGGCCATAATATCCCCCCCAGGCGTATCGAGTTCGGAAAGATACAAAAGAATCCACCGGGTCCAAGCGGTGGGGGTACGCGGATCAGCATCACCGGAAAGACGCCCGAAGAGAAAGCTGTATGGCAAACCCTCGGTGAGGGAAACGAGGACTGCGTCGAGTGGGTCGTCCTCTGTGCGGCGCTAAACCTACTCGAGTACGTGTCCCAACTTGCGCAGCACCAGATGTTCTGACGTCTGTTATTCGCGCGTTTCCTAGCGACGAAATCATGAAAGCCGCCGAGAAGAATCCACAGCCTCCTTCGATTCCTGCGCAAATGCCAGCGCAAGGCGGTCGCTCAGCGCCGGTCGCGCTCCACGACCCCGGGCCACAATCCGCCCAGGGACAGCAGCGCCAGGGTCCTCAACAACAACAACCCCCATCGCGTGGCCCAATGCCAGGCGGCCGCCCCATGCAAGGCCCACCTCCTCCACGTGGATTTGCTCAAGGGCAAGGCCCTCCTCCGCCAAGTGGTCCTGGCGGTTACACTGTCCCTCCACAGGGCTATGCGCCCGGCCCCGGGCGGCAACCTCCGCCTGGTCAGCGTCCTGGCATGTCAGGGGCTCCTGGTGCCATGCCACCACTCGGGATGGTCGCTGGACGCCATCCCCCTCCACAAGGGCATCCTCAGCAAATGCCTATACTCCAGCCTGGCCAGCCGCAGGGCGGGCAGCGAAAGATCTAGCGTTTTGAAGTCAACGCTCGCTTGACTTGGGCACATGTTCCGTAGATTTCTAGTCTGAACCCTTAGTCTGATCGTTACCATTCTGCCAGTGGTTGCCTCATTCCTTCCTAATCTTTGCTTCCTGCTGCATATCAACTCATTTCTTCTCACCGTTATTTATTGTATAGGTTGCAGATGCCGGCTAACTCGTCAAAGTGATGAATGTATATTCCAAGATGGAGCGTGGTATACTGTTTTCCCCTTTCCTGGCCTTCCACTAGTTGCCTATTTGTTCGTTTCCTTTTTCGTCGGGTTTCGCGGACCGTGTATGATACTAAGATATTGAGGATTGATTCTCGTGTTTGGCGAGTCTTGCGTGTATATCTCCAGCGAAATGCCTCTTCATTTGCAGTCGCTCCTCAACTTCCTACTCACAATACTATAAGGGTACTTGCACGTTGTAAGTTGGCGTTAGCACGCGCTATCATGTCTTCTGAGTGGTGTTTAATTCGTGAGAGGTCATTACTATAGCGTGCAGTGTAGGGATAGCATACAAGACATCATCAGGTGCATCAGACCGTGCTGTGACCAACCTATCCTTCTCAACCGGTGGAGCGACGGGATCATTATCAGTTCTTGATCAATTTCTCCAGCGCGTCCATAGAGTACGCTAGAAAAAAAAGATTTAGCGAGGTTATCAAGATGAAATGGCAATAACACAATCAGATGACGTCCCGGAAGAAGGATCCCTAGATAAGAGATAGAACTACGCGGAAAAAACTCACACTTCGGCCGTTCGATAGGCAATCCAAGAGCTGCGACAACGCGCATTCAGCATTCGTTTGCGCAGGATAGCGCAAGATTTCCACGGCTCACCTCTCGCCCACACAAGTTGGGTCACGGCACCCAGAGCTACGAGGGAAGGTTGATATTACAGAACCACAAGTGCGTGAGTATAAAACGGACTCACCTCTTGAAACGCCAAAGATGACGGTATAGTACTTCAAGAACAAGCGTTTAGCACAAGGTACACAACCTGGGAACTGCGCAAGATTACCTTGAACTCTGTTAGGCCGTAGTGGTACAGCACACAACCTACACAACATCTTTGATAAGACATACATACCAGCAAATAATGGAGAACGTACCTGATGCGGCGTCGACATTCGGGTAGGGGTTCTTAGGTCTGAACAAGCGGTAAAATCACAAACGAGGATCCAAGTGTATAGACTGACCTTGCCGTGCTCCTTCAGCACTTCTGGAGCAACCTCGGCGGTCTGAATGCGAATGTGAGCCACGCAAACATCGGGCCGGCATGTGGATTCACCTGCTGCACAAGCTGGATAGTAGGGCTTGCTTGAAGATCTGGCCTGGTCTTGCAGAAATCTTGAAGGGCGACGAAGCGAGGGTCAGGGTTCCTCAGGACGCCATGACCGTACCTGTCAAAAGTAAGATCTCCACTGGGGCACCATATATTTATGTCATGTACCCTGGAACAACTCTACCGCTCTTGAGGGTCCCCCAGAGGTATTCCTTGATGTTGTCGTGAGTAATAGTGTCACCGATCTCTTTTTGCATGGCAATCTGCCATCTCAACACTTCCTGATTGGCGAGGCTGTAGATAAAAGTGAGCAGCGTTTGTTCCAATATTTGCTTCGAGATAACGAACCCATGCAGTGGACCGGCAAGGGCATTGAGAGCAGCGGAGTACGCAAGGTAGGGATCGGCAAGTGTAGAGCCCACCAGGTCTGTAAGGCACTCAATCCGACAGACCAACTGTCATCAAGGGTGTATAGACGTACGAGATGTATGGGCAGAGGCATTACCACCCTCATGATCGCCGTGTAGGGCAATGTACAAACGCAGATACTCGGTCATGTTCTCATTGTTACCGAAACCAAGCATGTTGGAGTAATTGCCTGAGCATGAGCATAGTCAGCCGCGGCACCGTGAACATGTTTGGCCAGTCGTCATGCTTACCGGTAAGGTCCAAATTCTTATCAATGGGTGCAAGTGGCCGGTCAGGATAATACACGTTACGGTATATGCGCGCTGCCAAAGATGGGAGCTTCGCGACAAGATTAATACAGTCTTCCAGCGTGGGGGCCCAGTATTCGGTCTTCTTGATCCCACGTTCGTAAGCTGCCTGGAACGCGCTGTCGTGATTCAATGCTGCTACACCCATACTTAGCTGGGTCATGGGATGCAGGGTCTTTGGGAAACTGTTTGAACATCAATACTCTGTGCAGTTAATTAAGGTCGGAATTTGGGGAATATACGCACGAGTCTACGAGTTTTTCAACGAAACTCGGGAGTTCTCCCTTTTCAGCGAGTTCTGCTGAAAGCTGTTGGCTCTGTTGAGGGGTTGGGACCTTGCCAGTCATCAAGAGCCACAGCATGCTCTCGGGAGTCATCTCCTTTCCGCCGGGTGCAGGGGGCAGCACCTCGCGACACTCTGGAATACTCATACCGTGGAAGCGGATACCCTAGAGACCGAGACATCAGCAGACAAGGTCCCCGTCATTATTCGCGAGACAATGCGGACCTCAACGGGGTCAAGAACAGAAGCTTCCCAGAGCATTGCCTTGATCCCTCTCATGCCTCCGATAATGTTCTCAACCTGAACAACACGTCAATAACAGTGTAAGAGCCGGAACTTTGGGGAATTGTACCTTGACGTCGCCGACCACTGTCTGCGCATGTTCTGCTTTCTAAGGCGGGAGGGTGGATCATCATCAAGTGGAGTTCGCTCCAGAACACTGCACAAAATACTGACCAGTTTCTTCAGCTGTTCCTGCTTCGGCGGTATGACTTCTCGGAGTGTCTCCTCCAGTGTCTGTGCGAAGAATATGTATAAGCGACAGTGAAAACCAAGACCAAACCTCGTTGTGCCTCACTTTCGTCGAAGCCAGACGACGGCATCCAGCATTACGGGCTAGGTTACCCGTTACAGAGGTATACGATTGGAAGGCGACGCGTTTGAACATGGCGAGAGAGGAAGACGTGTCAATAAGACTAATAGTATGGTACTGTACTCCGTGGCTCCCGACAATAGTGTCCGAACAAGGTCCCCCGGAAAAAAATCAGCGTCACTCCATCCCACAAGTGGTCGGCGCGCTCTGCATTCCGAAGACCCGGGTCATCCCGGATAGCAGGCATGCCCTTGTTTGAGTTTATTTGATCAAGTACCGTGTTTACAAGGTCATCAGTGCCTACAGAAACAGTAGAGGGGGAGCGAGAAGGTCCCCATAGACCAGAACTGCTTTCGCGTCTTTGATTTAAAATACTGCTATCGCTATTGTACGTTGTGTCGCACTACAACCCTCCGTCATCTCACGTATTTCCAGAAATCACGTTGAGAGTCGAGACAGAAGGTACAAAAAAGTACTCTCCCCCTCTGGACGTGATGTAGAACTGCGGGGGAACGCCTGGGGGGTTAGTAGTACTAGGCTGCGTAGTGGCCTGTCCTTCTATAGCAATAGTCGGACCCTCTCCATTACTGAGCCTGAGGAATACACTATACGGTTCATCCGGACCGCTTATGATAGAGTCTTGTCCTAGTGAAATTCCGTTAGGGGCAGTTCAAGCAAGAGTGCTACTAACACTAACTGTGCCGTTGAGGAACGAGTGATGTGGGAGGAAAATATACGTTGTTAGCAAACCCGACGGTTTGGCGAACGAATCCCGAGTCCAGATTAGATTGGTAACAGACAAATAGGAGACCCCGTGGTGTCTGTGCCGGGAGCTAAACCAATCACCGTTGTACTGTTATAAAAGCACTGCTGCTCGTAGAGGTTACCTCACCTCGTCGCCATATGGAATACCTGTTCGGAGAATGGACGAGGATTCTATGAACTTCTTGTCCAGGTACGGGCCCAGGTTGCGGGGATTAACTTTGCGCATATGAGCAGTGAAGGGACAGAATTTATCCGTCGGCTCAGGGATGCCTATAATCGAATAGTCGAAGTTATTATTCCTGTTCTTATCCTTAGCTAACTCGGGGTCATCAAAGACCGGGCATAGCGGCAGTGGAGCTCCCTGACGAAACAATGAATCAGAGGTAAAGATGGTAAGAACTTGCATTTACCGATTGGAATCTCCCAAATAGTCTTGCACCAAAGAGCTCAGCACCCTCCTTATCCGTAAGGTTTTGGCTTGGTTCCGCGAGCACTGGTGGCACAAACTCTCTCCAGCGTGGGCCGTTCTTCAGCTTATACTCATTAAACCCGGGTACATCTTGTTCAAGTTTTTTGAACACCATAAAGGTTCCGTCTTTGCCCCAAGTCGGGCGGTTTTCACGAACCGGATCACCTTCATATCCTGTGATCAGGACGCCTACATCAACTTCGGTTTGGCCAGGACACGGACAGATAAGACCGCTGCGCATGAAGTTAGTCTCCCAATATTAAGATCTCAGTCTGAAACACACCGCATAGCAGGCTGAGAAATTCCGTCCATGTAACCGAAATGTTCATGTCCATCCATCTCGCCAGGCCTTGTTTTACCTTCAATTACTTCTCGAACGTCGATCGTTTCAGAAAATAACTCGGAAGCTGCCTTTACACCTTCCTGAACCTTCTCAGGGTCTGCAAAATCGCGTGAAGTGACCTTGCGGTGAAAAGCGGTGGATTTGACACACACCACACGCAGCAATGACAACTACACCATGTAGGGCACCTCGGTCAACGTTGGCGGTACCATGGATGGGATCAAAGCCCGGTTTGTCGAATACCTTGTCCCATTGCATTCTGTCACCGAGCATGGTTTTGTTATCCCTCATGCAGAATACGTCGAACCGTCCGTCGCCAGTCTTCCCTGTTAAGCCAAGCAAATTAAGACCAGCCCGGGTAAAGGCGATCTGCTGAAAAATGATCGGTAATTTCTGATTGTTTCCGAGTTTTTCTTTACAGATAGCTTTTAGATGTTCGACAACCCCGGCAGCTGTCGTGGGCACAAATGAAGATAGAGCTTTCTTGAAATTGGAAACATCGTTGATACGAAAGAAGATGAAGGCTTCAACTTTCTAGTTGTGTTGTTGCATGGGTAATGAACGCTGAACAAAGTGAATATTCACCTTCGGAAATTGGAAGATGTCGCCTTGGACATTATGGAGATTTGGAAGATTCCCACTCGTGTCTGTCGGCACGACCTCATTGGCCGTGATCAGAGGAATGATGGCACGGCGATGGAACGGAGCAAAGACTTTGCGTGAGAATTCATGATCACCCAGTTGTACCATTACGAGAGTAAGAACCTTCACTAATATGGACCTTATTAACAATATTATCGATAACAGATTACAGAACCAACCCACCCGCGATGAAATATATGTATAATCGGAGCGCGACTGAAAGCGAGAGGTGGCCTGTAATTGAAGGGATCAATGTATAGACTGCTGGAAGATGGATGGGCGCGATCAGTTTCTTATAGAGATGGAGTACACTTAAATCCTTTTTTGGTCTCTCAGAGGGATGGCGATTCAGAAGGTGTACTCCACATGGGAAAGGTGAGTCATATACGATGTAGAGTTTGTTCCCCTGCAGGCAGGTTATTGCAGACAGTTGGAATGGAACGTTTGGGGCAAGAATGGAATGAACGATAACCATTTTAAATGCCACCGTGAGTAAATGGTATGAGCAAAGAGACGAAGACCAGGGATACTGGAATGATCAGGAGAGCGCGGGTCCCGAATAGACGTACGAGATGTATGGGCGGAGGCGTTACCACGCCGTGCAGAGCCATCGACAAGCGCAGAAACTAGATCACGCTCTCGTTATCACTGGGAAGATCGAAGTTCTTATCAATGCCAGGTGCAAGTGACCGGCTAGGGGTGATACACGATATGGTATATGCGCGTTGCCAGCCCGAGAGTTGGGAGTTTCGCGACAAGATCAATGCAGTCTTCCAGTGGGTGTACGTCCAATATTCGGTCTCCTTGATCCCCCATTCGTAACTGGAACGTGCTGTCGTGATTCAATGTTGCCACGCCCATTCTAAGCGGGGTCATGAGATGCAGGGTCTTCGGCAAACTGCTCAAGCGTCAAGCCTTCCGTGGGGTTAACTGTAAACGCACGAGTCTACCAGCTCTTCAACGAAACTCAGAAGTTAACCGAGTTCTGCCGAGAACATATGACTCTGTTGAAGGGTTAGGACCTCGCTAATCATCGAGCGCCGTAGTATGCTCCTGAGAGCCATCTCCTCTTCGCCGGCAGCATCTCGCGACACTCCGGGATGCTCATATGTAATACCATGAAAGCGGATGCCTTTTAGAGACGCAGAAATCATCGGCAGGCAGATCCCTACCATCATTCGTGAGGCGATGCGGACTCCGATGCATGCCTATAATGTTCTCAACCTGAAGGACACGTTAAGATTAGTGGCGTTAGATGGGAATTTAGAAAGAGATAGTCGAAATCAGCCTCGCCGGCCCGCTCTGAACCACCTCCAGAGCACAACCAAACAGACACAAATAACCTTCCGCGCGTGGCCTTGCAAGGCTTTGAAGCACTGAGGCTCCGCGTCTTTCCTGGTAACATGGCCTCCGTGCTCGTCCCAGTCCTCTACGTCGGTATAGTCATCGGCAGTTTACTCGTATTCTCCCACTTTTACAGAAAACGCAACACAGGTACGCACCTCCGAAATCTTCATCTCTTTCTCGCGGAAGTATAAACGTGGCAGGATAACTTCATCCTCACAGGAAAGTTATACGAGCCATATTTCTCGTCCCATCCAGAACGAGATGTCTACGTTACTCTTCTTCAGCAGTCAGATCCTCCTGTACACGAAGCGCTCCTCAAAGCAGCTCTTCTCCGACGCGCCATGACGGACGTGAGCCGTGTAGTCAAATTACGCGAGGACAAACCAGCGCTACAGAACCTACTCCAGAAGGGTTCGATCGGCGACGATCTATGGAATAGCTTGTTACAAGCGGAGAAGGAACTCGAGGCTGAGATCTTGGAGGTCGTTGCAGAGGCAAACACCTTCGTGGAGGGCTGGGGAGGCCTCATCTTCCAAACTGCAGGGGAAATGCTGGCAAACGAGAAAATGCGGGGTATTTATGAAGATACATCGGCGGCGAGAGCGAGAAAAGGCCAGTTTTATTTCCACGGTACATACAATTCACGAGGGGACCTGACTGTCAGGCAACAGAGCAACAATATGGCAAGGTTGGCAAGGCCATCGAGCTCCCTGCTCTTAACCAAATGACAATGGACTGGACCATCCCCTCCCGGTTCACTTCCACCAGCGGCTGTGTTGGCAGCTATGCAAGCGCACGCACAAGCACAGGCGCAAGCAAAAACTCAGGTCCAAGGCCGCCCAGCACCAACGTCAATGCCAGAAAAACCTCTAGGAGGACTCACTCCACCTGGCACTGGCCGTCCCCAGAGTGTCGTATCGAGTGATGGGGAGGGTGAACCCACGCGGTCCCCATCAAAATCGGTAGGTGCTTTTGGGAATTCAGCATAATCCCATCTCAGTTGTACCACAGCCTAGGAAGAACAGGAAGCGTAAGTAGACTGGTCCAGGGACTATATACCCGTCCGTTATTATATTCATTTCCTCGACTGAGCGTTGGGATAATATCGTTGGTCTTTGTAAGAGTTGCTTCCTAGCACCTTGCACTAGAGGAATCGATGTAGATTGAGCCAGAAAAAAAAGTACAATGCGTAAGATTATAAGACAATACGTCGGAACATGATCCGTCTCCATCGTACAACTACAGAACTTGTCAACCTCGGATAACGATAGCCTTCTCGCCAGCACCCAGCCGCCCCTTGCCCGACCTGTCAACGTGATCAAGGCCGAGACAGTCTTCGGGTGCGAACTTGTGATCATATATGATGTCCTCTGTCATACAGTCAGTCAACTGTAGTCATGGAGAAGGAAGATTATAGGGTCACCATCTTCAATATACGATGGTTGCTTGAATGTTGCAACTTGTATGAGGGCAAACCTAAATTTCGAAAATTCCTTGTCTGAGACGCCTAATCGCGCTTGTAGACGTTTCTTCGTGTCAGCAAACCTCTCTTGCTGCAAGTATTATAACCGTGGTCAAGTTCAAGAAACATAATCGAGGTGGGGGCACGACTTACAGGTTTGACGACGAAACGGAATGGTACACCGTGCGTCCGCGATACCTCCTTGTGGAAGTGGAACACACTAATCACCTTGTCCATCTCCGAGGCTTCAAATTCTTCTCTCGGGATTTCCTGAATGACCCAGTCAATCACACCATAACCGTACGCATATGTAAATGCCCATACCTCCGCATACAGCTCCACCGGGTCAGGGATATTTCCAATCATCTCTGAACCCGTAAACTCCTTCTGTGTCTTCCCGTCCTTGGAAACCTCGAACACCCGTATCTTATTCGTTCCTCCAGGTGTCAGTGTCACTCCCTTCGCCAAATGGTCGGCCAGTTCATGTATCATGCTCGTTTTCGGTAGCAAGAATGGATAGGTTGCCTCCTCGCGGTTGTGGATGCCCGTCCAGATGATCTTCAGACTCCTCTTCGTCTCCAGTTCAACGATACTGACATCCAGTTTCTCGTACAAGATCACCGTCGTCGTCGGGCTCACATAAGCCGATCCCATGAAATCCGCTATACTTTGATTGAGGGACCGCTTGAGGACCGCCTTCGGAGCCCCGTTAGCCGCGTGAGTGGTGGTGAACCGCAACTTGATAGGGTCATGCCGTAAATATTCGCCGGCTCTTTGAGACATCTGATGAGACAATGAGACAATGGGGAGGTTAAGGACCAAGATGTGTTACTGTGTCATAATTGTGTTTCTTGCTAAGTACGAGGCTGAATTCGGGGTGATCACAGTCCGGTTCCTCATACCTGGGGCGGAAGAAAATCATCACACGGTTTTGGAGGAAATCGTAGAATTGAATAGGGTTCGAGTAAAGGCCCTGAATCTCGAGGTCATGGAGTCTGTTGTACAACTGGTTAAGGATAAAGTTAGCAATATACGAAGGACTTACTCCTTCTCTGCTTGCTCAACCTGGAAACAAATGACATCTCCGTCCTGAATCTCACTCTGAGCAAACGTGATCTTGGGCTTCATCAACTCAATCATGCTGGGTTTGATTTCCTGGCGGTCGTTGGTTAATGCCCCGCCAAAACAGCACCGTACGAAATGAAATCTACCTCGTACAACCGCAAAGGAGTACCCGGTGTCCACCTCATACGCTCATTGATCATGGGATGAAGGTCTTGCACCTTGCTGTTCCGCGACACGAGCACCTTCCCGACACCAAACAATGTCTGTTTTGATGTGTCAAAGTGCTTGAGGAATATCATGATGTGTCCTGGCGGGGGATCGGGCTACGATACACCATGAGACAAAGAAACCGACCGCAAAAGGGAGCGACGCACTTTGCTTGGGTCTGGTATTATATCAAGGTACAGACGCAGATCATTCTGTCTCGCAGCCATGTTGTTGCGAATCACTTCAACAGCTGAGAATAGGGCAGAACGTAAGACAAACCGTAGGCCACCGAGAGAATCATACACGCACTGAGTGCTGGCTCGTTCTCCGGAATGGGTGTGTCGGGACGTACGGTCTTATTTTGTCTATTGACGAGAACCCACAACCGGACCTTGTTGTCGGGGAGCTCAAAGTGCGCTGCAACTCGCGACTTGAACACGCTGTATGTCTCTTGTTTCAGGACGCGGAAGGTGGGCAAGTCCGATTGCGGCCAGTTCTTCTCATCAAACGTAGCCAAGTCGAAGCCTTCGTGGCGAGCAAAAGTATCGTCTGTGATCACCTACTTTGGTGTTAAATAGCCGTAAAGGGAATGAGATAACTACAGACCTTGGCAGTCAGGAACAGGTGCTGTTCCTCGCGTTCCCTTCTCTTGGCTTCCATATGGAGACGTTCCTCGTCCAATCGGCGTTCTGGACAAAGTTGAGCAAACAACGTGGACGATTGGCACGAAGGACATACTGAGATGGGCAGGTGTATCTTCCTCCTTAAAGGGTGCCAGCACCTCGTCAATCATAGCGTCACGAACATATACCAACATGTACGCATTCGTGAAACGTTTCATGGTCCTAAGCTGGTTGCGTTGCATCGGGTAAAGGTGACCGTTAAGTGGTTCGCCGCCGTAATTCTCTTCCAAGACCTCGCGGTCTGTTACGGGGGTAACACGGTCATCATCAAACTTGAGCCATCGCGTCTCGCGGTCCGGTTTGATCAGTGCAAAGTAGTGGCCGCCATTGACGTCCCCAGAGTGCACCAACACGCCACACAGTCTGTACAGCCACGATTCCGACCCGACTGGCGAAGCGTCATCAATGAATTCAGCTAGGTCGATCTCGAAGGGGAATTCGTGGCGGTCATTGATCTAAGAAGCTGGTGAGCAAAGATACGGGATGGCTTCGAAACACTGACCTTGACCATAGCATCACGCTGAATATCGTATTCAAAGCGCTTAAGCTGTAGATGGAGCACAGGAGGGAAAGACTCGAAGATGATGCCCTTCTTAGCATCCTGAAGTCCGAAACCCTCTGCTTGATACTTGTTCTCCCCTTCCATTGTTTCCTCTGCAACATAGTATCTGAACGACTCGTACAAGTTTTTCATCCCCTTGACATTCAGTTGAATGTCTGACCCTGACCTCAGCTACATGTTCGAGAAGGTGTGCACATGATGAAAACGTACCCTTGAACTCCTCGATTTTTGATGATTCGTAGTCAACATTAACACATTTAATGTAGCTCTTCATTTTTCCCACAAATAGCTTGGCTATTGCGCCCTCCGCCTTGGTGCCCTGTACCCAAGGTTCAAATCTGGCAAGTAAACACGGATGCGGCGTACCGACCTTCATTTTGGACTCTAGGTTGTCCTGCAGAACACGATTGAACTCCTGGACATCATGTTGATAGAAGGAGTCGTTCGACTTCCACCCGAACGACTTTGTTAACTCTGTCGTACCTGACCCGAGGTGAGCGGCGCAGGTCTTGAGTGGAGGGTAACACTCACCAACTGGTTGGTCCGATGTTTGTAGGTGATAGAATACTCGTTGTAGTGCGAGAGAAACGCTTTCGATTGGAAGCTCGTCTTCAGTTGGGATTTGGTAAACAGCCTAGCATCAAAGGGCCGTCAAACTCCGGCGTATGGCGAGCAGGGTTAGTTACTTGCCTTCCTGAAATATCGTGTGCAGTAAAGTGATTGAAGTAGAGAGTTCATGTAACATGTTGCGCCTTGATTTTTCAAACCAACGTATCCAGTTTCCTTCTTGGAGTCGTAGCTTCGATGATCCTTAGTGAAGGAGTGTAGGAAATGATGCGACAACCACTTACTTGACGAAGTTATGCCACAGAACACCGGTAGGATCTTCGAGAACGCGGACGAAGACAGTGACGTCAGCGGACTCTTCTTCGATTGTCGGTCGAAGATGACCCTCCTGGATGTTGAATAATTTGCGCAGTTCGCTGAAGCGAGTAAAACCCCAGTCACACTCCTCCGCGATGAAACGGTGGTGAGCATCTACGGCAATAAAAACTCAGTGGTTGATCTAGGACAAAGAAGGAAGAGGACGCTTACGGCTGACAGTGTAGATTGAGGGATCATGAATGTTTGAGATAACCAAGGCAAACTGAGCGCAGGCATGCCAGCCTTCTGGGGCTTTCTTGGGTTCTGCATAGTCGAGGTATACTGATACGGTGTCATTGGGTGGAGCATTGGAATTTCCGAAAGGAAATAATAGAATACGCCTGCGGATAGGCTCGGTGTCAAGAGAGCGTCGTTAGGTTGGAAGCTAAGGCACGGACCATTTATGGCCACCACAATCGAACTCTGGACTGGTTAGCTTCTTCTCCAGTTTTTTCCAGTTTGACAGTCTCCATGTGTAGACCTGGAAGTCCTTGACATCGTGGCCCAAGTCCGGCAAGTGTTTCGCAGCGAAAGCCTCATCTGCAGGAATATCAACAAGGGACATCTTTATATCGGAGGACGCAAGACTGACGATCGTGGACAGAGACGACGTCATCGATGATCTCCATTGGTGGGCCGCCGTTCATTTTTTCGTCAAGCATTTCCATGGTATCGCTCTGCGGGCGGGTAAAAGAGATGAGTGCACAGCTGCAGAGGTTGTTGATGTGTTGGTGGCTAACCAAATACAGAGAACTTGGTTTGGCTGAGGAATACCTTGGCTATGCAAGTCAGAAAATGGTCAGTGCGACCAGACGTACAACGAGACTGGCTATTATCGCTGGGATGGGTCACAGCTGATGAGAAGGTCGGGACAACTGACTGTGTGGGAATATCGGTGAGACTACATTGATTGCGTAAGCACACGGGGTACCCCTCCGCCCAGGCTATAAATTCGTTTCGCTGGTTCCTCGTTCTCGACACAGCCAATCCCTTTTCCATAGTTGTCGACGCGTGACAAGTAAGTTATGCTTTTCTTTCTACACGATCCTTAGATTGTCTCGACAGGGTGGTCTCTGATGGCCACCGAACAGCCTTTCCGCTGTGTACTGTCGGGTAATGAGTCAAAATCGTGTAAGATCAGGTTGGCTGGTTTTTTTTTGGTTTTCGCCCTCGTTCCGTGCTGGTGCGAGGGTGATGCAGGAGCAATCCTCCAAAATACCACCGACGATGCCCACTCCATTCTTGGGTGACGATGGACCTTGACTAGGTCATCGTTGCATACGTTGTGTTGGCGAACATTCGTAGTACTATTAGCTATGGGATACAGTTACTCCAAATGAGAATCCGTGCGAAGAGTGCATAGCTCTTTCGATGTGACGAGAACACGCGTGTGATTGATAGCTGGAATCATGAAAGGGCGCGACCTGCACATGCCCGTTGACGCGAAGCGCCCGGTAGAAGAGCTTATCAGCGTGTCTAATAAGTTGTGAAGAGGTAGTTCAAAGGCGTTGGTTGGCGGAATCAAGGCCTTCGGCAGTAGACAGCTGGCAAGCGGTGCCGCATCTGGAATCCTTGGGCGATGTAACGAACCATCGAATATGTCCATTGGTTTACTTCCAGCATGGTGTTTGACGTGTAATTTCCCACTCGAAAAAGTGCTGGGCAGCAGCGGAAGCACACTGACTTGAACGTAAGCACAGCAAGGAGATTTCATTGTGCCGTAGGGTCGACTGCCTCATGTCGACGGGACGATTACCACTTTATCCCTTGGTTACTTGTTTCCATCTACCAAATACCACTGGTGGATTTCCCTCGTCCACCGTCCTGTTCGCCTTTTTTTCGTTGTATAAATCTTTCTGAATGAGTAGTCGAAGACGAGAAGACCGTTCCGCGACAGCAGACGCTAATTACAGAACTTGGCAGTCCTCCGAAAAATATCACACCGACACTGAAGCTGAACGCAGGCGACACCGCTCATCCACGCTTCCCACTAACCCACAGGAGTCGAGGCATTACCCCACCCAGTCTCAGGATCCTCGCTACTACGACAGCAGGCATTCCAGTCGTCCTCACCGGCAAGACCAGGCTCATTACTACCCCCAGGCATCCTATCCTCAGCCTGCAGCCGGGCCGTCGACGGGTAGAGCTGGTGGTACGCACCATGTAGCAAGACAGTACTCCACCTCTGCGGGGTATCCATATCACCAATCGTCGTCATATCACACCTCTGCGCCTTCGCAGCCACCTCCAGCACCACAAGGTACAACCGGAGCCCCAATACCTTCCTCGTCGCGGAGAACTTACCAAGAAGCGCCAGACCCACGAGCTTACCCCCACGCCGCTGCGCCAGGTGTTCACCCCTCCTACGACAAGGGTTCCAGTGCCGCGGAAGCTCCGAGGTCTGCTAAGCAACGCGCAACGCACTCGTCGACACAACCTGGTTCAGCACACCCTAGTCACGTCATTTGGGTTCCTCCTCAACAAGAGATGAGTTCCACCAGGCGCCACAAGGAAGACGACAAGGTCCATGAGAGGAGTCGGGACCGGGACCGAGAGCGCGAGCGCGAGCGAGGGAAAGCGAGAGAGACAGAGCGCACACCTGCAGAGATGGAAAAAGAACGTTACCTTTCGAGGGCAGAACGACACAGGGAGCGTGACCGTCCCGTCGAACCTGAGAGGTACAAGGACTATAGGGAGCCAAGCAGGAGCAGACATCGCAGAGAGTCCGACTCAGAGGGTGTTGCTCATGCAGATCGTTTAAATGGGCATCGACGGCATCGAACCGATGACAGCATCGTCCCTCCAAGTGCTTCTCGGCGACAGTTTGCTGAAGATCCCCGTGTGTCCTCTGTACGTTGGCACGTCTTATATGTCCACAGATCTTCCTCATCAGCGTCCGCAGACTCGTCAACATGCTGAACCGGCGCAGAACCCGATCAATGGTGCGCAGGCACACCTCACAGCCGATCCTCAGGCAGATGGTGTAAATTCAGCTCAGCGTGGTGAGCAACAGTCATCCAATGCTCCACCAGCACCTCGCGTAATGCCCGTGTATCTTCCAACCAAAGCCTCAAAGCCACATCGTTCGCATCATGACAAACGCTTATCGGTTGCTGCTCAACCCCAGGGTGCTCACTCTGGGAGCGATTCGGAGAGGCCATCTGGCAAAGTACGTCATATCCTCCTTTAACCCGTCGGGAGTGTGTTCTCAGCCACACGTAGCAACGCATGGAACGGGCCCACGCAGGGGCTGCCGTACAGAGAAACGATGGATACTTGTCCAGTACCACGAGAGAAAAAGGTGGACGTGACGCACAGCTAGACCCAAGAGAGGATGACAAGGGGGTAAGGCAAATCCATATATCATCAAATTCAGACCGGTCTCATCCGCCGTTGCAGGGCAAATATGGATCACAGAATGCTCGCCAGCCGCGGACCCAAGTCACTTCGCACAACGTGCAGTCTCTCCCGTCGGATGCCCGCCAAGGGCCTTCAGTACCACAATTTGTTAGTATCCGTGCGGGACAGGGCCCTTCTGACCCGCAAGCGTACGACGCGCATTTTAAGTCACAATCCGCTTTACGTTCAGATGATCCACAGGAAACAACTCGTTTTTACGCAACGTCCCCCGCTATCGTTAAGCCACCTGCACAAACTGGAGCTCATTCTTACGAAGTCCCGCGTTCTCATGCAGACCAATTCGCTGCCCCACGTCCTCGTGTTGAACCTTATGGAGTGGAGCCATCTGGAAGCGCTTACGCCTCTGGTCGTGAGGCTAATCAAGTTGCGGCTACCTCGTTGTCACGTACAGCTTCGCAACAAGCCCGTGCCCACCCTGAAACCGGCGTGGAGAACGCAATCTCTTCTGCCCATGCTTCCTCCTATCCCGTGAGACCACCCTCGCGTTCGGCTCAGAAGATTCCGAGTGCTCATAACACCCCACTTATTGGAGGACCACGACCCCTCCGTACGAACTCTCAAGGTCCGCACACGATAGACCCGCCTACACGCCCGCCTTCTGTCGCACATTTTGCCTCAGCAGTGCCCTCCGCGCCGAGTCATCCTTCTGTGCCTCCTTCCCCAGCGGTTCGTGGTAATTCTGGATATGCAAACACTGGCCATACTTCGTCTGTGCACCCGAGTCCAAAAGACGCACACCCTGGCATTGATGCCTCGTACCATGACGTCCATAATCGCCCCCAACAGATGCAGCGAGCACCATCGGGACCACGGATGGCCCATGCGACTCCCCTGGTTGCTCCCCAGATTATGCATTCTTCTTCACAGCATTCGCGTCATGGCCAGTACTCGTCCTCCGGTGCCGACCAACAACATCCCTCGCAAGACAACCGGCCTGCGCGACACTTAACATCGCAAGGAGGGGTAAGGAATTCCTATACTACCCAGAGCACGCCCGCGTCCTCCAGGAACATTGCAATACCACGCGAAGACAAGTATATGCGCGACCAACAAGCACCGCCGGGACTTCTCGATGGAGCCCACCTTCAACTGCGCCAAGTACTGCATGACGACGATGCCTACCCAAGCTTAGAGTCATCGATGATGAAGTCTGTTCCGCAGCGTACCCCACCTTATGTGGCGACGCGTCCACCGACTTCGCGTGGAGCATCCGCCGACAATTCCCCACAAGTTTGGCATAAACAGGTGTGTCAACACTACGCTTTTTACTGCCTGTACGAAACTGATTACTTTACTAGGCATCGACGCCGGCTCATTCGTCGCGAGACGACCTGCACCAGCATGAACCGAGCCCGAGATTCATGAGTCCTCCGCACATCGCTATTGTTGGCGCAACTCCTGATAGTAAGGCCGGTGATCTCCCTCACCAACGGGTCGATAATGCACTGTTGACTCCTCCGGACCCAGCGTCCACGCGGGACGCAAGGACGAAACCTTCCCGGGAGCAGCGGCCCAAGCGTGCCCGTCGCAATGATCTTCTGCCGTCTCAACAACCACAGCAGCCGCCAATGCAAACGCAGATGCAATCCCACACGTCGGCCATGTATCACGCGCCTTCGTTCTCCTCGCCGTTGGTTACAGAAGGAGAGACTGGTTCATTTTCGCCTCCACCGTTACCTATCCCAGCGCCACGAGGGCTCGAGGACTCGCCTGCGCAAGCTATTGAGACACGGCTAGACGAGATGGTGCCTGCTGCAGTCCGCGGCGATGACGCTGATAATGACTGGAATACAAAACCGTCTCCCTCTTCCTTGAAGGGTGGGCGGCAGCCGATGCCGACGTCAAGCTTTGATCCTCCATCAACTTCTCGATCACACTGGCAATCCAACGAGACAGGGTACCTCTCGACAGTGCCACAGATATCTATTACTGCACCGCAGACAGACCCCAGACCGCCTAAGCCCGTCGTCATGCCTCACTTCCAGTCCTCGGTTACCGCTGACGGTAGGACTGGGGTTCCATCCAAATCAAAGCACGACACGGGTATCGCAATCTCAGCCATCTGCTGCCCCTGCTAAGATACCTGATTCTCCTTTGAACGCCTTGGTTGATAATGCGAAATCGGTGGCGCCGGCACATCCATCATCGCGCCCTCCTACTGGCTCGCAGGAAACAGCTTACGCCTCGACGTCATTGAAGCCCGCAACCATGGATCACGGTTATTATAGGAGCTCGCCTCCGTCGAAAGTTAAAGACTCACCGTCGCATCGCGCTGCAGAGCCCGCATCTGCTCCGGTTACATCGACAGTGCCTTCTGCACCTCCCACATATACTTCGTCGTCTCGCGTTCCGCTTTCTGCTCCCCCCATCCAGCAATCCTTTTCCTCAAGCCAGACCCATCCGTCGTTACAGCAGCCGACCCAACGCTCCACCTCTTATACTATGGCCTCTCGCACGGCCTCACGCTCCACAGATCCAGCGCAGAACACGTCAAAGTCCTCAGCTCCATATACCACATCTTATGTTACACATCCCAACACGGCATCTTCTCAGCCTACGAGTGCTCCCCCCGTAAATGGGAATTTTACCTCTGCAACGCCGGCATCGCAAAATGCAACCGCCTCCGCTTATACTGCTACTGGGACACAGGCCTACAAGCCTCCTACGTCTGCCGGTGCGTATACGGCTCCTTCAGCCTTTGCAAGTAAGTCTGCGGCGGCAACTACGCATAGTGTTCAACAGCCTACTGCGAATCACCATCATACAAGCAGCGCTATGCCTCCGATAACCACGTCCTACAATCCCCCTGTAGCTTCTACCCCCAGCGGCCAACCTTCTTCTGCTTCGAAGCCCACCGTAACAGTGTCGACGAGTGGCTATGCCGCGCCATCTACAACCCATAGCAAGAACGCTGCTCCCCCCGTAAATACCACACAAACAGCTAATGGTTCTGCTCCACTCTCCAGCACGCTTGGCTTATACCCCACATCAACCGCGAACGGCATTAGCACTCAGCCGTCGTCTTCCGCAGAGGCCCACAAGTATCAATATAATCGTCAGGCAGCCCCACAGTCGTCCGCTCCTCAACATCCTACTTCCACTGCTCATGTCTCATTTAGTACGAAACCTCAGACCACTGAAAACTCGCACGTTGATCCATCGCGTTCTCGTGATACTACATCTGCGTCCCGCAACCCTTCCTCGCAGGTACCTACTTCGGTGACTCGTCCGACCGTAACTACTACGAGTCAACAGGCACACCATCGTAGTGTATCCGCACCGACTGGACAACCTTCAACCACAGGGCAGAATCCACCCTCTCCTCGCAAAGTCTCCCAACCAATACTTTCGACCGGTACTTCATCGCAGCCATTCCCGTCCAAATCTTCACCCCCACAACCTGTGCGAGGTCCTGTGTCTGGACACCCGTCCACTCCGGCGCCGTCACGCGCTCGCGTCGTCCCACCTCCCCTCGACCGCACGAAATCACATGATTCTGAAGGTCTGAAAACACCATCATCCATCGCCCAGTCCCCAATGCCCCCACCTGCTGCTATGCCTGTCAGACAAAGGCAGATATCAACGGACTCCAAAGACTCCACGAAGAAAAAGCACGCCATCTTCTCTATGTTCCGGACCAAGTCTGGGTCGAAACAGTATGAAAATCCTGCTCCTTCCCCACCAGCAAGGACGTCCACCGATCAGCAGCGTTCTCATACTGACCCACCGGCGGCTGTCTCTTCGTCTCAGAGACCGGCCAAGGACCTCAAGGAACGCCCACATACCCAGCAGGCTGCCGCTCCAACTACCTCCTCACATGCAAATGGTGGCGCTTTACATGCTCAGCCAAGGTCGAAGAGCAGATCTCCGAATCCTGTCACTGCTCCACCCGTGAAGCCTAGTACGCGGGACCGCAAGGAATCCGGGTCCAATTTGCTTACGCCGTTCAAATTCCTTACGATGAATTCGAAAAGGAACAGGACGATGTCAGCCGCATCTCTGGACGTGTGTGACGGGAACACTGCGGTGCGTAGTGTCGTCTTTCTTTTTTCGTAATAGTAATAAAGCTGAGCTTTTTCGTTCCATAGACTAACACGGTCGTGGGATCTCCCGCCCAATCGACCGTCAGTCACGCGCCCTTCCCGCCTATTGCACCACCACCAGTGCGTGACCCTATGATCGCGACGACAGAATGGCGGGACAGGGAGGAAGCGGAGAGACGCGAGCAGAAGCGTGGCAAGGTTCTCCGACCAGGCGTCACCTTTGACGTCGCTGAGGATCCGCCGCCCACGGGCTCATCTAGTAAGAGGGGTACGAAGCTCGTCCGTCGCAAGTCTGGACGCACTGGAACGCGTGAGCGTTGATGAATGCCTTCGTTTTGTATCTTCTATTGTGAGGGTGTTGTGAACGGTTTTGAGTGACATGGCCAGATTGTCATTATGAAGTCATGAAAGTACTTTAATGCATCGCATATATGTATTCTATGCCACATCCTAGTTGTCGTATCGGATTCGCTTTCGTTGTATTGTAGTTATTTGCTTTGACAGCTACCCGCCTGCTATGTAATGATGATGATCGTTGTACCCAGCGACGTGCTCCCCGCGTGCCCCCAGAATAGGACGAGACTGCAGCTCCGGTACTTAATGCTCGTCATGTACGTGTGTCGACGATAGCCACAGATGTAAGAACATTTGTAGTACTCGTATACGTAAGGTAGAACGCTGTGGGTCAGTTGTAGTATGTACACTTACAGACCATTCGCTACATAAATTTGAATATCTGGAGTTTTATTCAGTGTATCGAAAAAGGCGGGGAATTTTTTCAAGGCATAAACGAGACACTGATCATCATGAGGGAAGGTGGGACACTCTGTCCTGCTACATTAGCTATGAACCAAGGCATGACAATGGCGAATTCAATATTGGAACTGCCATGTACTGGGGCCTTGGATCATGCCAGAGCAGAACAGAGTGACACCACTGGCCACTCATCAAATGACCAAGAGCAGATCCATGCCGATGAAAACAGGAGGGGTAGAACAAGTTTATGAGAGTGAGTGGGGACGAAACAAGGAGCGAGCGAATGCTGCCGATAGATGCTGTCTCAGAGTCGACGTTGTTTTATAGTCCAGGTTTCATTATTTTTTCTATTTTCACTCCGGAGAATGGACATTCGGTTTTCATGAACCGTTTGCCCCCGACGTTCGTCACAGATATGGTATTATCTGATCGGGGACGTGCTATAACCTGCGAGCCACCCACTGCCTTTCGCACGGAATTGGAACGCACAGCAGAATAAAATGTAGCCTTCTGACTTCCAAGTCGAGAAGACCCTGTGAAGGCGTCACTACACAGCAAAAAAGGGTTGGCATATATACACCACGCTAACCCATTTTTTGCAGGCTCGTATCGCGGCATTCCGATTGAACCATGTTCCGAGGCAGTGAAAACATGATATCACGAGTCCTCGTTGCATTGATCTGACAGGACCCACATGAGTCCACTCGCGCACGATGATCGTTTGATCGTTTTATTTTGCATAGCACGTTTGTCTGTCGGATTCTAAACCACCAATCCCTGAGCGGCTAGGAGCTTTCCAAAAAGGCATCTTTTGTGGAAAAGGGATCGGTGGCGCTCGAATAATTAATCCTTGCTTGTGATTCACGGGAAACAAACGAAAGGTGATGGTAGTGATGCAGCGGTCGGCAGAATAGGCCATGCTTATCAGTGATTAAAAAAAAGTTGTTAGTGGGGGTCACATGTCTCTACTTCGTGTTCTGATCGGATGTGCTGCTAAGGCATAACGCCAACAGAACTCAACAAGGTCGTAGTTGGAGATAGTGACAGTGGCGAAGAGAGAACATCAAAAGACCGGACCGACTCACCGACCAGCAAAGAGTAGCGTTTTGCTACAAATTAACAAGCACATATGAAGTTCAGGCGTAGCCGGTGAAGGAAGGCGTTAAGCGTCGACTCTGGCAACTGGATATGTTTGAATGAACCTTCCGGAGTCAGGGCACACAATACTGTATCAGTTTCTGAAAAACAGCTCAGAATTGTTGCCGACAAAGACAACGCACTGGCAGGGGAATAACCTAGAATAATAATCTAGAATAATGAAAAGGTTGCCCTCGGACTCTAAGTGTCACAGAAGGAGTGTCATATCATCTTGCTGTATTACCCCCGAGCTAAGCCTGGAAAGATCCGCCTTCATGCGAGTATACTCTACGGACCCTTTGAAGAACGGAACCCCGAAGGCCACCATCCCCCTTCGGCTGTACCAGTCGCAGCTGCTCACTCGCGCATCGCACCACAAGACCGTTGCACCCAACCTCGTGCATTCGGCCATGACATGGTTCAATAACTTCGTTCCGATCCCCCTACCCTGGAAGTTAGGGTGACATGCAAATTTCCGAAACCGAAGAGCAGCCGCGTTGTTGTCAGCCAGTTCACTGGCTTCGCCGCAGGTTACCGGAATGGCCTCAAGAAACAACGAGACAACGGCGACAGGTTTATCGGAGCATGGTAAGAACGCGCCAAAGTGGTAACCAAGATCATCTTCAGGCAAGCGGACGTAGGAAAGTGGCATGGTGGGCCACAAAACCGAATGCCGCAGTGCCAAAGTGTCTTCGGTTTCGATGCGCCTTACGTCGACAGTCACAAATACTGCAAGACAGACCCAGTGGGGACTAGTTGGGAATATCTCGTTCCGATGACTTACATTCGGTTGCAATGGTTGTCTGGTTCGCCATGTTGAAGTGACTCCCTTGTTTTTCCTTTACCAAGGTTTATGTACGTAGTTTCGAATCAAGTACTATTAGGCGAGTCCTCACTGCCTACCATATATGTATGTGCGACCCGTCATATCCAAAGATCTAATCTTTGGAAAGCTGTGAATCTAAGAACCAATGGTGAAAGCGGCAATATTCAGAAAGGACACAAGTTGGTTCCCTTGAACCGGACCGAAACCCGAAGCCTTAGGCGCGATCAGCAACAGACTGCCTCCAGAAGCGTACTACTAGTTCAAGTCAGACATATAAAGGGGTTTCCAACTGTGTCTTCATATGGATTGACCTCTGGCAATTTAATTCGACCAGCCCGCAGCGTGCAGTGGAGGACCTGTCTCCCACATACTGGTCCCATGATGCGACGCATTCATCGCCCCTGTGCATTCATGGTGGACGGCGCTAGCTGGGGACAAAGGGGGTAACTGCGTTGCTCGATAATATTGGGGGTGTTTAGGGGTGAATCGATCGTTCCTCTCTGATCCTGTCTACTACCATGCATTTTGGGATCCTTACATCTGTCGTCGCATTATCGCGTATTGCAGTGACTGTTGCACAGTATTCAAATGTGGTGTGCAGTGCAAGTTACACATGGGTGACTCTCGCATCATTACATCTATTGTCTCGCCATCTCACTGTGGTTTGTTGGCAAGGCAAGCAACTCACTGAACCAGAATCCATGCATCATCGCCTCCTATCTAGAGTCCCAATGTGACAGAGGTGGTGAGCTAATGCCAACTCATCGACGACCAGTCAGTCACACCTAGGACTATAGGCTTCACTGTAGCCGCACTTTCTCCAAATGCATACTACATTGGCCCCAATGTGATCGAATCCAATGCATGCGAGTGTAACGCCGTGGTATATTCTTTGGTTTGTGCCTGTGCTGCATTGTCAAGGTGCCAAGTTTGTCTCGTGAGTACTTCTCTGTATTACTATACCATGAATGGGAAGCGCCCCTTGGTAATATGGTAACATACCAGCTGGCCTAGCTGGACGACGAACTGTGGCAGCAACACTTCAGACAGGTAAGACTACGGACCTCAGGGAATGTATGTCAACTATATGAAGTTGTACCTAGTCTGCCAAGCCCTCCCCCGCTCGGTACTGTCGTGCCTTCTTGGGCCTATCTCAACATAGGGGTAAGCTTGTGAGATCTCTACACACCAACCACTGAAAGTGTTCGTTTAGACCGACGGGAGTTGGAACGCAAGTGCAGCCTATGAAAATGCCAGCAAGTACATTCTCGCAGTTACCTCAGCATCCTTTTCATCTCAATACACAGCTGCGACACAGTTGTCGCCGACGGCATCAACCACGCCCGTCACGTACAATAATTTCCACTCAAAAATCGGGAAAACTATAGGCGGAACGGTAGCGGGTATCGTCGGCGCACTTCTCCTTACCTACCTCGTGGTATTATGGGTGCGCCGACGACAGCGAAGATATAACCAAAAACGCATCGAGAGATTTCCATTCTCCCGGTTAGGCAGTGGTAACCAAGAACGTTCATTGGCGGTGTTTTATGTGTGTACCCCTGTCACCGTGTTGCTGGAATGAATATGGCTGAAGGATTTCCAGAAGCCAGATGACCACTACATGCCGCAAGGAACATCCAAGTCATCCACGATTACAATGACCCCTCCAGCAACGCCAACGGCAGCTTACCATCAATATCCTAACAGAGACGCTAATATCTGAGGTTTTTGGGAAACATTTTGCGTTAGACATGGTCCCGGTGACTTTTTCTCTGGATGCGATGCGCGTGGGATGGATGGGGTTGAAAACAAATAACGTTGCTACTGTTGATGACTAGGCGAGCAAGACGGTTGCACGACCAGGACGGATTTCATTTTTTGCAGATAGACCACGAGAGTGATCGGCGCCGCTAACTCCGGATACACCAACCTACAGTATTACACGTTGCCCATTTCTTTGCCGGGGTGACACTGGGACAGGAGTAGACCGCAGTTGACATACTTCACCATAAATCCATTCGTTCTTTATTCCCTGGATGGCCGCCGCACTGCAGCGTCTAAATCGACTCATGAACGGAGAAACTGGCAGCAATGGCTCAACTCGAGGAGCAACAAGCTATCCCGGTGACCACCATGATGGTGATGCAATGGGAATGTGCAGTTATCAAGCTGTTCAAGTAGTTATCAAAGTCAGTTTTGCCAGCGGCCAAGTTAAGTATATAAACAACATTTCGCGGGCGGTCTTCAGGAACAGACAACGCTTGGAGGGCTAAGACAGTTGAGACGTGCTTGGAGGGGCGGAAAATAGGGGTAGATGGCAGTGAATGCAGACGGTGGACAGAAAAGCGTTCGAACCTTCCAGCGCCAGGTGCAGCTATGAATGTCCCTAGTGTCAGGCAGGAGACGCCGGAGCCTTCAACCTTGAGCAAATGCTTGCTTGTTCCGACCACAACCTACCAAGAATGCGTCCACAAAAAGATACGACCTAGTACTGGACATGGTCTAATTGCCACAGATCCAGATCTAGTGAGACATCCTGACAGGAGCTTACATGGCCGGACGAATCCACACGACACGGTGTCGACTACCACGGTTCCCCTCGAACACCAGTCACTGTCGGGAAGCCGGATGGCATGTTGAAACATCCAGAGGGAAGTATGCCACTATCTCCGATCAAGAATTAGGTTTGCACAGGAACGAGGGTTCCCGGCCAACTGACTGTGGCAAATGCAGACAGAGCTTTCTGGGGCGCCCATTGGCGGAATTTCAGATACCAACGAACCACACAGGATGATACCGGTTAGCTTCATCGCGGAAGAATTCAAATTCTTTCCACAATATATCGCACATGCGGCACGGCTCACCTGGTTATTCTCCTGCGGTCTACTTGACATGCCTAGGTTGTCTAAGTTGCATTTAAAACAGTCATTCCCCAGTTAGCAGAGATTTGACTCGACCGTGAATCTATTCCTTTGTTTCAAAGGGTAAACTCTGCATCACGTTAGTAACAAGGCTATACCCAAGTTCTTCCAAGTCAAGATCAGCTCCTCTAGGAGTACGTACTTGGCAAGTTAGATCGATCTCCCTCCTACAGCAATTCGCATGTTGGTGCAGTGCACGAAGCACGAAATCAGATTTTCCAGCCGGGCCACCGACTTGTCAGTGCATAGCTCCGGTTGTCTGACCCCACAAAGAGCAAGTATTGCCCACGGCGGCCCTACGCTAATCCAAAGGTGGTCGTCATCGGGTACAACTGTACAGCTTTGTAAGTAGGTGTCTGATCCACTTGAAGGGTTGCATCCAGGGGCAAAATCTGTGGTCTCCATAATTCGACGGGTATCGCATGAGTTGGCTTGACGGAGGAATACGGGTTCCAACGTCCGAGACAGCTACCCGCAAATGCGGACGGAGCCAACAGGCTCAATGTTGGGAGCGCTTAGTTGATTCGCGGATGTCAGCGAACAACCATAGAAGATACCGAACTGCTCCTTACATTCCGGAAGGGGTCGGGTCCGTTTGTCCACCAGCACGCATCACATTCACATGCCTCACCGAACAATTCGCCGACAGCTTCCTGGTGGCCTGTCTAGGGGACCTGACCTGTCAGAGTGGCTTTCACTGCCCAATCAACGTGACTTGACTCCACATGGCCCACGTTGAAGTCAGATTTTGATTTCTTTTTGTTTTGTGTTGTTTCAGGGGCCACGAACCTGTCAAAATACCCGATTCCTTCCAAGCTGCACACCGCAGAATTTCCTCACCTCAGCGTGGGTTCGGCTGCCTAGCGGGTCCACGGTTTAAGGATAGCAATTGCCCACAGCCCAAAGGAGATAGGTGTGAGCACAGACTTCGAGGATAAGCGTAACCAGGCCACCATATGTGTGTACGTCTAGTAGACACTGGTTTCCGCAGTCCCGTAAACTTGGACCGACCATATATGACCTTTTATCTGCTTGGAACTCCCTCACTGCTCATAATCCTCACATTTCAGCGCTATTGGTCAACGACCATAGGTGAATCTCCCCATGAAGCTTGTCTTTTCGGACGACTTTGTTCGTCATGCAACAGTCAGCGATGAATTTGGCAACGTCCTCTACAAAGTGACCACCTCTGCATGTGAGGGGATCAGGACCCCACGGAGATCAACGGTGTGGAAGGCAGTCCCTGGTCGTGCCATCCCCGTGGACGGCCATGCTCCCTCGCATGAAACCAGCCATGAACAGGATCTCGTGCACGAGGGGTTTAGGAAGCTTGGGGAGATTGAATGGCATACATTCTCTCCTTCGAAGCTTCGTATGTTTGAGAATGGTGGTGGTTTAGCTGACTTAAGCGGTGAGGGGATGAATTCCAAGGAATTCATTCCAGCCAAAGGTAGACTTCGTCGGTCAGTCAACTCTTTGCTCTACTATCTCTGAAACCTGATCACTTACGGACACTAACTTAGTGAACGTGCCTTCAAGGGCCCAGATGGTCACACTTATCGCTGGGAGCTGGGTCTCTTGAAATGCACGGTAAACTATGTTTTCCGTTTCCCGATCGAATTCCGGCGCTGAGAACTTGCCTATGCAGCTATATCGGGATGATGGCACCTCTAACCCTTTCCCAATTGCAAAATATCACCGACGCCGCAACTTCTGGCTCCCGTTCATCAATTCCCAGGATGGTGGCTATCTCGACATAAATGCTACAGTACGAAGTGCCGCCGACGTAGACGCGAAGAGTGCTGATGGCTTTTCGGTGGCCGAATCACGTACCGTGTGTGATACCGCGAGTGTGACCTCTGGAAAGGATGTGGAGTCTCTGGTTCCGAGTGAACCATCCGAACCGGATGGTAATATGCTTGATTTGCTTGTTTTCACGTACATTTATGTGGAAAAGCTGAGGAAGGACAGGGAGCATTGCATGCACCCCAAAGATCCCTGGACGATCTGGGGGATGATACACGCCTAGTCATTGGTATTGATGCGTTACCAATCCCTTCAAGTACATGATCTATGTCGCCGACTTTCGTCTTCGTTTATGATTCTACTCTGCTCCGTTAATTCGCGAAGGCTATATCTCGAGTTACTGTAATCACAGCGTCTCGTTGGACAATTTGTTCTGCGCTAGGTTATGAACAAGACCGAGCCGCATATTTGTCTCAGACCCTGAAGGCTTAATCGTCCGTCCAATGTACAGCATATGCGGCTAAGTTTCGCCGGCCGCCAACCTTGCTCCCAGCAGAGACCCATGCACGTTTGTTCAGCCTCTGAATTACACACGATGAAATGAAGGAGTACAGCTAACGCGATTACGACGTTCGTCATCTGACACATGTACCTACATAACTAAAGCTTAGGCACTCTGAGGGTCTTGCTGACCATTGCAGCAGCCCACAAGCCAAAGATGATACTAACGGGATGAATCTCTCCGCGTCCCCCGGAGGCACCCCAAAGCGTGACAAGTCCACCTGGGATACCATCCTTGCCTTCAATCCAGCCCTGTCGTACCCAGTAAGACAACATGGCCACGAGACCCAGTGATGAAGGGATTGGGAGTCCCTCGAAGTATCGTGCCTTGCCAGTTGTATCCTTGGGTACGAGGGCGACTGTTGCGTTGAAACGAGCGAGCCGGGCGAGGCCACAGCATATAAAGCCAGTTAGACACACAGTATCAAGGTATGTTCGAAGCCCCACGACGAATGCAAGGACGGCGGGGGCGACGCCGAAGGATATCTAATGCAATTACGGTCAATTACGAAATACCCTCGGTATTAATGATGGTTGGCTTACCAGGTCCGCCAGACTGTCGAGCTCCTGTCCCAGCAAGCTAGAGGACTTCCTCCATCTAGCAACTTTTCCGTCAAAGAAGTCAAACATGAGTCCGGCAAGTGGGAGCGCAAGGGCCCATCGTAAATAGTCGTCGTCGTTCGTTACAAGGTATTGTGTGGATGAGAATATGGAGAGCGAGCCGCAGACACCATTCATTATGGTAACAAGATCCGCAAGCCTGAAGTTCCTATACGCACACGACCACCTGTCAGCGCCAATATGTGGATCGTCCACACAACTCCACCAACCTGACCAGAGAGAAATGGCCATCGGTATCGACATACTGTCGAAGTACAGTTGCATCTTGCTCTTTAGCAGCACCGTTTCCCTTGGATGCCTTACTACGAGTCATGAGTGTGTTCTTTGGAAGTGAGAGTAAGATGGCAAAGATGGGCAGACGACACAATTTCAGCCAGCCAGCCTGTTGCAGCGTAGGCCGAGACAAGGTAAATTTGGCAGGTACCGGTGATCGAGGTCCCTCGCCACCCTGGGACTCCGGACACGGTTATCCATACACAAAATGCAACTCTAAACACAAAGTACATCAAAATACCTAATCAATCCACTACTACTGCCATCGCTGTTCCTTCTTGCGACTGTTCCTTCTCAATCTCTATGCTTCGTGCAGCGTATTGGTTTGGATGAGTGACACTTTCTCCACCGCCTATTCCATCACCCTTCTTAACCCCTTTGCGCGCATGTGTAATCTCGAATACTCGCGTGCATGCGACGTGGTAATGGCCATCCTTCACTGTCCGCATGATTTCATGTAGATCCGTCGTGTCCAAACCTTGTGACGAATAGTGTGTTAGGAGACTGCTCTGTAAGTTTTCGGGCGAAAAATGGCGATATGGGCAACCATGACAATCGCCAACGCCAGGTTTGTCGGTCGTGAGGATCTGTTGGCAGCTACAATGCACGGGGTCGAGTCGTGAGAACGGCCGATCAAACCGAAAAATAATATCTGGTGATCACCTCTTCGCTGGATAGTTGGCCCGCTTGCCCTCCAGGCCATATGAATGTCGGATGTTGTACTTGTATTCCTTGTTGAACTTGTCGTCCGTTAAGTTGCTGAAGGACTTGCGCCAAAAGTGGATCGCCTCATCAATAGAGAGACCCAAAACCTGCAAAGGGTCGCTCATCGGCCGATAAACACTGCCGTCAAGTCGTCGACCCTACCTTAAGAAATAGACCATACTGCAGCCTTCCAAAGTGCTTTAGGTGCCGATCACGGGTCAAACACTCGTGGAGGTTGCGCATACACAATGGGAAGTGTTTCTTTGCCATATCACCGATCATCTCCGCTCGGATCTCATCACCCGACGATGGAGCACTCGACCATTCTGAGGGAATACCAACGAGGAAGCCTTGTGATAGGTTGTTTAATATAGGTACCAGTCTCGTGTCCTCGTCCATTCGCGGGAAGCATTTTGGCGGTGTGCTAATTGAAGAATTAGCCAAAATTCCCGCCGTCTGCGAAACCTCCTTACCTCGAGTGCTTTTTCTAGTCTACTTTCAAATTCATGAAAAATTATACTCGATATCTCCTGGCTGGAAACATAAGCGAACCCTCCTCGTAGAAAGACACGTCGTTTGGCAACTAAATCAGGTACTTTGGTCCAGTGTACCTAGGATGAACCTGAGTAGCCCCGCGCGTCGGATGAAGCAAGACGCACCTTGACATAATCTTGGATCGGTGGGTTGTCGCTAGGAGTAGACGGCTTTACTTCCAGAGCCTTCAGCGCCTTCTCCAAAGAACCTCTCTCATCCGCGCCAACCTGTTGATCGTAAGGACCCACAAGGGAAACAGCTCGTATCCTGTGAGGCAGTCACCTTCGTCCAGCCGAAATTCAGCGAGTTTATGAACTCGATCCTTTCGGGTATATGATCCTCATCATATCTCACTTGAAACAATGTTGTCTCTGCTTTTACGAATCTCCTCCTGAGTTCTTCCCTTCCAAAAGAAAGTAGATGGTCAATTAGTCCCATACGACTCGTACGAAAAGCGCGACTTACGAGCGACAAAAGGCGAGCCTCAACACGAAATGTCCTAGATGATCCCTCTTCCGTTGTTCTTGCGAATTTATATGCCCAATTGCTGTCTTGTTGGAATTCAAGTACAAGTATTTTCTGCATAGCTTCCCCGTCACGCCCTTCAGCTCGTCCCAGGTCCGATTCCGTGCGTATGAAGATTCGATTTCGGCTAGAATCCGTAGGCGATCGATAGCACACTCTTCTAAGTCCTCTACTGTCGCCTCAAAGAGTGGGGGTCGTTCGTAGCTGGTTTATACACGTTCAGATTAAAGACATCAATAAGATTGATAGGATTCCGCACAAGTTCAATCTGTAAGGATACTCGCCAGCGGTGCCTGCACTTTCTGATGTAGTCAGGGCACGTTTCTGAGGTTTGATATCGCTGTGCTTAAACATTTTGTTGGTGTGCCTGCAGTCTGTTGTATGCCGTCAGAAGTCCCGACGTATGTTCTGGACCGCTGAGCGGGACGAGGCAGGTCTCGCACGAGAAGTCGTGACGCGTGGTGGACGCGTGCTGTCACGCGTCTTGTCCACTTACGGTCGTGTACGAGTTTACAATTGGCACGTTCAGGCACTTGCAGTTGTCGTCTAACTTGAATTCTCAGTCTCCCCTGCGCAGTCCTAGTACGGTTCGAACTTGTAAGTCAACATTGGTCTATATTTCCGAATTTATCCCCAAATTCACTGCTTTTCACATCTAGACTTCTCTCCGTGCTGAGTCGGTATCTGTAAGATTAGTGCCTCTAGATATATGTACCAGTAGCAAGTACCGCATTGTATTAACATCCTATCTCGCACCATCGATGTCGCGATCCCAAAAAGTACTTTTGGGACTGCAGCATCGATGGCGCCAGGTATGCCGGATACGACGAGGTGGAATGTCGAATATTGTTATCAGGCCCTAGGAAAATCATCTCAAGGACATTCGACGTCAAATCCTAGTAAGTCGGTCTCCTCATTAAAACGCAAAACAGCATGAGTGCATAGCTACGATATGACGATATGAATATGGTATGTATAAGGCGCAGCCAGGCAGACTTAGTCTGTCTGTCGAAGTCGCTTTAGAAATGTCCAACTGCAAAAATTCAGCACGAGCGGTGTGCGGAAGCATGCGAGCTATCCATGTCTCCGATCGATCAAGTCGCACCTTCCATCGTTTATTAGCCCCGGTCAATAAGAAGTCTAGATCAAACTGCGCTTCTTGCGCCCTCCCCCATCCCTCATCTATCCAGAACCGCATGTGGCAAGTACCGATATCAATCTTTCTTCTCTAGCTTGGCAATCGAATCTTTCTCCCGTTCCGCTGCACGTTCTGCGAGGTCGACACCAACCAGGATCTTGCTTGCTTTCCATAACTGCACGACGTTGATCACATTTTTGATAAGGCAGACCGGGAAGGTGAGGATAGCCATGACTGCAGGCCACGTGAGAGAAAGTAGGAACGCGGGGAAGTGTGATACGAAAGGTGATGGGAGTGAGGCCTGAGAAGGGCGTTTGGATCCATTTCATGAGGTAGAGTGAGACGAAGAATAGTTCGTTCCCTGCACACATGAAGAACAGAGTTCGCTGTATGGGCGCCGTTGTGACAGTGAGTTCGACATCAGCATAAGAAGGCTAAGAATGCATACAGAATCGTTATAGTAGTACCACAGGATTCGGCTGACATCACTCGTGACGAGCTTGTGGCTTCTTGAACCTGTCACAAGAGAGCTAGGATGATGTATCAGCTCGCAGGGATCCCCAAAGGATGCCATGGAAGAGCCATCATCAGAGAAGTGGGACTGCTTACCTGTACATGTGCATGTAATGACTCGAAAAGTCGAGTGCGATAAGGAACTGGAACAAGATAGCATAGCTTGGGTATGCAGAGGAGAGATAACACAAGAGACATGATGTTGTGCATCTGTGTTTGGGCACAACTCGTTAATATAGTAGCCTCAGCGAGAGGAGGTAGTTAAACCACAGCAAGGCGAATGGAATAGTGGAGGGGTGGGGCAAACGGAAGTAGAGCAAGTACGCACCGGTCTGTGACCATGTCCAAAACTGCGCCAAACTTTGACGTCTGGCCCAGCGCCCGCGCAGCGAGACCGTCCACTGCATCGAGCAAACAGGAAATGCCGTACAACAGGGTACAGTATCTTGGGTGATAGCTCATAAAGTGCAGGGAGAGCCCTGCGAGTATGACACGTGTGTATCCTACGAACCAACGAGGTTAGCGTCGTGTAACAGCGGGAATAAGTGGTGACAGCGTACCAATTAGGTTTGGCACGAAGAGAAAGACGTTCTCAGAGTATGATTGAGCAGTAGCCAGATCAACGGCCACCTTGGCATCGACGACGTCAATGGAACCGCGTCTCCGTATCTTGTGCGCCTTTGGAGTCATTGTTCCCGCTGGAGGTATGGCAGGTGAAGAATGTGCGCGTGCCGAACCGTTGGAATGTCTGGTCATTGTGTGAGTTGGGAACGGGTGCGGTTCGCGCGGGAAAAGAGAGGGTAATGTTTTGTTTGAGAGGGGCCACCGATGACGCTTCGGTTTTTATAAAGGAACGAAGAATGCGGTTAGGTTAGTCAAGTGGGCTATGAGTGGACCCAAATGGCTGCACGACCACACGAGTTGTGGTGTTGGGGGCGAGGCAGTTGAAATGCTGCAAAACCGTGAATTTTCCAGTAGCCGACATCACGTCAGCAGATATGTGTGTGTATAAGAGATTAGATTGGTCGATAGTACAACGTCACTAGGGAAGGTAGGGGGTATAAAAACTACAGTCCAGCCATTCCAACCTATGCAGTCGTCGTCGCACTCGGACTCGCCGTCGTTGAGCTCGAACTTGAACTCGAACTCGAACCGGGTGGATGCTGGGAAAAGTACACTCCCACGCCGATCCCAACGGCGGCAAGGATGATGACGACTGTCAGCCAGAAACATATCCATCGCTTCCGACGGGCAGAGCGGGCATGTCCAACGGCGATCCCGACCTGTTCCGTCCTGGATCAAAATTAGGTACTGCACTTGATTCCGGAGAAAGCGGTGCGGGAAAACTCACCCCCTTTTAGTGTCAGTATTGACTTCCGCCGCCCTTGTTTCGATGTTGTCAACCTTCTCCTGCTGCTGTTCGATAAGAGTTGCCATCTGATTCATAAACACATGCCTAGTCAGGCATTCGAATCGGCAGAGCTGAGACTGCAACCCACGTCATTAAATAGCTGTGCAAGCTCGGCTAGTGTGTGTTCAATCCGCTGGATGTCTTGGTGACGCTCTTGCACTTCGCGGTACGCTTGGCGAGACTCTCCATAGCGGTTGGACGATGAGATCTGTTTGAAGACGTGAGTTTATGCACCTGCAGCAATGATAAATGAGGACTGACAGCTTGGAGGAAGATACCGTTCGCGCTGCCCTCTGTATCGTTGACAACTGCAGACACCTCTTCAGGGGTTGCTTCGGGCTTGACTGACGAATCCATCCAACATGAACCACTTATAATACCACCAGCGGGAACTACACACCGATTTTGAACTGGCGCTCCACGCGATCTCGGTACCGTTGACGATACTGTTGTTCGACGGTCTGGTATCTCTGAAGCGCCTCGACAAACTTTCCGTGGACGAGGGTAATCTATGCGAAGCACTGATTACCTCGTAAGTCAGACAACGCACTCGGTTAACTCACTCTGTTCTTCCTAATTTCTGCGTCGTTTCTGCTTATTCCGCTAACGGGGGTCTGTAGGGCTTTGATACGTCTTGAAATTTCGTTGCTCAGTGCTCGTGTGGCATTCGTAAGTTCAGCAAGTCGAGAAGCATTGCTTTCCGATTCTTGTTCTGAGAGGGCATTCAGTGAACGGGCGTGAAGGTCGGAAATAGTAGCAATGTTCGCGTTGAACTGAGAAATCGCTTCTTGGATAGAAGTCACCTGTGTACGCAGCTGAGACAAAGAAGAGGCGATGGACAGAAGAGCATGTACCTCCGCGTAGAATCCAGACATGGTTGAAATGTCGTTTGGTTCGCCGTTGGCGTACGGGTGGTCAGAAGAGCGTGCCTGTGAGACGCTCTGCATCTCAATGGCCCCCGCCCCTTGGACCTGCCTTTGTGCCTGTACAACATACCGTGAGCCTGTAGCGCCATACGAACCAACATGAAACTGGTGTATACCCTGTGTGCGGCGAGTCTGTCTCGTGTCATGTCTGATGCGCCAGTCACGGTCGTGGCACCGCAGTACTCGGCCAATTCAGAGGGGTTCAAAGGGGTCGGTCTGCCTAGCATCGCCACCTACCACGGTAGCGAGGGACCTCGGTCACCGGTGGGTAGTAGTGGTGGTGTCCGTGGGAACGTCCAGAAAAGGAAATGCCGCGGCAGGCGTTGGTGGTTATGTCAGCGTTCGAGCGTGCCCTTGGTCGGATATAATTCTGAAAAGCACCCAAATGACCACTCCGAAAGGGTCCGCCTTCCGCTCGCGCGTGGGGACGGTCATGCGTCGCTCGGAGTTCAGTATACCTGATCTCGCTGGTCCTGCGACACCCCCCGGACGCATGTCACGCAAGCCGTCTTTGTCGTCCCTCGGTCGGCCCGGGTCTTCTGCGTCGAGTCATGGGTCACTCCACCCTCACGGACGGGATGACGCGAAGAGCATTTACACGTTCAGCAGTAGTTCGAGCGGGTACGCTCAACTTGGTGGTTCTCGCACGGGAACGGAAATCTGAAGTGAAGTGTAACTTTTTCAAGGAAACCAGACGATCCCAAACCGGCAGTGCAACCACAACCAGAGACAGTGATCCCAGCACAAGCCGTTACAGCTGTATCTCCCACTGAAATCATCCATGGAGCCGAGTGAGTGGTCAAGTATATGTGTGTGCGTGTTCCTGGTGTGCTATTTTTTATACAGCGAACGTCGCCCTCTTCTTACCTCTTCACGCACAATGACTCCTCCAGTTATCACCACTTTTCCGGGGTCCTCCGCGGCCGACCCACCAGTCGTCGCACAACCCACACCTCAATTGGCACAACCAGCACGATTTGACGTCAACAATTCGGCTCGAAGTAACTACGATTATGGTTCCGTGAAACAATTTTACTCAAATGGCGGGTGGTACAAATATGTGCTGCCACATGGGATACAGTATTTCGGAAACCCCGAAAAACGCGCTACAACAGATTTGGATCTGAGGAGTCATGCAAGGTTTGAGGAAGTAGAGAGGGTCATGGAAAATGCGATGAAAAACGTGGCTGAGCGACAAGTCCCAGGGGGGTGTGAGATGTGGATTCGTCACAAGGAGTCTGGATGGAGTAAGAAGAAAGGTGTATCCATGGGAGACTTGGTGGTATTGTGGGTAGATCATAGATATAGGCGGATTCTGAATGACGTGCCCACTGATGATGGGACAGTGTCTGGAGAGGACGATCGTGAGCTGTACTCGTTCACCTTTGGCTTTGCGTGCTGATTCAGGTCCTTATATTGTCAGGTGTATTAATAGGCGACGAATATGGGTACTGGTCCTATGTCGAGATGCATCCCGCCCACGTCGTTCTCTCGCAACGATCCAGGCAGGAGGCTGCAGATGCGTTGCAATGGTCCTATGTGGATCGACTGCTTGTCCATCCCCAACCGATCCAACCACCTTTTAGTCAGGAGGAGTGTCAGGAACTCTCGAAACTGCTCAATGGTGAGGTTGGAACGTTTTCTATTCGGCTTAGTCCGTCTAACATTTTTGTTTCGACAGATCCGAGTCAACAATCCACTCTCTTATACACCCGTATAGTCGTGCGCATCCTTTTACGTGCTGGTGAGCCGTCGCACCATTCCCCTCCCTTGGTGGTATGTTCTTACAATGACATCGTTCTTGTCAGCCCACTGGCGTCAAGTCAACTTCGGACCACACAAACCGCTCTCGCGAGATATGCAGGCCCCGATGCTGCGCACCGCGATCGAGGTACTAATCGGCATACTGTGCCTGGGCATCCCGTTCTTGTTCGTGGATAGAGCAAGATATAGTGGACATTTCGATGTGGAGAGGAATTCCAGCGCGCAGAGTAGTGTGCCGTTGTTTGTTGTCGGTACTTGTTCCTGTTTCGTGGTGAGGGCTATTAACTATTTTGACGAAAGGCGTACTCGTGCCTGACTTGTTTCCCTTCCTTTTCTCTCTTCTACCCCCTCCCCTTCTTCGCTTGCGCAGTCTGCGCAAATCATCCTGAGTGCCTCCATCACGCTTATCTCGATCCCGGGGCTGGATAGTATCGCACGCATCGGAAGTCTGGTTGCTATTTTATGCTCCGTTCTAAGTATGGTCACATCTCTCCTGTCTATCTTTCGGTACAGAGTAGAGATGGCGGAGGGTTCTGCGACCCTTCACCATACCGGTGCTGCTGCCCGTGAAGGATTCGTGTTTCTTCCGGTGAGTTTGCAGTTCTCATCGTAATTCCCCGTTGTCTCCATTCCCAATTCATCTCAAACGTCTTACAGCGCCGAAGCATTAAGCACTCCCTTCCACTAGTTTTTCTCGCGTATTCTGTAGTAGGGCTCATCGCCGGTGTCGTCGTCTACTTTTCTTGAACCGCAACTATCAACTTCGTGCATGCTGCTATGTCGGCCGTCGCTATCGAGTTCGACGGGTCTGATGAACTTGACAATCCATGTAAGCAGCTGGTTGCAGATACCTGACTAGGTCCCATCCCCAGCATCGACCCATAATGTATCAGGATGCAGTTGGAAACAAGCGAATTCTGTAGATTTTGTACAGAATGGTGGTCACCATAATAAGTGTTAAATCAGACAAAAAACTACCTCTTCATTGCCAACTGGAGTTGCTACCTACTGGCACTCTTCTATGTCCTAGTACAAAATATTACTACACACAGGCATATTTTGGGGGGTCACAGGGCCCGGCAGCCCGGTTGTCCGCACTACCACTGTGAACACGACTCCAACAAGAGATGTTCTGGCCATTTGTGCTGGCCCCTCTCACCCAGGCGTTACCCGCACCTGCATTCCCATCTCCGCCTGACGGCGAGTGAGATGATCCAACAAGCGAGAGGGCGTGAAAGTCTTGAAGTATGGCAGCGTGAACTGGGGTATCGATCCGCATTGGCCATTAACAAGTTAGGCGGCGCGTGCAGACTTACCGTCCTCGCCCTCACCACTCTTGTTGGTCCCTGTACTGATGCCCAGGCCAGATCCCGTTCTTGTTCCTTTCCCAGAACGGGTTTTTGCACCGGAGTTCACCGCGTCAACGGGTGTGCGTACGTCGTGTACCAGTTTGTCCTCCCGTGACCTCCATTTGCCAATTTCTGCCTCTACCCAACGGCACCACTCCAATGATGGTGGCTGTGGAGAGGACGGAAGCGAGCCTGCTAACGACAGGGGAGGTACCTCGTCACTAAGATTACTCGATGTATGGCCTTGGGCTGACACCGAGAGCGACTGTGAAAGCGAGAAAGACCCCAACGAGTTTGCGAATTGTGGTGGGATTTGTCCGCCGAGCTGTCTGATCTCTCGCCATAATGCGCGATTCTCCTCGCGGATGTTACCCAAAAACCGAGCAACCTCACCGGGAAGTTCGATACTTCATAAATAATAAGGTCATTCCTAAATAGAAGATTCTCTGCGCTTACCGACGCGTCTCCCACGGATCAGCCTCCAACGCCTTTCGCTTGATCGTATCTAGAAGGTCCGGTCGCTCTCGAAGAAATTTGGGGTGTGAAAACTCCCATGTCTGGGAGCTCGTGGATGTGCGTTGGGCACGTGGTGTCTGATTTATCGCAAGGCATCATAAGAATGATAATGGGGGGACATAATTGGGGATAGGTTGGCGTGCCAAGATCACGAAAACGAGAAGGAAAAAAAAAAAACCGTCGGGATGAATACGAGTTCAACAACGCGGACTTACTCTATTGATTTTGTGGAACCCGTACATGTTCAGCTGTCGGACGAAAGACGAGAACTAATGGGGTGTTAGTACACATTAGGCAGCAGGGGTGAGGGTAATGGCGCGGCGTAGTGGCAAAGGGGGAGAGGGAAGAAAGAACAAAACCAGACAATACACACGTTATTGTGTTTGAAATGCGGTCCTAGTATGGAGCGACTAAATTCGCCGACATTGCATACCACGAAACTATGAGTGAGTCGTGTCAACTTCTGATGAAAGGCATGCAGCAACAAGGTGTATACCTTGTACCATGCTCTGTCCATGCAATATAATGCCGCGACTTTGGATCATTTATCATTCTGTCACATGTCGTATTGCCTCGTCATTTTCCACAGGGTTGGGTTCAAAGGCGGGAACTCACTGGTAAAGCTTGGTCACGAAATTATTTGTACCCGTCGGTTTACCCATGACGCCTCGGACGGTGCCCTGTTCAGAGCCAGATTTTCCGGTCACTGGACCTGAATGATTGAGTCTGGGAGGGAGAGGCACAGATTACGTAACAAAAGCCTACCTCCACTGCCGCTCGCGCTAGCGAAGCCGTACTTGTCATCAGAAACGTCGTCACTGATGATGCCAAATAGAGATGGAGGGGACGAGGCGGTGGTGGTGGTGATGGGATGTGAGTGACTATAAGCTGGGGTGTAGCCCGAGTGTGATTGGGAACGGGCGTGCATCGAGGGAGTTGCCAGACCAGGTTTATAAGAAGTAGGGAGAGCAGGATAATTAGGCAGCTAGGCTATTGTTTTCGAGGGACACTCTTTTCGACAGAGAGCTCCGCAGAGGAAGCGGTGTGCGAACCGGTGCCTGGTCTGCGCTGACTGAGAACTGGGTCTGGGGTGGGTGACAGACGGCCGCCCGCTGGAGCCCCGTTGAAATTGAGAAGCAAAGTTGGTTGGCGCTCGTCATGAATTACGTAAGGGAATTCACAACACGAATATCAACGGCAGGAGTGAATGTGACTTACAGGAAAATCAATAGACCGTTGCGCCATCCCAGGGTCACTCGAAGTTCGGACCGTCATGATCGTGCGCAACAAAAGATGACGGAAACAGACCAGGACTGCTCTGCGTCCTGGAAAGTAAGGGTCCCGTGCCGCAATGCAGTACCACTCGACAAGCATCGTCCATGAAACTAAGACCTGATTACGCAAAAACTCGTTTCCATAGTGAGAGTTATAGGTAGCACTACAGCACTACAGCAAAAGGCTGGCACGATGCCAGTGTCATGTTTGCGATGTCAGTGGAACCTTACATGAGTGGAATAACATTGCGGTGGGGCTCGTTCTCTTTATAGCCATGGTTACCTGCCCTCTCTCTCACACAGACATCCACCTGCACTTGGTGAATTCCTCCTCATCCTCAATCTGCGTGACTTACTCAACGAGCACAGCCGAATTCTCTCTCACTTCTTTAGCCAAATCGCACTTTTCGCATCTATCGCTGAGGTCCATATCGGTCCGTCTCTGCGTCATATGCATTGACCTCCATGTAGTCTTATCCCCACTTTGTTCTCACCGACACCCAAGATTGCCAGCTCCGTACTCTGTGTCGTTGCCCTGGGTCCCTTCGTTCTGTTTGATTGGCCTTGCTGATCCGGGTACCATTCTGATATTCAAAACTTACTTCGTTTGTTGCTTGTTTCGAGGGGTATGACTCTAATGCTCCTGTCTTATTGCAGCTGATTACGGAATCTGGCGTGAAGGCAGAACCATTTCCATCGTGTAACGGTGTATATCCTCCTGTGTAACTCCGTCCACATGATGGATATGACGGACGACGTGTCCCAAAAGCGGGCAGAGCTGGAATGCTGTCGTCCTGGGCAAGATGGCCGTGATGTTCCCCTTACCGACCTGGCGGAGGCACTCTACTACAGATTCCAAGAAGAGGGGAAAGTCGACGATTTGAACGAGGCGATCACATTATTCCGCGCCGCTTTAGAACTCCGACCACTTGGGCATCACAATCGGTCTTCATCACTTCACGGCCTCTCTCTCTGTCTTTCAGACAGATATGATGAGCAGGGGGTAGTTGCTGACTTGGAAGAAGCCATCACACTCGGACGTGTAGTAGTGGAGCTCCGCCCACCAGGGCATTCAAGTCGTGGCGTATCTCTCTACAACCTCGCTGGCTATCTCCGGTTGAGGTTTGTGAAACAGGCTACGATTCGCGACTTGGAGGAAGCGATCGAGCTGCATCGTGCAGCTCTGGAACTACGTCCCTCTGGACATCCTGATCGATCTTCATCGCTCCACGAACTTGCTCTCTGTATCTCAGATAGATATAACGAGCAGGGGGTAGTAGCTGACTTGGACGAAGCCATCATGCTCGGACGTGCAGCACTAGAGCTCCGTCCACCAGAACATCCTCATCGTGATGTATCTCTCAGCAATCTTGCTGACTACCTCAAGTTGAGGTTTGTAAAACAAGCTGTGATCCACGACTTGGACGAGACAATTGAGTTGCATCGTGCAGCTTTGGAACTGCGTCCTTCTGGACATCCTGATCGGTCTTCGTCGCTCCACAGCCTCTCTCTTTGTCTCTCAAGTCGATATGATAATCAGGGTGTAGCCGGCGACTTGGGTGAAGCCGTCGCGCTCGGACGTGCAGCGCTAGCGCTCCGTCCCCCAGGGCATCCTGACCGTAGCGTATCTCTCTACAACCTTGCTGACAACCTCCGGAAGAGGTTCCACAAACAAGCTGCGACGCGCGACTTGGATGAAGCGATTGAGCTGCATCGCGCAGCTTTGGAACTATGTCCCTCTGGACATTCTCTTCGGTCTTTGTCGCTCCACCATCTCGCTCGCTGTCTCTCGCTTAGATATGACAATCAGGGGGTAGTTGCCGACTTAGACGAAGCCGTCACGCTCAGACGCGCAGCACTAGAGCTCTATCCACTAGGGCATCCCGGCCGTGGCGGAGTTCTTTACCCCCTTGCTCGTGCCCTCTGGAAGAAGTTTCACAAACAAGCTGACACGCCTGGGTTGCAGCGGGCAAATTCTATTCGTAAAGCTGCACCAATGGTCCGTCCAACAAGCCGTGCTGATGTTCCCTCCTCACTCTTCGAGCTCTCGCGACACCTCTGGGACAGGTTTCAGAACCAGGCCGCATTGGCCGACTTGGACGAGGCTATTTGCCTCGCAACATACGTTTTGGAGCTCCGACTACCAGGACATCCTGATTATGCTGTTTCCATCGAACAGCTTGCTCTTTTCGTTGGGGAGGGAGTCCAGCGGTCAAACTCGGACGAAACTGTCCTTGGTCGGGCGGTAGGCAATTTAGGTGCCCTTGCGAATTACTTTCGGGACAGATCTCGCAGTCAGAATGCAATCGCCAATCTGAACGAGGCCATCACACTGTACCGATATGCACTGCAATTCCACCCGACTGGGCATCCCAGTCGCGCCTCGTCCCTCCACGACCTTGCAGAGTGTCTAGTAGACCGGTTTCGCCAACAACCAGTAGCAGCTGATCTGGATGAGGCTATTGCGCTTGAGCAAGAAGCCGTGCGACTACTCATACCCGGAGATTCTCGTCACGACATATCCCGGTGCTGTCTTACAGCCTACCTCCAAACAAAGATCAGGTCACATGTTGCTGTGCCACCCTCCAATGCTTCTCCTCCTGCCTACTTCGACGTTAAGCGAGTCATCCGAGATGTCGCATTTGACATCCTCAAAGCCGTGCCGCCTAGGCTGTTGCACACACATACCGGCTTCCTGTGCAATCGGGATGCTCAGATATCGCATTTTATGACCAGTCAACAGTACAGTCAACTGCTGTCGTCGTGCAAAACGTGCGACCCAAATCAACGAATGAAACTCATCCGTACTGAAGTCTCGAGACACTTTCGGTTTGTGATGCTTTCTCATCGCTGGGGTGAAGGCGAGCCATCATTGCGCAACGTCGACGGCCACCCGATATATGGTATGTCATCAAACGGCGGCTTCGGAAAGCTCCAAGCCTTCTGTCTTGTTGCCTGCGAGCGGGGTTACTTGTGGGCATGGAGCGACACGTGCTGCATAGACAAGGACAGCAGTGCGGAAGTGCAGGAAGCAATAGGATCAATGTTTGTGTGGTACCGACGGTCTGCCCTGACCATTGTGTACCTCTCTGACATTCCTGATACCGGTTCGTTTGGGAGCAGTGAGTGGTTCGGACGTGGGTGGACCCTCCAAGAACTACTGGCTCCTGGAAACATACTGTTCTACACTCAGTCCTGGTCACTTTACAAGAATCTCACGTCTTCGAACCATAAAAATGATGCTACTGTGCTGGAAGAGTTGGAGAGGGTAACTGGAATAGAGTCCCGGTCCCTCACCGACTTTTCCCCGGGTATGGATGACGCACGCTCAAGACTGCAATGGGTGTCACTGCGTCGCACAACGCGGCCTGAGGATATTGCCTATTCACTTTTCGGGATCTTCAATCTCCACCTGCCCATTCTGTATGGTGAATCTGCTGAGAATGCACTTGGCCGTCTCCTGGCCAAAATCATATCACAGTCCGGAGACATCTCGGTGCTGGATTGGGTCGGAGAGGCGTCACCGTTTCATAGCTGTTTCCCTGCCCAGATAACCTCGTACGAAACTCGACCATCTCCACCATTCCACCCAAATGCACAAGAACAGCCATCAATGACGAGTCAGCAGCCTGCATCGCTCAGAACCTTGCGAAAATTGTACGGCTCATTCGCCAAGTCACCCCTTCCACGATTTGTCAATCGCCGCCTTCTACTGCCATGCATTGCCCATCGTGTTACAGAGATTCAATTGTCAGGGGAAGATCCATCGGCACGGAGTTACACCTACACAATCCAGGCATCCGGTCTGAGGCCACTCGAGATCGCACTGCCAGACAAGCTCGAGAATGCGACAACGTCGCAAGGTGCTCTGCAGCTCGTTCGTCCTTGGCACTCGAAGTGTCAGTCCACAAAGGTAGACGCCCCAGCTGAAGAGCAGTTACTTCTTGCGCTGGCGAGGCCGTTTAATGCTCTTTTACTGACTGAACTACCTCACTCCGAGTACAAGAGGATTGCCTCTTCTACCCTCATTACTGCTCAACCTGTGGACTGCGCCAGCATTCTGCAAAGCAAAGTTAGAGTGTTGAATGTTGTGTAGATGTGTAGTCATGGCGTTACGATATATATTGGTTGTTACATATGTTCACCTTCACAACTGCCGCAGCCATCCCATCCATGTTATCTGCAGATGTCGGTATCAAATTCCTTCGCGGCTGTGCTGTCCAGTAGAATTAGATGCAAGAACGCATTGGCGAGGCAGAAGGGGAATATCCCAACGAGCGAGTTGACGAGCCAGAAAGCTTGCGGAACGTGTCTCCAGGGTGACGTACCGATGGTCAGTGAAGCTACTAGAGTAAAGAGAGGAAGACGAGATTTCTACTTCCAGGATTCTGTAGAGATTTGTAAACATGTACTTGTGCACATACAAATGTTGATAAGACGATCCATTGTTTGAGTAGGGAGTTCGATCCCGCAGTTAGTTTGACTTCGAATCTTTGATATGCATGCCAACACCAGAATTTCTGGGGGTGAGTTATCGCCAGTGTTGGAAAAAACAAGGTAAGAAAGGCAAACTACACATTACGAGAATCTACCTCATGTATTAGCATCATTCAGTGACATTACTCGTACGAATTGTATAGCCAGCTGAGTACTTCTAAAATGCGACGGGAACGGAAGACGGTGCCATTAAAAACTAATGCCGGAGGAAACGCAAGGGGAATGTGCGCCGATTATGTAGACCGATCCCATGTTCTCTTGATTACACCCTCACAACTCACCCTCAATCACCGAGCAAGGAGGGGAGGCTGCTCATATTTGATCAATCTGATCCTTCGCCGCTCCACGAGGCTCAACTATGCGACCTTCATCCTGACTCATTTCGAAAGTTGCATCCGTAAACCCAAACCTGCCTCTTCCCCAGACCTGCAGACGGCGTTTGTCCTTGCGTCCCTCACCGAACTGGTCGTTCCACTTGCGGAGGTCCGCGAGAGAGCCCAGAGTTTCGGAAGACGAAGGTGTGATCTCTTTGAACGCTTTGGTAAAGTGCTGTGGGTGGATAGTTCGTGAGTAACTCAGCGGAGGAGCCTCTGCAGTCGTATCTGAGAGATTTGGTGGTTGCTGGTCGTTTATGGCAGCGGATACGGCGTCTAATGGTGTGTCCCAAGGGAGGTTGACACCCTCTTTAACCGCCGCGAGGGCAGCAGAGACACATAGGTCTGCGCAACTCATCAGCAAGAGGTGAACAGTAAGACCTATACGAACATACGCTTAAGGTCCGAACCAGAGAAACTTTCTGTTCGTTTGGCTAGCGATTTGAGGTCAAGGTCTGGCGAGAGCGTCTCGTCCCGTAACAAAATCTTCAGGATGCCTAAGTCGAGGGAAATCTTCAATCGTTGCTCTCAAAACAACGGGAAGCTACAACTCACCCTCTCTCTCTTTCTCTCCTGGCAGATCAACCAGCAGTCTCCTCGGCAACCTCCTCAAAACAGCATCATCCAAATCGAATGGCCGATTTGTTGCGCCGATCACAATCACCCTCTCTTCGCCCGCACGACTCTTTAACCCGTCCATCTCCTGCATAAACTCGGTAATGACACCACGGTGTGCGATAACACCACCAGAATTATGTGCGGATGTGCGGGCACCGAACAATGCATCAATCTCGTCAAGGAAGACAACACATGGCGATAGGCGGCGTGCGAGACTGAATACTGCGCGGACGAGCTTCTCACCCTCGCCGACGTACTATATTATTGAGATGAAAGGTGAGGAAAGAGCGAAGGGACGTATATGACGACGACGAACTCACCATATCCATGACGTCCGATGGGGAGACCATTAACATTCTGCTGCCCGCTTCCTTGGCTAAGGCGCGCACGATGAGGGTTTTACCCGTCCCTGGCGGCCCGAACAGAAGGCATCCTGCCATAGCATGCTCCCGAAGAATGCCCGTTTGGAATGCAGTGGGATAGAGGAGAGGAAGCGAGACCAGTGTACGTACGGAGTCGATAGTATGCTGAGGAAGATGGACATGTGCGAACGTAGTGGATATAGAGTCCTGCGTGAGTTCAATTAATTTTACGACCATATCTTTCGGCGGTTGGAGAGAGGGGAACGAAGAACTCACCAGGATCAACGATACAACCCAATAACCGCTCCTCGTGTGGGTCCAGATCCTTGTCCTGCTTGATTGCCTCCACCACTTCGTCGACGACTCTCCCCTTGCCCTCTTCTGCTTCCTCCCCGTCAAGCTCCTCCCCGTCTTCCTCTGCACCATATTCTTGCTGAGGCCCTCGAGGAATGCGCACACGGGCATCCTTCGTCCAAGCTTTGCGAAGGTCACGACCCGAGCGCTGCGCGGCCCAGGCACTGGTGAATGGCTGACCATGGTACCGCCGTTGGCTCGAGGCCGGGCGCGTACAATGGACCAGACGTAGGTGGTTGGGCTGCTACAACGCTCCCAACAGCCCTGTCAGCGATCTGCCGAATCGATGACCACGGCTCGACGCATGTGCTCCAGTCTGCCCACATCTCGTGTTCCTCAGGGGGTTGGCTCGATGTACCTGTGGGAATTCCGTCTGGATAGCTTTCCGGAGCGCACGAACCTGAGTGGGTATCTGGTTTTGCATCAGACTGCACTGAAACAACCTGCCCCTCCCGTCCTCGGAGGTCTTCAGCCCCTTCAACGCGGTCTTCCACCGCACTACCCTCACTACAGCGTCTTGCCCCCGCCTCCTCTTCCAACACCCCACCGACCCCACCGACTCCCATTCGCATAGCAAGTTCGTTAACTTCTCTCCTACGGGCCATCCTGCATTGCCTCTCTACGCCCACGTCGCGCGCACTCGGAAGCACTACCGAAGCGCGGAAAAACCTCCCAAGCGCCGGTGCGCCTCCACCTGATGCAGTTGAGTTGTCTCCAACCTCACCCTCACTACCCATGCCACCACCAGTGAGATCAAGGGGTGTCGACCCGACCAGCACAATGGGGCGATTTGGGTCCGCTTCAGAGGAAGAATACGGGGGCATTGCAAATGGAGATGAAGCCTGCGAGAACGGTGAGCCCTGAGCTGACACGGTTCCTGATAAGCCCATCGTGTTTGCTGTGAGAAGTCGTGGGATGTCTTCGAGAAGCGCGCCGTCCCCGCCACGCTCCCAGCGTCGTAGACGCTCGCGGAGACGTTTTTCGCGTGCACGGGTAGCGTGGTCGTCTTCACCCCATTCGGAAGAAGGATGCGAACCTACATTAGAACTTGCACCAAAAGCAGCGCTAGCAGCAGATCGGGAAGTATGACGGCGCCGGTTCCCTCCTGGGACGTGGGATCCAGACACGGGATATGCACCTACGGATGATGGAGAGAAATTGCCTGAATTTTGACCGACGAGTGGAGGCGTGACACCACAAATGATCGTCATCGGGCATGCGACCGGGGAAGATGGGCGAGCGATGGGTCCGGTACGACGGGCCCGCACAGCCGAAAGAAGATGAGGGTACCACGTTGGTGCGGTGGGAGCGAGTGTCGGAAAATCGCGAATGTAGACAAGACGAGGGCGTGTGTGCTGACCCGGCGAAGGAAAGTTGACGATATCGTCGAAGAAGGCTTTTATTCGGTTAGGCGGTGCCGACGCCCTGGACGTGGTGAACAAGGGTGGTTGGCGTCCGCGAGATGCCATGGCTGGTGCGAGGACATGAAGCGTCATCTGTGCAATGCCGAGGGAGGGTGAGTAAGACGATGCGTCGGCTTCCTCTTCCTCTTCCACGTTGCGGGACTGACGGCGGGATGCAGGAGACTGCGGGGGTAATGGGTAATATTGCAAGGGATTTCGAGGAAATTGGATGGCATTGGCGGCTTAGATATGCGCGATTCAGCAGATGTCAAGGGTAATGCGGCAAGTTTTCTTACCTTTTCCAAAGTGTCCCCACTCGCCAGCTGCGAGCTGCACGGCATCGATGACAAGTACCTCTGCTCCAGTTCTACGTGCTAGCTCACGTACGGTCTCGTCGATGACATACTCGGCACCTTCCACTGGACAATACAGAGCAAGAGTAGGCTCAACTGGCGGCCCAGAGGGCGTCAGACACGCTGCACGGTGCTGAGTCTGTGGATGCAGGGTGATGTGGAGATTTGTCAGTGCCTCTTCAAACAATTCCGGCGGGGGCAAGGCGTTTGTCCTCGATGAGTTCGAGTTCGACGGAGCGTCTGGAAGCCAAAGGATATCTAATCCCGGCGGAAGTTGTGGTCTATCGTCTGAATCCGGGTCCCTGTCTCTCTGAGTGGAGGCGCCAGTTCCACTCGCTGTTGTTCTCGAACGCCGTGGTGGTTTGTCGGGTTCAGAGGGTGGGCCGTCTGGCTCCGGAGGCGAGTCTGCGACGAGTGTGGGAGGAACTTCTTGTTCATCGACGGCAGTGGGTCTCAGCGACGAACTGCGAGTATACACCCTCGTGGACGGGCTCGCTGGGTTTTCTGGGTCTGCATGGGTGTCTCTAGGCAGCTTCGTGCGTCCGAGGCGGGGTGATACAGTAACCAGTCTTGCATTGCCGTGTAATCTCTGCCTTGAGGTGATGAGCAGCGATCGTGTCCGTCCGAGAACTGCAGATGACCGTCGCATCAGAGTATTTGATCGTCGTACTAATACACTGCTGTCCCCACCGGCTTTGTCGTCGTCGTCGTCGTCGCCGGCCTCGAGCTGCGAGCTTTTTTCACTATGGATAGAATTTCCCACGCTGCCAGTAGGAACCCCATGGCTGCTTACTCAGCAGTCATAACACGCGGTGATCAAGTGTAGTCGTGCGGTATTACGGGAATACAGCCATTGACTAACCAAGCCGTACCTTCCGCCCCTTTATAAAAGCCGAACGTCATCGGCCCCTCTCAAGAAAACAGTCATACCTGGAGTTCCAATGACTAGACCCTCCAACGGCTCGGCTAGCGTGTATTCTTCACCTGCCGTACCTGCAGCTGGGGCTGCGAAGGCACACAAGATACGGAGACGCGGCTCTATTGACATTGTCGATGCCAAGGTGGCCGTTGATCTGGCTACCGCTCAGTCGTACACTGAGAATGTCTTCTTCTTTGTACCAAACCTTATAGGTACGCCGCGACCCCTCATTCCCTCTGCTACACGACGTTAACCTCGTTGGTTCGTAGGGTACACACGTGTCATACTCGCAGGACTCTCCCTGCACTTTATGAGCTACCACCCAAGATACTGCACCCTGTTGTACGGCATTTCCTGTTTGCTCGATGCAGTGGACGGTCTCGCTGCGCGGGCACTGGGTCAGACGTCAAAGTTTGGCGCAGTTTTGGACATGGTCACAGACCGGTGCGTACTTACTCCATTCTGTTTCCGCCTGCCCTCTGCTATTCTGCCCTGCCTCCCTATGCCCCTTGTTGTGGTCCAACCACTTCCTCTCGCTGACGCTGTGGAGCTCCTGTATTAACGAGTTGTACCTAAATACAGATGCACAACATCATGTCTCCTGTGTTATCTCTCTTCCGCGTACCCAAGCTATGCACTCTTGTTCCAGTTCCTTATCGCACTTGATTTTTCGAGTCATTACATGCACATGTACAGGTAAGTGGTCACTTCCACCCACTCTTTCCATGCGCACTTTGTTGATCACTGCGAGCTGATCCATCATCCCAGTTCTCTTGTGACTGGTTCAAGAAGCCATAAGCTCGTAACGAGTGATGTCAGCCGAATCCTATGGTACTACTATAACGATTCCGTACGCCAGCTCTGTCTTTTGATGTTAATGTCAAACTCAATGTCATAACGGCACGCGTTACAGCGAACTCTGTTCTTCATGTGTGCAGGGAACGAGCTATTCTTTGTCTCGCTCTACCTCATGAAATGGATCCAAACACCAATCTCGGCCTCGCTCCCTTCGCCTGTCGCATCATACTTCCCCGTGTTCCTACTGTCCCTCACATGGCCCGCAGCCATGGCTATGCTGACCTTTCCGATCTGCTTTACCAAAAACGTGATCAACGTCGTACAGTTGTGGAAAGCAAGCAAGATCCTGGTTGGCGTCGACCTCGCGGAACGTGCAGCAGCACGTGAGAAAGAAACGATCGCCAAGCTGGAGAAGAGGGATTGAACACTGGCCATCTTATATAAATAGTTTAGGGGGAGGATGGGAGAGGCGCATAACTTAGCGTAGCTAGACTCTTAATGAAGTAGGTAGTCATTCTTAGTTCGGACTCAACTCTTCAACTCTAATAAGACTTGGCCTGAACGTTGCTACAAGTGTATATGACTGCGGCGCTAGCTCAGGTTCCTCAAATTCCTGAGAAACCGAGAGGCTCCTCTCACTTTTCATCATCCTTCCATCGGAACAACTACGATCGTCCACGGAGCGGATGATAACAGAGTACCGTCGCTATTCGCAATGCGAGGCACGGGTAGTAACTACAAGGAGTAACGAGTAGGCAGCGATTATGTAGGTGTGTACTGTAATTGGTTCGCGTATTATAGACACCACTACTTGCGCCGGCGACGCGATTCTGTACGACTTTTGGTGGCGCGTGAGGGTCGCGGAAGTTCTTCCTCTTCTTCCTCCTGTTTTTCCTCCTCCTGCTCTTCCCCCTCGTCGACCTCCACTGCAGCGTTACTCCTCGTTTGCCTTTTATGCCGCTGCGACTGGGAAGGCTCGTGCTCTTCCATCCCCGAGTCTTCTTCTTCCTCGTTCTCCTCGTCACTAGCTTCAGCAGTACTCTTCCTGCTTCTTCTTCGGCCCTCGTCCTGACCGTCCTTGATAGCCGCTTCGCCGATGGGTCTCAGTGTCCTTCCGTCCTGCGGCCAGTTGCACTGACAGGTGGGGCACGAACGAGCCTGTTTAGCGGGGAGCTTCCTGAAACAGTGGTGGTGTATGTGGGTTTGACACGCAGGAGTGTTACATGCCACACCGCGAGTGACGATCTAGAGCTAGATGTTAAGACACGTAACAATTTTCAAAAAGGGAGTCACAAACCTCCATGCAAATCGTGCACTCGAGACACTCATCAGGGTAGTTTGATTTGAGGTACGGCGAGAGTTCCAGAAGCGCGCGGGTAGACAAGGAATAACGGCCACGCCTGTCGGATCCCTCCATCAGTGAATCGCAAAAATAATGCGACGATGAAGTTAACTTACTTGCTCTTGAGCAGCCAACCTCTAGCTACGAGGCTGTTGAGGACTGTCTCTGCCTGGGACTTGGTCATGTTCGTTTTCAGTGCGTTAACTTCGCGCAATGCGGCAAGGGATGACAAGGAATAACACTCATTAGGCGCAAGCATGATTTGTTCAACCTGGTTAGATCGCCCCTTAAGGAAGAGTGCAATGCAACAATAAGATTGCTTACGACTGCTCTGAAGTACGCGATCTCAGTAGGGCTGTAGTCGGTAGCCATCTGGGCAATCTCATCGCCCCTGGTGTTCACCTGCAGTTTTCCTTTAGTCCCAGCGCATGAATGATGACACGATCTTTCTTTTTGCTACTGACCACGGCATACATTTCCTTGCCTGTTTCCTCGTCCAGGACATGACGGAACTCGAGATCAAGAGGATTGAGAGAATCATTAATTCTATTTACAAACGCATCCCATTCTTGACGTCTATCACTGGCGTGTACGTCTAGTGCCGGATTGGCAACTTTAGGAGACTTCGTCAGGACCTTCTAACCGCAACACAGGTTGCGAACCGACCTTTGACAGCGTCCACGCACTTTTCCCAGAGCACCAGGGCGTGGTTGTAAGAAAGGATTCCGCGTGAGAAGACGGCCTGTAAGAAGAGGCGCTGCACGTCGCTTGAGGTGACCATGCTACTAATACTGATTCTGAGATGGACGCGTCCAAAGCGACACGCGTCGTAATACTTGTTATGTCACAACCACACTCTGCATCACGTGCCTCGAGTTATCGTTCTGCTGTAGACGTCATCGAAGATGTTAGCTGAACCGATGACCAGATATAGTCAAACTCGAGCATCGGTGCAACGCAGTCTGACCAAGATAGTGCCATCTAGCCATGATCAGGAGGATCTGGCTTTGTCAGGAAAGCTGTCGTAGCCATCTCTGACTCGGCAGGTTGATCGATCAAAAGAGTATTTTAACCAGTCATTGGTGTAGGAGAATCCTCGGCACGTTCTCTCAGCTCCTATCACGATGACTCACGCTACTACGACTCTCGGTGGGACAGCGAGCAGCGTTGTCGTTGGTAGGGTCGCGGTATGCGATGTCCATTCTCTTTAGGCTGTTTCCCTGTCTGATGGCAACACCAATACAGCATGGCTTGATGTTAATGACGTGTGTACACTTGCATCCTCAGGGCTGATTCCATCTTCACAAATACCGCAGTTGGAGGCAGGACCCAATCCCTGACGAACAGTGTTTTGAAGCCATCAAGGCAGGCATCGATGCTCTCCCTCCGGGTGCCAAAATGTTCCTCATTGGAGGTAACCAATTGCCCTCTCATCGCGCAGAACTGGGTGGAATTTCTCACTACTGTTTACCAGGCGAATTCTACGGACACAATCTAGCCACGACTAACCTCGAAATGATCGCTAGATTCTTCGAGAAGTACCCTAGTTATGCTGACAAAACCTTCCTCTCCGTCAAGGTCAGTATATCCGGAAAAGTATCTGCGGCCCGCGCTGACGGCCTTATCGCTCTCAGGGAGGGCTGGTCCCGAACTCCTACGAGCCAGATTGCTCGTAAGCTTCATCAGTTTTCTCATGAAGAACACAGTTGTGAAGACCTTATTCAGTGCTGCGAACCTCAGAAGAAGTGTCGAGGCAATAAATGAGAAACTGAGGGGAACGAAGCGTCTTGACCTATTTCAAAGTGCTCGTGTTGACCCCAATGTTCCAATCGAAGAATCGATAGCTGCGCTCGTCGAACTCAAGAAAGAAGGGAAACTAGACCATATCGGCATGTCGGAATGCAGCGCAGCATCGCTACGTCGCGGTAACGCCGTAAATATTCATCGAAACTTCGGGTTGTGCATCGCTCACATGGAACATGCAGGTCCACCCTATCAGCGCAGTCGAGATTGAAATCAGCCCATGGTCCTATGAAGAAGAGACAAAGACAGGTAACAATTCCAATGCCCACCTGAACAATGTTCGACTCAATCTTCTGCCTAGTTATCGCAACCGCAAAAGAACTGGGAGTAGCAGTCGCTGGTTACGCGTAAGGGTATTTAGACCAATGAGGATAGGCATTTCAACTGACACGTGTGCCACATCAGTCCCCTTGGGAGGGGTTTCTTGACTGGACAGATCAAACGACCCGAGGATTTGCCTGGTAAGTGTTATCCTGGAAGTCTTTCAGCAAATCCACTGATGTGGTCGCTTTCAGAGGGTGACTTCCGTCGTAGCTTGCCGCGCTTCCAAAAGGATGTAAGTCGTGATTTCTCATCCAGACAACTGCCAACACACACGTGATCCAGGCAATGAGGCACAACTTTGCTATCGTTGACGCATTGTCTGAAATAGCCAAGAAGAAGAACGTTACTGCCGCTCAACTCAGCATCGCTTGGGTTAGTGCGCTCGGGCCACATGTTATTCCTATTCCAGGTTCATCGTACGTGTTATTTCTCATTCCGACACAGATATCTTCATTGTATGCCACCACTCTAGGCATGCTAAACGCACACTTGAAAACTGCGCCGCTGGAGACGTTGAGTTGACACCGGAAGAGCTTGATGAGATCAACAGAGTTATCGATAGCGCGGACATCCAAGGGGAAAGATACCGCACGGCTCATACTCTGTGGGGCTGAGGGCCGGTCCTTTGTACTCGGGAAGTATACGCTTTGTTCTCTCCTCTGTTCTTCACTTGTATGTAACAGTAACAGTCGTCACAATGAATGCTACGGCAGGGTGGCAAGAGTCAAATCACACAAGGCGACCAGGCCGTAGTCTGCATAATGCATCGGCGTTTAAACAGCGGTTCTACCCCGGCGGAGAGTCTGCTTTCCGAGACTCCTTCCAGCAGCGACACCTAGCCAAGTGGCGTGCATCTCTTCATAGAACACTTGCTTGGAATGTCGCAATGTAAAAGTATGTCTCTGACGAAATCTTCTACTTTAAATAAATTCTGGTGGATGTTAATTCAACACCTTAAGTTTCAGCATAGCTGAGCACTCACCAACTGAAACAACCCATTAAGTATAGAACAATGTACCGATGAACTCAGACTCTAGACCGTCCACTCTCAGGTTACTGCGAGTTTGCAATTACTTGCAAAGGTCACGAAGATCTACTCCGACCGCTGGGCTATTGGAAACTTGGGAGTGTCACAGATAACCTTGGCCAGCCCAACTCCAGGCGCTTGGTGAGCGACTGCACGTGAAGATCGAAATCTTTGCAATAAAAGTGAAGGGGTTTATAGTCAAACTTTAGAGGCTTGTGCAGTGATCTGTCGTAATTGATTCCAAGTCACCGAGCTGAGCCTTGGCCATGAGAAGTGTACGTATGCTGCTTGTATTCAGGCTGACATGCCGTGCCCCACAAAATTCCTGGTACAGTGCATCTCCACCCTTCGAACACGACTGAATTTCGACACGGCGCCGAGATCGACATGATTTTAGCGTGAACCTTCAGGATAAGAACAATCAAGTCCCATAAACTTTTGTGCTACAATGGCTTCCAATGACTGGCTTGGGATTGGCGACTGCGAGGTTTGAATACCTTACGAAGTGGAAGGTGAATACTGTCTGGCAGAAGCGCCCAACTGGTGGATAAACCAGAGAGCAAGAGTATCATTGTTGACTGGGTAGGGATAAATGTGGACTTCGTTGTCTGGCCCCGGCCGCATCTGAGCTTCAGTTCAAGAGTCGTGAGCGTCATGGCAGTTGCAAATTTAGGAGTAGGGAAAAGGTCTTTAAGCTTCAAGTTCCTGAGGGCAGTGGCTCTGTTGGGTAAGAGAAACCGCGGATAGGCGGGAACCTCAGGTATAGAATAAATGAGGACATCCTTGAGAGAAGGAAATTTCAAGTCCTCAAACACGTGAAGGATTCTTGATTCTGCGTCTTGTGTGTGAAGGCGCTGCCAGCGATCGGCACTGGGGTCAAGGACGTTCAGCCTTTGTATCCTAATCAGTTGAGAGGTATGTGAAAAATTAACAATGAAGATGTTGAGAGGAACATCCCCACTCCTTGTCAGTTGGGTTTCCAAGGACGCAACAGTGCGAGGTAGCCTGGGGCGCACCACAATATCACACCAGGTTTCCGGAGTGTGGGAGGCCACATTCCTCCAGAGCTGTGATACAGTTGACAAAGTTTTACTGCGATGCGCTAGTTCTTGAAACTCTTTCCACACGCCGAGGGTCGGCAATGACTGGAGCATTCTCTGCGGATGGAGTTCGACAGGGAGTAAATTGATCGCAGGAGGTCGCTTCTTGACGAGCACATCTATCTTTCTGTCAACTTTCGGTCCCCTCCAGCCAGTCCAGCTCAGCGCGTGCCTCATCCAATCCGTGCATGATGGGCGTGGAAGCACTACATACCAGTGTTAGCACAGTATGTTGCTGTGTGGTGCTATGCCTTGAACTTTCCCAACGCCCCCTCCCCCTATTTTTCTTACTAATCAGGACAGTTACGGCAGTAACATTCGGATCGGGTGTTGTCGGTTGATAGATCCGGCATTAAAAATTGACTTATCTTATCTAGCGTGACTCGGCAGGCACACTACGGAACTGTTAAGTGGGTTTAAAGGTGGACAACTGTCCTTAAACCAAGTCATGCGCATCAGGGAAGATATCATACTATGCCTTTTCCAATACTGACAACCACGCAAAACGGTGCTCATACTGGAACATTGTAAGGGAAACGATGACGTGATGACGTGATGGGTGCTCACATGGACACTCAAGCTAGGTGGAATGATGATGTGCTGATGATGTACCGTGGTGGAAGGTTTCGTGGTTATAGTTTAGTGGATCATGTCGGTCATGATGATGGTATGGTGGATCATGAATTATAGTATAGTAGAAGTGTCGGAACAAGTCAGGGACGAGTCACCTCGGTATGATATCTACACCGCGATGAGTCGGGAAAAAAAACCCAGTCGACTACCATTTCATCATCATGTGTGGAATCGTTGCAGTCCATGGCCTCACAAACCCTTCTGCCGAACGTGCTCATCTAGTTGCGCTCTCCAAACGCGTCCGTCACCGTGGGCCCGACTGGTCTGGCTGCTACGTTGGCAAGGAAGCTATCCTCTGCCATGAACGGTTGGCGATCGTCGGTATCGGTATGTGGCCTGCTGCTTGACCACACAAGTGAGAGCCTTGATTGTTCACCCAGACTCGGGAGCCCAACCTCTCTTCAGTGATGACCGCAAAATTATACTTGCCGTCAACGGAGAAATCTATAACCACCTTGCCCTTCGCTCCAGTTTTGGCTCAGATGTCAAATTCAACACTCGCTCCGATTGCGAGGTTATCATCCCTCTTGTATGTTCATCTCTTTCTGCGTTACTTATGTTTCGGAAAGTTTTCTTGACTATCATTCCAGTACAAAAAATATGATAAAGATCTTTGCGACATGCTGGACGGCATGTTTTCTTTCGTTCTCTTGGATGAGTCTGTAACTCCGACACGCATCATTGCTGCACGCGACCCCATTGGTATCACCACTCTCTACCAAGGCTGGAACTCTAAGAAGCCTGGCGCAACGTACTTCGCTTCGGAGCTCAAAGCCCTCATAAACGACTGCGATGAGATCATCTCGTTCCCTCCCGGGCATGTGTATGATAGCCGTGACAATTCCACTACACGATACTTCCAGCCTTCGTGGTGGTCCACTGACGACGAGAATGCACCCGCACCAACATCTCCAGTCGACTATACTCTTCTCCGTGAGACACTCGAAGCGGCTGTCCGGAAACGCCTGATGTCCGAGGTTCCATATGGGGTCCTCCTGAGCGGAGGGTTGGATAGTAGTCTGATCGCTACCATCGCCGCGCGAGAGACCGACAAGCTAGCCCAGGCACATTTCGAGGCACGTCAGAAGAAGCTGTCTGAATGGTCACCCAGTGGACCGCCTACACCGAAGGATAACTTAAACCAAAAGGGTATGAAGCTACTTTTTCATATGCTTTCTACTTGATGTCAAACGTTTTCTCCCCGTAGCCATGCTAGCGACTTGGCCGCAACTTCACTCATTCTCCATAGGTTTAGAGAACTCCCCAGACCTTTTCGCTGCGCGAAAGGCCGCTGTGTTCCTAGGAACCAAACATCACGAATTCGTCTTTACTGTACAAGAGGGGTTGGATGCCATACCAGACGTGATACACCATCTTGAGACCTACGATGTCACAACAGTTCGCGCCAGTACGCCTATGTACTTGCTCAGCCGAAAGATCAAGGCCATGGGTGTGAAAATGGTACTCAGCGGCGAGGGCAGCGACGAGATTTTGGGAGGTACGAGGTGTCCCACTGTCAAATCCGAATACGCCCTAACACGATTTAGGATACCTGTACTTCCACGCTGCTCCTGACAGCAAATCCTTCCACCAGGAATGTGTTCGCCGAGTCAAGAACCTCCATACCGCCGACTGTCTCCGAGCTAACAAGTGACTCGATTCTTTTACATTCATCTACGTTCGGTTGACGGTTCTCGTTACAGGTCGACGATGGCTTGGGGTTTGGAAGCTCGCGTACCCTTCCTTGACAAGAAATTCCTCGAAGTAGCGATGAACGTCGATGCAAAGGAAAAAATGTTTTCCAAGGGATCTTCACAGGAATTTGACAGCGATGGTCGCCCAAAGATGGAAAAGGTAGGCATGCGACCTCGTGTATTTTCCATGTGCACGTTTGTTGATGGGCTTTCTCAGTATATCCTGCGGAAGGCATTCGATTGTGCACCAGACGGCAAGGTAAGTCCGCCGTGATTTTGATTGGGAAGCATCGACATCTGACAGGACACTCGTTAGCCTTACCTCCCTAAGTCCATTTTATGGCGTCAGAAGGAACAATTCTCGGATGGTGTGGGATATTCCTGGATAGATGGGTAGGGTTCAATTTCTCTCCGCCGACCCTTTGCTCACATGACACCCTCCCTCAACAGGATGAAAGATCACGCAGCTACAGTAGTCTCCGACGAGGCATTCGCTAAACGAGCTGAACGTTGGGCAGTGGACACCCCTGACACTAAAGAAGCTTATTGGATCCGAGAAATCTTCGAAGGTGGGTTCCGGTCCTGGGCCTGGTGACACCATTAGGGTACTCACTGACCATGAACTCATTCCCACCAGGTCATTTCCCCTCAGACACGGCCGCCAGGACTGCGGTGCGGTGAGTACTAAAGGCCCATCATACATGTTGATCGTTTTGTCTCATCTATATCTCCGTACACAACAGGTGGATACCACGAGGAGATTGGGGCTGCTCGTCGGACCCCAGCGGACGAAGCGTCAGCATTCACAACGCTGCATATGAAGCGACCGAGTGAACTAGGAATACGACCATGATCGATTACCTTGTAGACATGTATTTTCCCTCGGTCGAGTCCCTCCGGACCGGAAGTCAATGTGCTGGATTAAAATTAGTGGTTGGAGCTGTGGTGTGCGTTTGTGGGTGGGTAGAACTACGTAGGGAAATGTACTGTCTGGGTATTTCCGCAAATAGAGTGTTATAAAAAGTAATAGATGGAAAAAACAAGACCAAAATCAATCAATGAGAGTGTTGTTGAGGTATCATCAAACAAGGGAGGGTACCAACTGACTGAGCAGTAAAAGGAAACGCAGTTGTAGTAACAGTCGAGTTGGATGAAGGAGAGTGTCGGCCATAATGCAACGGAAAGGACGGGACATCAGATGTAATTAAGGCAATGGGAGAGGTGTGGCCAGTCAAGAAAGCGCAGAGAGAGCGAGAACGAAATGATATGGAAATGAGGAAACAAAAGGGTTCTGGACGCCACTAGCGAAAAACACACCCGTCCAGCACTCTACAATTGATTCAGGGTCGGATCCTGAATAGTGATTTGCCGGTATAGATTCAAAGCGGAGTCTTCCGATGCAACAGGTGAAGCTTGGGATTTGTTGTTGTCATTATTGCCGCTACCATTGTTAGTCGCGGATAGGTTATCGGGCCGCGCCGTAGTTGCGCTTGTTTGAGAGGTCTGGCGTTGTCGCTTAGGAGGATTAGCAGGGTTTGACCGAACACTCGTGCCCCACGCAGGCCGCGTGACTGTGGCTTTGACAGATTGACTGTCGTCAGAAGGATTGACACGGGTCCTCGTACTTGTAACAGTTGGTGCTCTCCTGGTGCCAGGACGGAGTGCAGGTGCTTGGTCAGCGGACATTAGCCGTGTGCCAAACTTGGCGTTGGCAGACGATTCTCGGGCGTACGACGTCCCTCCAGGGGATACGCGACGCGATGGTCCGCCGACACCGGGTTGCTTAGGCTTCAGGACTGGTTTTTGGAGCGTGATCTTGTCGGCGCCCCAATAGGAGAAACTCATTTTGCTCTTTTTATCTGAGTCATCGGAGTCGTTGTCGTCGTCATCGTCATCAGGAAGGGGTATAATCTTAGGCTTATTAGACGAGTGCGCTTCCGCCTTGGACCGCACGACACTATGGAAAAACGTATGGGCAGGTCATAGAAATAGAAAACCGAGCTGCTTACTCTTCCATAGCGACGACACCTTCTTTGGGTTGGACAACGTCCCCTATTGCCCAAGTTTCAATCTACACAATCTTGGTCAGTGATAAACACCATACAGACAAACACACGCTCACTTTTATGAACTTGTACAAGTTGCGGGGCTTAGTATGCGAGTTCCGACGTCCTGTAGTCGCATACTTGGTTTTGCCCTGCATGTCTGGTAATGAGTTGGTTCGAGAGTTGGTGGAAGATACTAAAGGCAGCGATGTCGTTCCCGTACGCTGGCATTTCAGTACCACGTCATTGAAGACTACCAACCACAAGTCCTTCTTTCCCCCAATACCCGAACCAGACCCGAGCACATCACTCAGCCTGCGAAGCGAAGTCTTGCCCTTCACATTCTTGTTCGCGATTGCTGGGGGTGGACTCGATCCCTTTGGACTGCCTGACGTGGTATCTCGTCCTACTGCGAACAATTGTCTCTCTTCTATGAGCAGTCGAGCAGGTTTCGGTATCGCGAGTTGTTTGACCTTGTCCAACCCTTCAATCCGGGCGAACACATCTCTGGTCTTGTCCCGATCTTCCTTCTGGATTTTCTCGTCTTCGATGCTCCTTACAATGGTCTCGATCTCCGCTACCATCTGCAGCGAACTTTCGTACTCGAAAGTACTAGGGTCGGTGTGGAAGAGGAGGTTTTGGAAGAGGAGCGGGTACTTGAGCAGCCGCTGAAACGGCTTCGAGAGGGAGATGGCGAGACCAGTCTCACCCTTCTCGCATGCGAGCTCTTCCAGCCGCTGCAGACTCTTGCACACCTTCAGCCATTCCGCGGCGTCCTGATTTTTTGGTTTCTTCGCCTCGCTGGCAGTCGAAAGTGCATTGTCAACCTGTTCGAGCGCACGCTCGAGATGGAGAACGTAAGTTGCGTAGCCCTGAAATATGTGCGACTGTTGGCGGATAAATTGAGTACATAGATGCGCAGGAATAAATGCAAACGTACGTTCGAGACAAATACATCTGCCAAGGATCGCACAAGGGGGTATTGCTCGTCGTATCGTTTTCTGAGCCCTTCACTAAGTTTGGTATGCCCCTCCAAAACGCCGCTCTCAACGACCTCCAAACATATGCGCAAATCTTCCGGAAGAAGGTGTGGAGGGACCAAACCCTGCAGCACGGTATCCGGCCCCGTTTGCGACCGTTTGAACCTCCGTAGGACACGGGCAGTATGTATGGTTGGCGTTGTCTTAGTACTGTCCTTCCTATTTCTATCCTTATCTCTTGCAACATCCCTGTCACAATCGTGTTCTGCCACAGATTGCCTCCCCAGCGAATGCGTGGACATTGCCGCTTGGTTGATGCGCGCACGCTGTCCGGCAGGTATGGACACGTGTGAACGCGAGGGGAAGGGGACTGTCTCCTTTGTTTTTCCGTTCTTACCGGCAGCGGCAGATGCTGTACGATAAGGTGAGCGGGGATGACTGTGCTTCGCCGCGACTTTAGCGTGGTTGCCCTGATGCCCGTGCACGTGCTCGGTGTCGTCGTCGTCCGTGTCCATGGACTCTCCATCAATATTTGGAGTAGTCAATGCGAGGGATTTAGTATCTGGTGCTTGCGGTGAGGGGCCCTCGTTACGGAAACCCGTTGGGGACATGAAACGTGCAGCTATGGGTGGGAGGGTATCCATGGAGTCCTGGGTTGCCTCGAATCTGGAGGGAGCGATTGAATAATCATCGTAGTCGTAAGGTGTAGGGGAGGTAGCTGGTGGTGTTGCAAATGGATGTAGGAGAGGATCGATGAAGGTTTCCTTCATTTTCTGCAAGTCACAGACATATCTGTGTGGGTCGCGCGGAGAAGCACGGCATGAGTCTACCTGGAATTTACAAGGGATGCAACTCGTGATAAGAAACATACCGCTCTTCGCTAGCGACGATCTCCCAGAGGACCTCCTGTCTGGTCCGTTCGCGGGGACCGAGGTTGCTGACAAGATCATCCTCGGCGCCCTCACTCCACGAGGAAACCGCAAGGATACGGGTACTGGATACGGACATTTGGGAGAAGGGGGTTTGGGAACGCACAGAGACTGGATATGGCGATGGGGCTGTGCGTGTTGATGTTGCTTTGATGCTCGGTGCTGCGGTAGTTGTAGTCACAGCAGGGGGTGGAGCGGCTGCGGGGGATGTGGTGGTGGTGGTTGACTTGGAAGTAGCGTCTGTACGTGTGTTTGATGTGGCGGTAGAAGTAGAACCACGCGTATCCTTGCCATGTGCTGCTTGAAAACGAGCAAGGGCGGTTTTCGACGGAGCGCCTGCAGATGACTGCAGTGACAATCCGGTATTGGTGGATTTGTTGGTCTCTGGAAGAGGCTGTGTCGTCGAAAGTCCCGAGGGAGTTTGCGGGGGGGACAGGAAGGCGACCTTTTTCTGCGTGTCCGTGGTGGTGGTGGTAGTGCTTACCGAACCGTTGGATGACTTGAGTGCACTGGATTTAACGGCAGGATCTGTTGGGTCTGCAGGGTTGGGGACGGGAGAAGACACGGGGAGGCCGACGCCGCTGTCATTGTCTGCGTCATGGGGTTCTTCGATTGGTGGGAGAGGCCGGGTAGACAAGTCCGGCAGGGGTTTCGTGGACGCAATTGAGGAAGGGGTGTCCGCAGCACTGGTTCCAGTGGTTCCAGCGCTGGTAGACCGCTGGATCTGGCTTGGAGTGATGCTTGGAGAGGAGGACGAGAGACGTTCCTGCCTGCTCTCCGGGCGACTGTGAGCTGGGTGTGAGGGCGGCCATTCCCGCAGCGGGGGCAGTTGGGCGAGTTCCTTCTTGCGGGTGAGCGGGGTGGCATTGGGCGACTGGGAGTTGGTGGACGAGCTGAGGGTTGTGGTGTCGCTGCGGTCGCGGACGAACAGGGAGTCTCTGTCCTTTTCCCTGTCCTTGTCCTTCTCTCTGTCCTTGTCCCTGTCTTTGTCTTTCGAGAGGCCCCGGTTGAACCTGTTGAGAAACGCTTTCATGGCCAGCAGGCCGTGAATGGCTGGTGGACTGAGTTGACAAGTTGGTGCTAGTGAGAAGTCAGAGTTAAGCGCCCTGGTCTACGCAGCTAGTCTCGACAGCGACGACGGCGACTGCGAAGAGCGCTTGCACTGACGATTTTACAGGTTCGCGTGGAACCGCCACACTCGAAGACGTACAACCAACGAAATCCGGACTGGACCTCGTGTTACCAGCACGACCTAAGCTGGGGTCTTATCAAAAGCCAATCGTCCTCGTGTCTCAGTCATATATCATCGACATCCATCAGCATACCAGCCATATATCGCTGCAACAGCCGACATGCCCTCTGACTCGCCCCTTCCTGCTCACCAAACAAAGCACCTTCCCACCCTCACTTACCCCTTCATCTACTCCACTTTCTACCTAGCCCAGTCCTCCGACGGCACTAGCAATGGCACCGCCCTCTGGCTCGGCGCTCAGCTCCTCTCCGCCTACTTGGCTGCCGAGCTCAAGGACGTGCACCTCAAGACAACACGTCCACGAGCAGTGGAGCTGGGTAGCGGGATTGGCCTCACGGCGTGCGCATACCTTTATTCCCCTTCCGTGAAAACGACAGTCTGACCCTGGTCTTTTTCGATATGTGCCTCCCGCAATATGTCCGTTTCTTTCATACAAAAACGGGTTACAATGGCTGCTTTCACCGCCATCTGATCAACCTCCTATTCTCCACATGTCCATACAACTCGTGTCGGACACTCCCGGAGTTGATGCCGGTCGTCATGATCTATATTAATCATTACCTCGATCCACCTCTTACCCAATCCAGTCTTGCGTTGGCTTCGCTAGGCTACGATGTCCTTGCTACCGATACCGCCTATGTTTGTGATTCAGTGCTCCGCAATAACATCAGAACAAACCTGCCACATCTCCACTCGACTCGTGCTGGTACCGTCCAGGTGCGCGCACTCGATTGGCTCGTTAGCAGTGATATGTGGAACTGGGGTGATCCATTGTCTATCACCCCTGCCGCTCAGTCAAACGAGGGGCCTGAAGCAAGCGGGGTCGAGGAGACGCTGCGCCCGCCTTTCGACTTGATTGTATCCAGCGATACCCTCTACGACGAATCCCTCATCGACCCACTCTTTACCACCTTGCAAGCTCTCTTTATTCAAGGGCGTGACACGACGTCCTTCTTACCGAACAAGCCCCCGGTCATCCTCATCGCCTTGGAACGGCGCGACCCTGCTCTGATCAGCACTGCCCTAGCACGTGCACCAGAGGAACTGGTGCAAGTGCCGACCAGGAAGCTCAAAAAAGCTCTCGATCGATCTGGCATTCGATGGGATGGGGTTGAAATTTGGAGAGGTGTTGGCCGACTTTAGAGTTCGCCCATGTGTTTTGGTGTTCCTCCACGAACATAGCCGAAAGATGACGCGGTGGCGTTCTGAGTCACCGTGACGTAGAATATCGCCCACGCCTGTGAAAATGCATTTCAAACTTCTGGTGCGGACGGCAAATACTTGTCACTCCAACACTCGTGATTCGCTAGCCTACGAGTCATTACCGTGTCCAATCGTGTTGTGCCTGCTGTGAGATACAATCACTACCTTCGCAGCGGGATTATTCGCGGATCGCTCTAGGCCCAATCTTGGCTCACCTTCATGTCATAGACAAAAAAAGCTGTGGTTGTGGCAGACACGTACCACACTGGTGACATACAAGTACCACGTACTTCCATTCAGGAGAATGTGTAAGTGACGTTGTACACCCTAAAAGAACCATATGCTCCCCCGCACCACCTGCATGTTTTCTGCCCGAAGGGTGGTCTGCACGAGGCTGGAGGTGCCGACTTGACAGAAACTAGTCCTATACAACGCGCCCCCAAACGTGCACAGAGCAGGGGCCTGTTCGATGACCATCTCCCTGAATTTATGCAAGTGTGAAGTTAGTAGATGTGTGCACGACCCTCCAGCGATGCATGAGGTGGACAGGGGTCAAAGTTTAGGCTGGCGGCCCGCTAGTACCATCTCCTACCGCGGAATCCGTGTTGGTTAAAGATGTACCGAAGGAGATGTGCGATGACAGACCAGCGAAAGAAGTTCAATTCAATTGTTCAAACGTACCTCCGTTTGTCAGTCAATTCTGGTATGAACTCTTGGGAAGGGATATGAACGTGTGCGTGAGGCCCCGCTTCGCATTAAGTTGTGCGACTTAATAAGCAGAAATGTACCGCCGGGAAACAACTCTGGGTATTGATTGCAACTTTGGGCTTGGCCGCCCTTTTGGTGAAGGGGTTCGGGGGGAATCTCCCGCACCCTAAAGCAACCGCGGGGGTCGGACAGCTAGTCTCCAGTACTCGCAGCCTAGCCGAATTGTACAGGATCGCAAATCTACGCCCGACCTTTGCTGCACAGGACAAATCCAGTGATGTACCGACAGAGGAGATCTTTCAATTTGGTCACATTAGGCAAGGCGATATGTAAGCCTATAATGGTGGTATCTTCAACCCTCTGGGCCAGACATTGATATTGGACGGAGACATGTTGCCCACAGTGGAGAGTGCTTTGTCGAACGGGAGCTTATCGTGAGTGCTACCGCCAGAATGAGACGAGTACGTATCCAAACGAGTGTTATGTGTACTTCCCTCGGTTTCGGGTTCGGAGGACTGGTGAGGTTGCGCTAATTCTTTTCCAAATCACCACCGGAGACCCCGCGGGGTGCCTTCGAGGGACTGTCGCCTGGGACTCGCCCTGTTCGCTGGCTCCGGGAAGTTGCATCAAAAACCCTCAATTGGCAAGGAAATCCCGTTACCCTGTATCCTATCTTTGGGTGCGCAGTGCACATGAAGATAGCTGTGCATTCAAGGGAGAATGTATCCTAGAAAGGAATGTCACCACGTGGAGTAGCCGGTGGGCATCTAGACAGAGCTACCGTCCGTTGTGCCGGACAGCACTGCAGCTACCCCAACAACGCCCACGTACCTTGAAACAACCCTCTGCCCTACTAATTAGTCCCTCAGACGGCCTGAAACACACCAGGATTACGTAGTAGCCTGTGCGTTGCCTGAGCACATCATACCACCTGATCTTAGGTACCAGACTAGCCCTCGTAGACTGAACGTCCCCAGCGTGGGCTGTTCTACATTGCATCAGGGATTGGCATCTTGGCATCATCGGCCCTATTCTTCCTCCTGCGTCCGAGTGACCGCGGCTGGCCCATTGCCATGCACATGAGTCCGTCATGATCCCGTCAAGGAGATGAGTTCTCTTGAATGCATTAGCCTGTGTCTTCCGGTAGAACTCATTTCTGGTTGTATATGCAATGGTCAAATTTCCTTGTTCAAAATTTTGGGAGTCCGAATAGCCGAAGCCATTCGGCAACTCAGAACTAATAACAAAACAAGTTTTTCCAGAAATGGAAGTCTCGCTCTGCGGGTGTGGCGGTGGCGAGGCTGCAGCTTACGCGTCGCCGGAGGCCATAAAAGATAGACCTTGCCTCTGCACCCCCACCTGCCCAGCAGCCCAAACACCTCTGCTTGCATCTTGGCCCCACCCTTCGACCGTTCCTCACACCTTTCAGTGAATCTATCCGTTTCCCACTGTTTCTTATGCTTGTGCTCATGAACGCTTGCGTCATTCTTAATCTAGGTCGCCACATCGCCAGATACACATCATGGCTGCCAAGAAACGTTGTCAACTTCAAGCTGAGACTCCATGCAACTCTGCAGTTCTTCGCATAGTCGGACAGTGTCCTCACTGCCGTGCAGAGTTCTGCGGTGTAGTATGTGCCGATAGTTTTAGCGGTCGTATGACTTGACCTCATGCTGAATTCTACAGCACCGCTTGCCCGAACACCACAACTGCAACAAACTCGAAGACTGCAGACAACAGGCCTTTGAAAGGAACAAGGCCAAACTTGAGAGTGAACGAACCGTGGCCCCAAAGATGGCCATGGCATGATGGGCCCAAGTTCTACACGTTCCTCGTCCATTTTCCTCGCTAGCTCCTACTTGAGCACATACACGAGGCTTCTCCTTGTTGCATTCATACCGCCACTATTTGATCCGCACTGTTGTTTTTTACTCACTTAATACATTACTATCTATAGCGTATTCCGCCTTCTCCGGTACAATGACACACACCATCTTGGACGACTGCCGTTGTGCTGTTCTCGTGCATCCGTCCGTGTTATCCTGCTCTGTCCCATCTTCCGCTCCCCCACCTTGACATTGTTTGGACTCGTCGTATTCATGTGACGTGTAGAGTCAGTTCTTTCTCTGTGAATGTTTCCCTCGGACCTTGCTGGACTGAACTGTTGCTACTCTCCATTTACACACATGGATTGCACATGTACCAAGCGTGTTGCAGCGAAGTTGCACACATCCGACCACCTAATAATTGCGGTCCTGCCGATTGCACGCACGCAAGATTATCGCATGATCATTCCTCAAAGTCAAGCTTGCTGTCGATCGTGAGATAAAGGTGATTCATTACAATATAACTAATAGCATGCACGCCAGGATCATCTCCATCTCCGAGATTGCACCATTTTGCATGTGGTTGTTACGTGGCCCTTGTTCTGGCTTGCATGACGAGGGTATGCTGCCTAGGTGGGCTCTCATGCAGTAGGGTAGGCGATTCGCGAATATCGCTGCTGGCTGCACGGTGGAAATATAGACATTGCTTCCTCATCACGAAAAAGAAGAAGAACAAAAAAAAACTTGCCACCTGATCGGCAGCCTCGCCATAAAAACGTGCAGCATGGCAATAGTTTACACTGACATTGGGGAGATTACAGTGGCCACTCCAGCAACGACACGGGCCACCACTTATCTCCGCTCGCAACTATTTAATATTTGAGTTCCATCGGGAAAGAGCGGACGACAGAAATCCCTCAGTGGGGTTTGAACGGAACCTTAGATGGGCGACTTGGGTTGTATGAATATTGCGAGTAGAATGAAAGTCTGGGGTATATTATAGTCATAGCAAGCCCGAAGCGGTTTGATGAGGATGGGGGACAAGCTGAGACGAGGCAGGGGGTGAATGCTTCACGCGCATTGCGGTACGTAGGTCTCATGCAGTTCGTGAGTCAGAGATCGGTGTACACGCACAACTTCCACTGGGTTGCCACACTACGCTGATAATCTGATTTGCTGCTTACCCGGCACCTCTCCTCGGGCACCCGATTTACAAAGTGGTCGGCCGTCTGCCGACCGTTCTCGAAGTTCCCCATTCAGTGACAGCTGCTTACGATTCACGTACTTTTAAAGGAGCATTCCATCAACCCGCTCCTTGTCCTGTTTCTACCTCTTCGGTTTCTGTACTGGGTGAGTACTTGACGCCCATCTTTATTCCCATCAGCTTCCCCTGCATTGGAGCGGTCTGTGGATCTGCTCTGATCGGTAACAAGCACCAACGGGCGCATGACGGCTGTTGATCATGTCTAGGCGAATCACATGCATACGCATGATCCCAATCGCGACCACTGGCCCGGCAAAGCCGTCCTACGTTTGGCTCCACCTTTTACTTCGCTTGCTTATACCCTTTTTTTAATCATTATTATTCGTTGCAACGCCTCTGACTCTCCATCATGGCGGCCAGGTTGAACCAGGTGTATAAACATCTATCTAACGACAAGAATCCAACAAACATGTCTGCGGGTAGGTCAAGCCGTAATCTGCCGAGTCCCGGGATAAGCGGCGAACATGCACTGATCACACTCCTCGGCCGCTGTGAACCCGCAGAAATTTGGGATAATGTTCCTCTCGCTCCCCCCGATAGGTGGGCACAGCTGACATCGGCTTCTGCGTGACCACTAAGCAATGCGTGTTATGGTAGTATTTTCAACCTAATTGCCGCCTACGCGGCGGATCCAACCCCGCATAAAGTCAACCTTAGCGTTGGAGCCTACAGGGATGATGATAACAAGCCGTGGGTCTTGCCGGTCGTCAAAAAGGTGCGCAGTGTCGAATGCCTGAGAACCCAGAACTATATCAATGGTGTTACTCCACCGCTTTTACCACACCCTCACTGCAGGCGACGCAAATTTTACTCAATGACCCTACCCTTGATCATGAATACCTTTCCATCATTGGATTCCCAGCGTTCACCTCGGCAGCCGCAAAACTTATCCTTGGGCCCGATTCTCCGGCCATAACCGAGGGACGTGTTGTCAGCGTGCAAACCATCTCCGGTACGGGGGCCAACCACCTTGGTGCACTCTTCCTCAGCCGGTTTTACCAATTCAACGGCACCAAGCAAGTCTATTTGACTAAACCTACCTGGGGTATGTGTATCTCAGATGCACCTGATGCATTCTCCCTGAGTGTTGTGTAACGTGACGTACAGTTAACCATTATGCCGTTTTCAAAAATGTGGGCATCGCCCCCGTCGAATATCCTTATTTTGATCCACGGACCCTTGGTGTGGACTTCGATGGTTTGAAATCAGCACTGGAAAATGCTCCTACCCGCTCCATCATCTTGCTGCATGCCTGCGCCCATAACCCAACTGGTGTGGATCCAAACCGTGAGCAGTGGGAGGAGATCGCGAAGATCATGCTATCGAAGGGGCATTTCGCGTTCTTCGACAGCGCCTACCAGGGTTTCGCAAGTGGTGATTTGAACAACGACGCGTGGGCCGTGCGATATTTCGCAGACAAGGGGGTGCCATTGCTAATTTGTCAGGCGAGTGGTTGTGTATGAGAACAGCTTATGGGACTTGCATTGACGAATTATATGATCAGAGCTTTGCAAAAAACGCTGGGCTGTATGGCGAGCGAGTGGGGGCTCTCCACGTCATTGCCCCCTCGAGTGATGCTGCAAAGCGAATCCGAAGCCAGCTTTCCGTGTTGCAACGGAGCGAGATCAGTAATCCGCCTGCACACGGTGCACGAATTGTAAGCGGACACCATATCACTTTTTTGGGGTGTTATGGGCGTTTAACGAATGCGAGGCAGATGTCGTTGATTTTGAATGACCCAAAACTGTCTGAGGAGTGGGATCAGGATATCAAAACGATGGCCTACCGCATCATTGCCATGAGGGAACAGCTATACAAATTGTTGACGGAGGAGTTTAAGACACCCGGCAACTGGGAGCATATCATAAAACAAATAGGAATGTTTAGGTGAGTGGCGTAGTGTGATGTGTCTCTAATCACTAATGGGTCGAGGGGACAGTTTCACTGGGTTGAACCAGCAACAGTCGCTGGCGTTGGGGGAGAAGGCGCACATCTACCTGACAAATAACGGGAGAATATCCATGGCGGGGCTGAACACGCACAACATTAGGTACGTTGCGGAGTGCCTCGACAAGGTAGTCAGGGGGGAATTATAAATTAAATGTTGGGTTATATCCTGTTACATTAGTCATGTGACATAGAAGGATGATAGAAGCCAATAGAATGTGTTTTTGTGACGTCAAACAACGTGCCTTGCTGATGGTGACATCATATTCCATATCCAGACTGCACACCAGGTTCCAATTTTTGAAACCGGTCACCCCGTTTTCTGACGAATTTATCCTTTCGGAATCAATATTTTTTCCTGAGTTTTCGGTCTCGCCCTTGCGTCAGGTCGCCTTCCTGTCCTCGGGACGTTCTTTGTGTGTTTTTCCTTCCTCCTTAGATCACAAAAATTTCTCACCCGCCCTCTGCTGGATCTGGTGTTTGCCCGTCTCTTCGTCGGGAACTGGTGGCACAAGCCTGCTTTTCTTTCCTAATAGTGATGATTCCTTGTCAGTCGTCACCCCCAAGTATAACATCAAACTCGTGTCACATTCACCAGTGAAGACTTGCTGCGCTAACTGCCGGTGCTACTGCTGGCGGGTATTCTAAACAGGCTGCTTGCGTCATCGGAATCGCTGATTCGTTTGCAGTCTGTCGTCCTCGTGTCCTTCATACTCGTACTTCTTCATTGGAGAACACCTGAGGCCTTTAAAACGGGCCTCTGCCAAAGTTTGTCTTCCGTATTGTTATTTCCCCGCTCGTTTGAATGATATTCATGGGTCAAGTAGTGTCTCTTGTCGATATCCAACACTCCTGCTCGTCAGCGCAGGTGTCCTCCTCGGAGCACTCAGGTCGTTCCTCTTCTTCATCCGCTAGGCCCATAGTGCCTCCGAACCATATAAATTTGACTGCCCCGCAAGTCCTGGGCGCTTTTGTTTCGTCGCCTTCGCCCTCTGTGCGAGATAACCCATTTGAATCCCCTCCGTCATCGCCACCTCTGCCCTTCTATACTGCGCCGTCTACTCCCTTGACATCTCCGCAAGCCGAAGATCCACCACTGAACCCTTCCGCTCTTTCCCTGCAGCAACAACCGTCTGGAGCCGTCAACAGGTTCACATCCCCGCCACATACCAACCCTCTTCTCCCCCCTTTAACACCCCAAGTAGAGCTTGAGACGGATCCCCTTGTAGAAGCCTACCCTGTACTTGACACTGCAGCGGATTTTGCGCTGGACGACGAAGGGCTCACCACACTCGAAAAAATATACCTTTTCTCCCGCAGTAGATCTGCACACCACAGGTAAGCTCCGTCCTATTTTCTACCTCATTACTGCGGTGCAAGTTCAGTCTCCTCTCCCTTGTAGGGTATTTATTTCGCATGCATTTCCATCATTTCTAGCGCACGTCACTCCGCTTGAAGCTGTCGAGTATGTTTTACCACTGCTTCCAAGTTTAGCTATGGACGAAGGTACCTTCACACTATATTAGTTCTGACGCAGCACGTTCATCTTTTATGACGTGTTATAGATGAGGCAGTTAAGGAGGCGCTGGCCTCCGAACTCGTTGGAATTTTGTGGTGGTTCCTCACGGTGGGGAATTATTTTAATCTTTCCTCGTTGGTCCCGCACTAAACGTGCCCTTTCGAAGCGGTGCCGATTGGTGGAGGAACCGACCTAGCTCTGCTGATTGCCAACCTAATTACACTGATGGTGACGTGACCCTGATGTCCGTTCAAGCTTTCACGCCTATCCTGGGAACCTTTCTCCTGAGCCCGAACGGCATGGTCAGTGGGCCAGCGCGATATGCTGTCGTTGAATTGCTGGGTAGGATAAAGAAAGCAGATGCCGCAGAAGACGAAGGGGTGGAGGGTGATCATGGTGCGGGTGGCTGCGGGCTTTTTGGGAGGCCACAAAGAAGATTGTTTGAGGACGAAGTCCTTCATCAGATCGTAATCGGAATTGGAAGGTTGGACCTACCTGCAGAAGACGAAACTTGTGGACGTATGGTTTGATGCGTCCGCACGAACCCCTGCAACGGAAATACCAGCTCAGGTGTCCGCGTCGGGAGCCGTTGATCAACTATATGATCCTACCGTCAATCCATACTTTCCCGTTCCTCCCCCCTCTCCATCGTCGCCCGTATCTTCTCTCCCGCCATTTTCTTCCGCGACTATCGCGGTTCCCGTTCCTTCGGTGTCTGTAGTTCCGCCAAGTCCACCGCCCTGCGTTACTCCACTCCCAGAATTACCGTCGACTGAGCCGCCTTCACCCATCACTTGTATATCATATCATCACGAGGAGACAGACTCCTAGTCCTACAAGAATGGCTACCTCGTACGGGTCGGTTTTGCCTACGGCACCGCAGTCGGCAGACGTAGAGGCGCGTCAGGAGACGGAGGATGAGACTGACGCTACCGAACAGGCGGCCATTGGGCGGCTGTCGAGTATGAGTTTGATCGCCGCCGTCACAGCTGGAGGTGAGCGGATCCACTTGCTTTTTCGGGTAGTCTTAGCTGGATCTTGGAACAGGTTCACTAGCACCTGATATTCAGCGTGTATTTGTAAAGGAGGTGGAGCGCGCGGGTAAAGATCCAGTATACTGGGTAAGACGAGAAGCATCATTTGCGCTCGGTGCACTTGCGAAAGTCGTGCCGGAAGAATTAGTCTTGACATTAGTAAGTGTCACGCTTCGGCGGCATCCTTGCACTAACAGGCAGCAACCTAGCTCCCCTTGTTTGATTCCTTGCGATCAGATTCGGTGTGGAATGTCCGCCACTCCTCACTCTTTGCACTTCCCGCGGTCCTTTCCCGTTTATCACCCCATCTACGACGTTCCGTAGCACTTTCGACACTCGTTCCACTTTCGCGGGATGAATCACCAGCTGTGCGGTCCGGGGTATTGGAAGCCCTTGGGGAAGTCCTGTATACCTTCCACACTGACCAAGATGGACCACCTTCTGAGTTGCTCCGACTTTTCCTGGGCCGCGAGCAGCCTTTCAAAGAGCAGTATCCAGTCGCCTGCAGAATGCCGGGTGCAATATGGTCAGGTACGGCGGGATGAAGCGCTTATATTCTTTTTTTAAACGAAAATCGAAAAACATGACACTCACGTTCTTGTCATAGTATTGCCGGATCTGGACTTCTTCGATGATCCAGGCTCGCCCCCTTGCGTGTGCGTTCAACTATCCTGCTGTCGCACTAACATTAGGATCTGCCAGATGGGGAGAACTGCGGGAATACTACTTGACTTTGGCCCAATGTAGGACGTCCAAAGTTCGGAGAACGCTTGCGGCGAGTTTGGGTGAATTGGCACGGGTGATCGGGCCTGAGAACGCGGCCCGTGACCTCTCACAGGTCTGGTGGGATGCCATGCGATATGACGACGATGGAGACTGTTCGGCTGAAAGCGATTGAGGCACTTCCGCTGTTTGTCGACTCCCTCGGGGAAGGGAAGGCGCGGGATGATATCTTTACCTGGACTGGTCAAGGCATGGGAAGAAGGCTGGCTCTCGCGGAATTGGCGGGCGAGAGAAAATCTGATTCAGGTGCTAGCTGATCTCGCCGGATCTCCATCCCATCCCGACTGCGTGTGCAGGCTGCTCAAAAATGGACTTGAAGATGATTTCGGAACGGTTAGGGATGCTGCGATCCATGTGGTATGTCTCGAGAAGATAGCAGCCCTGAGGCTTATTCAGATTGTGTTTTAGATCACGCGTATCTGGGCTGACTGTGATAAATGGGCGGTTGTTCTCGACGGCCTCCGCCGAGATATCATTGCCTTGGCACACGCTTCCTCATATCGAAAACGCATGACGTGAGTGTTGTCAATTGTGTACTTGCTCTCGGCCTCAATCCTTCTTGTAGATATGTTGCTTGTCAGCAATCTCTGGTGTCGATGACAGAGAAAAACTCGTTTGTCGTGGACGATACTAACTGGGAGGCACTTAGACAGCTCGCTCACGATCGTGTCGTGGGCGTTCGCATTGGCGTCGCACGTCTCGCTAAATCGTTGTACGGTAAGCATCTATCTCATTAGGTGGCTGGTGTGTATCATTTACGGGTGGCAACTTCGTAGATAAGCACACTCGTTCGTCCGGTCTTCAAGTTCCCCAGCGCATAATCGACTTGGTAGAGCAACTTCGTCGAGACACGTCGACAGAGGTGCGGTCTTACGTCCCGAAGGTCGTCGATTTCTGTGACGAAACGCATGCTACTGGGTCGAGTCGCTCTGGAGTATTTGCAACGTTTTCGCGACCACCGCCGATCACGAACCGGTCGGAAAAGGACGTACCGATGACTTCGCTATGACCACTGGGGCCCTCAGTCGCTGGCACTGTCATTTATGATCTGTCATGTTTCACCTGAAACGACTGCCTGGTCATCATGAATCCGCTATTTATGGACGATGGCTTACGGCCCCGCCGCTGTTACCCTACACTCCGATCACCATGTACTGTTGAATCTTATTGTATCGTACACTACTTTTGTCGTATCATACTGTAGAGAATTGACATCAGTTTATTTGATGCTGCACAGACACTACCACGGACAATGCTGATAATGCATTATGTATTGTATTTCCCCGAAAGGCAAGTCCCATGGGGAGTCTCGCTTGAGAAGTTTTCGCGGCATCATTTTTGCGCCTATCACCAGACCACCGCGAAGCTGGTTCTTTGCGCCAAATCGCCTTCCTTGTTCCTTCCCGGCTCACCCACCCGGCGACTGCCCCTTTGCCCTATGCTCAAGGCGTCCAAACCACAATGACAAGCCTTCTACTCCTCGCTCGGTACATGCTTTTTGGTCAGTTTGCACCACTTCCCACGGAACCATGCATGCCTCGTGTGTACTGACGTGGGTCCAGGTTTGTTCGTGATATGCAATGCGATAATTTGTATAAGTGCGGTTTGGAATCATAGTCTCACCACCTCAAGCCAAACGTGTACGTCATTTAAGTTCTTTATTCATCCTCTTGGTGACCCACCTGATGGTGTGTAAACGGCCCCTCGTTCTCTTCCTATAGTGCAAATCGATATCTACCTCGCCTTCTTGGGTGCTTTCGGTCTGGTGTTTGCTGTTACCCTGTACGTTGACCTATGCCCCCACCGGACCTACTTGACGTGGCTACTGTGAAGCATTTTCGTGGAGGTCCTCTTCAACAATCCGTTCACTACCCGTATATGGTTTGAATCCGGCTGGGTAGCAGTGTTTTGGCTTATGGAACTCTGTAAGTCGTCGTGGTTTTGTTGTGCACTAGGTTAACTTGCTTTTCATAGCCGGTGCGGCCGCCGTGAGCGCGCTTACGAGCAATGTTCATTGCAGCAGCAATAGTGAGTCTTTCACGCTTCATGGGTTTGTTTGCCGGGGATTTCACCATTTCTGCCTACTAGGTGTTTCCACTTCTTTGTGTATATCGCAACATCTGCTTCTGGCTTTCACGTGGATATGTACAGGTATCCGTGAGTTGCCTTAATACTGCGTGCTCTTACAAGACTTGATTTGAACAATGGCACCTTATCGCAGTGCTTGCCTACTTTTTTCTCGTCGTCTTCACGACAGTCACATGCCAACGGGATAACCAAGATGTGTGGAACGCCACAGTCCGCCACCTACACTCATCAGCTAGCCGCCAGTATCTGAGCAGTCTCAACTCGCCTTCTACATCACGATTCAAGAATGGCTCTGAATCCTTACCCGCACCGGTAGCGGTGGTTACGTATGCGCCCAAGCCAATTCGCCCGGCCGTCCGGCCGGCGTACTTCGATCATGACAGAGCAGGCCTGGGATCGGAGTATGAGATTGAAAGATTCAAATCTCCGCCCGCTCGGCAAATGACAGTCCCTGAACAGATGGTCATTGACTATAGAAATTCGCTTCGTGAAGCTGTTCCCATCCCTCTGTCCAGCCATACGCAGATCTCCACGGTTCGCCCTCTGCCTCGCATCGCGCCTTTGTCCATACCTGTAGCTGTTGCTGTACGACCTCGCGAGGATCCCCAGTATCCCACTGATGGCTCATTTATGGGCCGACGGGAACTACCATCGACTGCTGTCTATCCGAATGAACACAATTCCTCGCGGATAGAACGGCGGGAGTTGCTTGTTCAACCTTCTCCGCTCGGAAACTGGCCACGTCGGGACATCATGGAACAACCCGTTACGCACAAAAGGCGGAATCAGGATTCCTTGCTGTTCTCTGGGTCCACTGGTGTTCCTCGCGGACAACTTACTCAGCAATCTACTGAAGCTGGTGCGGGTCACCGTGTACAGTCAGGCTCGACGCCTTCGCAGCAGCCGGGTGCCAGGAGACCGTCTGGACCAAGATTGCGCCTTCCTTCCAATGATTTGACAGTGACATCGCAGCGGCAGGTACCGCCCTGAATTTTTCCCCTCCCGGTCATTACTTAGGTAGGCGTGGTAGTATTATTAAGAAAAGAGGCTGCAGTATTGTTCCCCTATTGTATTCCTAATTAGAGACGAGAGGAGTAGGTTCTTGTATTGTGAGACGCTTCTCTGATTGGGAGTGCATGCTTATGCTGGAGTTGATCCCTTGCGAATATATGTGCGGAGACCACCGGCCCAGTGACTGCCACTATGGAATGACATGCTAGCACGAAAAGAAGGCCTAGGCCGCGAGCTGGACAATCTCTTAGTTACTTAGTGGCATCACCGTGAAGGCCTTTCCATGTACCCATAAGGACAATGCCTGCACACATTATTGTCAAGTTCGCTCAATTGTCGTTTCCACAGCGTTGGCAGAACATCCGTTGATTTATCCCACGCGAAGGATCACACCAACATTCGTAGCGTTCTTTTGCCATCCACCCAAGCGTAGATATGGAGAATCCACATGCACAACGGCAGGCTGTGCTTCTCGAACGGATTCTGAAAAACGCCGTAGGTATCTTATTTCCGCTGATTTCTCGCTAATCCTGGTAGTCGACATGCACAGAAGTAATCATCGAACTCAATCACTGTGTTGAAGTATGTCACTTCCGTTCAGTGTCAAGAGGACCCACCTCCTGACTAGGAGCGTGTAGGAAATTTTACGGGCAAATGCCCCTGTCAAGATAGCAGCGGATCTCGCTACGAAATACCGCAAGAATGTACAATATAACCTTAAGGCCACAAAGCAGGAGATGTCTTGAGTGTGGTTGATCGGGTATATGGTAACTTGGGTGCCACAAGTCATTTCCGTATGCCGTCTGACACGTCTTCGTTGCACAGAAGGCCTCTAACTCTTCAAGCCTTCAATGTTGAATGATGGGTACTCTGTGTACTAGTTAGTGTGCATGCCAGGGTTATTGAAATTGCACAATAGTTTGCATACTAGTATAACATCAAGTCGGAATGGCAACTACTTCGATCTCTCTGGTGAATTCCTCGAACGCGTCATCTATGGCACAATGACCGCAGGCAAAAGTATCTCCCCACATAGAGCGAGTCCGCTTGCGTCCATAGATGTTTGTCGGGATTTCCTTTTCGGGAAATGCCGTAGCGGCCTATTGTTCGATGTCCTCGAGGCTATTGTTCCGAACCACGCCATTGCAACGACAATGACATACCCATCCATTAAAACATCTGCTTCACATGGCGTGAGATGTCCGGGCATTTGTTTTCTTCTCCCTTGCTACGACTGACTTCCGTATTGCAGCCAAGTTCACTGCCTTGGTAAACTATTCAGCTAGAGTTAACTTGATTTTCCTCACGAACCGACCAACGCATTCTTTTACGACCTCATCAATCCAATGCCGAACGCGTTCCTTGTCATACGCACGATCTTTTTTGGTGCGTTGTTGACTGTTGATGCCATGGCCCATACCCAACTAAGGAATAACCGCCAGCCCTACTTCTCTGTTTGAACGTCTTGCTACTTGTCTTCGCAGGATGGAATTTATCGGCAATTGCAAATACTGGTACGTCTCGCTTGCGAAGGAGTAGAGAGCGTCCGTTCACTGATGTTGATCCTGCAGCGCCCGGTGCGCCCATACTTGTCATTATAAGCTCATCCTTAATTCTCCTATTTGTGACCTTGTTCGTAGCTCTCTTACTTCGATAGTACGAATAAGCTCTAAATTCTGCGACAGGGCATCCATTGCCGAGGCTATTTGCTCCCAGGGAAGACCTGAACACGTGCGGTTTGAGTGTGCTTGGACGGTCCTCATGTGCACTGTGCAACTTGGTCGGTTCTAAATTTTGATCGTGTAACCGATTTCACCTCTTACTTTGGTCTAGCCTCTAGTATTAACGCGACAGTCAACGGACCACCTGTGATTTGTCACTCACAATGTAAGCGGACGGATCATGGAGGTGGAGCTGCGTTTGATTCCATCCATTTTCAACAGGGACATGGTCAACTTGCGCCTCGTCTTCGCTCCTGGTCCCTGTGACCTGGATGGTCGCTCTCATCAGTACGTGCCTAATATAGGCTCATGCCGACATCTAACAATACTGGCGACTGCAGTCCTCACCTATTGCTTGACAATATGTATTACCACATTGCTACATGCACCTTCGATTCCAGACGTTTGGCGGATGCCAATATCCTCGGTGCCGTGGTTCAACGTCGATGCAAAAGTGCCGTCCCCCAGTGCTAAGGTATTCGCTAAGGAGAAGGCCTTCTCACGGTATTCTAATGCAAGCGCGGAATCCTGTGCCATCACAAAGTATATCACAGAACGCTGGGGAAGACTCACTCACATCGAAAGCCAATCGGAATCTCCTTCGAAAGTTGCCTTGTCCTCCAAAGGTCATGAGTCTATTGACAACGCCCGACCTGTCTGGGCACGACAAAAAGATGGACGACGAGGTGTCGACCAACCATTTGCTAAGCCACCGCTACTACCTGCCTTACGCGGGGTTTTGCCGCCCCCGCCACCCACCATTCTTGCAAAGGAAGCTGTTGTGCCGAGGGACACCCGTTACGTTGGACGGTCGGAGATGAAATCGAGTAACGACCACTCGACCCTCACTTCGCATGCACAGACGTTGTTCCCGAAAGGGACTGCCAACCCGGATCTTCCTATTCCGCGTCCACATCTGTCTCACTGGATACCCGCTGACGCTACGAAAGCGGGTTACTTTTAAAGTGCTGTTTCCGTGGAGTGCTGCTCACTTCCCTGAAGTTATTTTGCTCAGTTGGACTACTAGGTGCATGCGGACTTGACTTCTGTAGCGTTAGCCCAGTACTTGTTGTAATGAATTCAAAGATGTAGATTAGTGACTACTGTTTAATCACAATCAACCAAAAATAACCGTTCCCACAAGGATTGAAATGTGAGATAGTCAGTAATAACACAACGCAGAAAGGGAATGAATAGGTGTCGGGGCACGTCTGCTCGGCTCACAGGTCGGGCGTACCCTCGGATCCTCCCGTCTCGAGCCAGAGCACACGGGCCCTCAGTTTCCGGTTCTCTTCCCGGGCTTTTGCGAGTGCAGCTGATGTGCCCTCCAATTTTCTTTTTGTTTCGTCGAGTTCTTTGAGGACTTCTTCCTCCACTTCACCAGCGCCGACGGCAATACCTAATGAGAACGTCATCGTACTGGCCATATGGAGATAGCGGAATCGACGTTACCCCCGACAAGCTTGACAAGCCGCCACATACGCAGTGTGATGAGTAGACCCACGAGTTCACGCTCCTTACCCTTGAGAACGAACTCAAGGACGACGGTCGTAATGATGATGATAGCATCAAAGAGATGGAAGGACGCGTGAGGGACGTTAGAGAGCGGCAAGAAGAATTTGATTCCAAAGGACCATAAAGCCAGAGGTATTTCAATCAAAAAGAATGTGTTAATAGCAAGGGATATGTTGGCTAAGACCTCCAGCCAAGCTGGTGATTCGGGACCCTCCGGGGGTATACATCCATTTGACAGAAAGCTGTACCCCAGATCGGCGAGGACGCAGGCTACATCAATTGTAATCTAGTGGCCAGGATGTGAGCAAATAAATCAATCTGGGGATAAAAGGGACAGGAACACAGCTACCCACCAGTGTAATGACAAACGTGTGCAGCCCAGGAGACTCGAGGAACTGAGCGGTGTTCTGGCGCCAAGCTGCTAACGTTGAAGGCCTGTTCCTCCTTGATGGTACAGCCTCGATATCGGAGGCTGGGAGCAGTGGCTGATGTTCACCGGTATCTGACATGGTGGTATGAGGTCGAGATGCGCCCAGCGCTTTAGTAGATGTGCTCGCACACTATTAGTACGATCGTATTGGGCAAAGCGGTATATTCACGGTCACGTGAACACCACGCGGATTTAGCAATGATCGACGGGGTATGGAAGTACCTACTGGCACCGGGCTGGTATTTTGGTTCTGAAGCCTTCTCTGTTCTCCGGATGCTACTTACTAGAAGAGGCGCTCGAGTCCATACAGTTTTGCAGGTCGTTTTCGACAATCACGTCAGTTCATCAGTCCACATCAGACCCTGCCCTCAGCGCAGCCTTGCGGCAGCAGCACTGCCAACCGTGGAACGGCATCGAGGCGCCTAAAAATATTTGAACATATAATATTATCGTGCCCCAACTTATCCCATGGCCAGCTAATTACTGACTGCGGTTGCCTCGCTGGTTTCATGACTCTCATCTTACCTTGACTTTTCTTTTAATCCCCTCGTCTTCTTCCCCGGTCCCGTCTACTTTGTCTCAAATGCCGGTTCTCAAAGGGGGTTGGTCGCTGTTTCGCAGATTTCGCATTACAGTTTTATGTGAGTTTTCCTGATAATTAACTAAACACATTTTCGTGCATATCTCACACCGTGCGATTAGCTTTCGCTGCTGTCCTGTGTCTACTATGGTCGATCCTCATCGCAGTGTATGTGGCAAAGAACTGGTCAAGCTATGAGACGGGCCAACGTAGGTCGTGAACCCTATGCCCTGTGCTGAGTCTGACATGTTTGAAGGTGGTGTTTTCTCAGGCCTCGTCGCCATGGACTTTGTCAGTTCCATCTTGATATATCTTATGTGAGTGGACATTGGTATGCACAGGTTCTTGCAGTATCCTTATGCGCACCAGGATCGTGGTGAAGTATACGTACTGGCCCGATGCCGCACGTACCCTGGTTCTTGTTGGTCTCCATGCAGGTTGTTTTGCTTCCCCCGGCCTATCGCCTATAATCACTGACTGACACACCAGCTGGAACCATAACTGTGATGATACTGAAACCTCATCTCCCCTGCAATGCATTTGGTAAGTGAAGTGCAGCGTTTGTACCTGCTTGGTTATGAAATTCACCGCCGCGCGCGCAGGAGGGTGGTCGACGTGCAACACATTGACTAATGTCATCATATACGGGTCTTGGGTGATTGCTGGCTTACGTATGTTCTGACTGTGGCGCATCGGGCTCTGGTTGAGGCGCTGATAATCAAAATAGTTGGATTATATGGCATAGCTCTGCCGTTTGTGGTTCTGCTTCCTCCGAGGGCTGAGCCTGATCTGGAGAGTACTTCGGACCGCACTGTAGGGGAGAAACCTGAAGAATCCAAGATGATAGAAGAAGAAGAAGTACAGCCGCAATATCCAACATCCGCAGATGTGCAGGAATGGCTACTACAAAACCAGGACAAGACGTCGCCGAAAACGGCACTTGTTGAATTTCCACGATCCTCGGGCAGTCCAAGCGGATATAGTTACGGGTCGCCGTCATTGCCATCGACCCCTACGCTCTCGCAAGCTAATGCCCGATTATCGCCAGAAGTTGCCACTGATGGTGGCTATGGGATGGCCGGACTTCGTGACTCAGGATATTGGTCCACTTCGCGGAACAGTGTAGCACAAACCCCCCGTGCCTCCTCAGTGCTGGTTACAAACAGAACTTTCGCTGCTCCTTCTGATCCCTCCAGCCCTGCGCTCCGTTCTTTCGATCAATCGGAGGGGAAACTTGTCGGGGAAACCATTGTTCCTGCGGAGCCGAGCAGCAGGTATGTTTAGCAGTCGCTCCTAGAGGCTCGGTCTAATGAACGTGGCAGTGCGTATACTGTTATTGACGGCTATGAGTCGCCGTCACTCTACATTCAATCGTCTGCGGCTCCGAGTCGAGCACCCACGGTCACTAGGCAACCGGTCAGTCGAAGACACACCAGAGGGGGTGAGAGTCCCCCCCACCCCCCCGTTCGGCCTGCGCAAGAAGACATTGACATAGACCAGGTGGAGGTCGGTGGTCCCAGAGGTGGTTACCTTGATCCGCCACTAACGGCGCTTCCCATCCCTGACCATGCTTCTCGCCGGAGCGCCGCGCCAACGACGTTCGAATTCCATCTCTCTGATCGGTCACGGCCTGTGTCAACTGACGCGGGAGAACTATTGAATATCGTTGGTGGTAGGCGACTGCAAGCACGCCAGGACTCCGTGGTCTCTAGCGTTGACATGGACGAGTGGAGAAAGCTTGTTCTTGGTGCCGCTGGCAAGGCCTAGGCAGTAGTAGGGAGTGTTGCATTCATATTTGGACGTTCAGACTCAGCATCATGGACTTTACGCTTCGATCATTCTAGGTTCTCGTGTGCATCGTTGCTACAGTAACAAATACCCTGACGGTGCACGAACGGGACATACGATTATTTATTGCATGTTGGCACATTTTCCAGTTGACTCTTCACGATCAATGCCGCGAGGAGAAGTGATCGCACGATCAAGTAACATCCACCTACGTGAATTTAGTCTGTACATACTAACCACCCAAGAGTCACTTCCTCGGAGTTGTATTTATGTTGGTCGATGCACTCCATCCAGGCGAATGCACGGATACGATTTCTTGAACCAGACCAGCCTGTACACCACAATAACAATTGCAGCAGACTTGCAGTGGGTAGCAGCTAGCAGTAACACGTAGTATCCTCTTTTCCGACATCCTTCGTTCATCCACCCCTTGTCTGTGCATATGTCAACGAATGCGAACACAATAAGTATGTGAACGAGGCGTAACCAAATGAAATGAAGGACTTGCGCCAAGTATGCTAGTAGCGTGACGTCTCCAACACGTTACGCCACCACGTACTGGTACTTGGTATCGATCCCTCAAGGAAGGTACATGGCGTTTCCACTTCTTCGAATAAATGCCCGGTTCCGAGCGCCCACGCGACTATCAACATGTAATATCCAACGACATTCGACGAGGGACCTGAGGGCTTTCAGCACTGCAACACTGCAGCCATCCACCTTACTACCCCTTCCGAAATCTTACTGGCGTCCCTTTCCTTTCTTACTAGCTGCAACAGGTGTTGGCCTAAGCCTCGCCAGTTTCGCAAGTCAGTCGAAGGTCCACTGCGATGGTGAGTAGTTACTGTTTCCTGGTTAGCGCCCTGTCTTGATATTGCAAAGCCGTTGCATCATCGCCTCCTCCTGAACTGGAACCAAACTTGCCACCACCACCACAATCCTCGGTAAACTTCTATGAGCTTACATTTGGCACCGTGTGCGGAGTATGTGCAGGGGTATTCGTTAAGAAGGGAGCACGCTTAGTTGCATTCTTTCTCGGCGGTGCATATGTCTTGCTTCAGGTGCGTCTTCCGTGAATATGATCATATATACATATACTGAGTCTGCATTAAGTACCTTGGTACTCTTTCGCTCGTCAAGGTCGATTGGGCTCGGATGGCGTCACACTTTGAGAACCTGTTCTACAGGGCGGATGCGGCAGGGAAAAGGAGACCTCCCACGATTGGATCGATGTTGAGATGGATGATTGATTTTTTGACTGTGGATTTTCAAGCAAGGGCATCGTTTGTTGCCGGGTTCGCGTTGGGGTTGAGGATTGGGTAGGGGGGTGATATTGGTAACAGCAAAACACAAGTTACCTGCACATATACTTCAGATAGGGTCTGATAGCCAAATAAGGAAGGTCAGAAAAAAGTGCTCAGTTCGAGTGCAGGTAGCTATCGTTCAATACTCGACAATCATTATGGGTGGAAGACGTGCAAAATACAAGCAGCCACCGCCGGCACCTCTATCAGAACCCGGTGCAGACCGCCCATCTTTCAAAAAACTCGGCAAACGCAAGGCAAATGCGGACGTTGATCTCGACTCAGAACTGGCGCAAGCACGGCCGGCGAAGAGAACCAAGGGCACGGCCAAGGTATCAGGAAAAAAGGATAGGAAGAGAAGCGAAACTACTACTCCGTCCACCCAGAAGAAGAAGAAGATAGTAGAAGAAGAGGAGATCTATGAGATTGAGAGCGGCGGAGAGAGCGACGGCTGGGAAGACGTTAGCAAGTGAGTACATGAACTATACTATATTCCTTGACATACTCACCTCCAAACGCGATTTCTCAGTGACGATGTCCTCCAAGGTGCTCCAGAAGAGTTGGATTTGGGCTCGGACGACGAAGAGGAAGTACAACTCTTCCCAAAGAACGCCAGAGAATCAAAACGACAACCTCAAAAGCACCGCGTGGTGGTTGTGTCTCCTCCAGGATCTGATGATTCGTCCGCATCCGACAACGATGATTCTGAAAGCGAGGGGGAGCGTATCACGATGGCAAATATGGAGGCACGTTCGCGTGCCATCGACGAGGAAGCAGCTCGCGAGGCTGAGCTTGATTTAGAAGAGGTAAAAAATACTGCCGCAGAAGAGGGCGATGAGGATGTTGATATGGTAGGCGACGGCGACGACGACGAGACCATGGGCGAACCATTCCACCTGCCTACTGCAGAGGAGAGAGAAGAAGAGAAGAAAAGCGTTGCCGACGTCCATGTCGTACAGAAACGTATGCGACATTGCGTCCGTATACTGGGTAATTTCAAAAGACTAGCAGAGGAGGGCAGGTACGTCTGGACAGATCCTTCGGTGTCGACATACTCAATCCAATTCTCAGGTCACGCTCGGAATACGTTGCACAGTTGATTTCAGACATTGCAAGTTACTACGGGTACAACGAATTCTTGGCCGAGAAGCTTTTCCACTTGTTCTCGGTTGCAGAGGTATTTCACTTATGACTAAGTTGATGCGTGCGCTGAGGGGTTCCCCCGCCAGGCGATCGAGTTCTTCGAAGCAAATGAGGTGTCGAGACCGGTGACTATCCGAACCAATACACTGAAAACACGGCGACGAGATTTGGTTCAGGCACTCATTAATCGGGGTGTCAACCTTGAACCAATTGGTAAATGGACGAACGTTGGTCTTCAAGTTTTCGAGAGCACAGTGCCGATAGGTCAGCGTTACTCCTCGGGCTTTAGTCCATGTGCTGACGTAGCAGCTAGGTGCAACACCCGAATACCTGGCCGGACACTACATGCTCCAAGCCGCTTCCTCCTTCCTCCCCGTTATTGCTCTCGATCCCCAACTCAACGAACGCATTCTCGATATGGCCTCTGCACCCGGCGGTAAGACTACGCACATCGCTGCCCTCCTCCAAAATACTGGGTACGTCATTGCCAATGATGCCAACAAGGCCCGAACGAAGAGTCTCGCAGCCAACGCCCACCGCATGGGTTGCAAGAACGTAACCGTGTGTTCATATGACGGCCGGGAGTTCCCGAAAGTGTTGGGTGGATTCGATAGGGTACTCCTGGATGCCCCATGCAGCGGGACGGGGGTTATCAGCAAGGATTCTAGCGTGAAGGTCAACAAGGTAGGCCCTGTCTGATTTGTCTTGATGTATTCTTTTCGCTTACATGAAGTGAACAGAGCGATCGTGATTTCATGCTTCTCTCACACCTCCAAAAACAGCTCATTCTCTGTGCGATCGACAGCGTCTCGCCCGAATCCAAGACTGGCGGATACCTCGTTTACTCAACTTGTTCGGTCACTGTAGACGAGAACGAGGCCGTAGTGAACTACGCACTCAAAAAACGGTCTAATGTTAAGCTTGTCGACACAGGGATCGGGTTTGGTCGTGAGGGGTACACGCAATACCGCGGAAAGACGTTCCATCCCTCAGTGGCCCTTACTAGGCGGTTTTACCCGCACGTACACAACATGGATGGCTTCTTCGTTGCGAAATTCAAGGTTGAGAAGCGGGCGAAAGTGACAGAAAATAATGTGGGATTGGACGCCGTGACGAGTACCGTCGCTGACGCGGCTGAGAAGGTCAAGAAGGTCGAAGGTTTGTGGTTTGCATTCTTTTTGGTATACATCGCATCAGACCTGATGTCTTTGCGTCTCTTCCAGAGGGAAAACGGAAACCGATGAAGACAAAGGGTCTTCGTGTTCGCGCACGACACAAGGACTCGTCAGCAAAATAGGTACGAAGGCTGCGGCGTAGAGCCATTCATTTCTTACCCTGATACGCGGTGGCCTCACCGTGTCTATATCACTGCTGTGTTCTTTGGCTACCCACCGATATTTCATGGATTATCATCGGCTCTGCCAAAACAGCCACCATTATTTGAAGACTGACCTTCAGTCTTATGAAAATTCGTATTTATCCACGCGCAATCAACGCGCTGCCACGTGTAGAAACACGGCGAGTTGCCTTTCCGTTGTCGATAGATCTGGAACGGAGTTGAACAGTGTGTGCCCAGCCGCACGTGGCTCGTTTGAGCGGTATCCCTGCATTCCAAGTGCCAGATAGGTGCTGAATCATCATTTATATTGAAGAATGCATGCCTTAGGCGACACTTGGCGAGTGAAGGTATCAACTACAAGGCCACTCCGCCACAGCGTGCTGCGGTAGGCTACTTGAAGTTGGCGGCTGTGCTACATACTGGAGGCCGTTTCATGTCCACTGCAATGCTAATGAACTGCTGATGGTCTGCAATTGTACGCTCTTGCGTAGACAATGGAGCAGTTTGCGCGGAAATTTCATTCTCGAAAAGGAGTTATACATTTGTATATGCGCCTGTAATTGATTTGCGCCCTCGATGACTATATACACATTAACCACTCTGCGTCCGTCAGTCCTGACGTTCCACGGAGGTACGAAGTCCGTAAATTTCGAGCATCAATGTTCTCGTCATACATGTAGATATCTCGGTTGCACGAGACCGTTTATTCCAATTCCTGCCAGCTCCTTTCTACTACAACAAGCTTGTTTTCATTGAATAGTACCGTGATATCTATGTGGGAAGAGTAGACAAGTGACCCCGACCGCAGCAACCAAAAGGCTTCCATTGAGAGATTAGGCTGATCGAATGAGAGACGCGGCAGCAACCGACATGAGCCAAGCCTAGAAGAAAAACGGACATCAGTGGCCGACATGCCTCATGGTCAACCAGATACCAGTCTGATCTGAGTCTGAGTCCATCGGACGATAAGTGCTCGCCGCATTTTCCCAACTTAGCCTGTCAGTTGTCCGAATCAGGGTCTTCACGGGCGGTATGTATTACGCAGCGTACCGATGACGCCAGCATCAATAGCGAAAGCGAGGAGCGAGAAGAGCGCCCCCAAGGTGGAACTAATGCCACAAGGGATTACTGGGGAGGTATGGATCCAGGACCTTCACAGTAATGCGTGACACGCGGCGATGCTGCACATAAACGTAAATTGCGGTCAAGAAGGCCAGGAAGGTACAACCGCGTGGTATGAGGGGATCAAATTCAGTCGAATCAAAGACGTGGAAGACGAGTGGCATAAAAGCAGTATACCAATCGGGAGGAATACTAAGGCAATTGTAAAGGGGTATTTGCAATGCTACTGGCATGACTGCAGGGATTAATTCGGACTTTAGCGAATGGACGGTGAAAATGAACGTTCCGAGCACTGGCTACAGTTGAGTCGAAGATGTACCCAAGCTCCACCCTGGCGCACGTTGCAGAAGATTGCGTACTGATTCCCAGCACCCTGATAATATGATGAGCATTTAGAACGATGTGATGGGGTCGGAAGAAGGATGCCGGTGACATACGACACCTGCAATGCGGAAATACAGTATCACCAGACTCCGAAAGCAGCAGTGCCAGTGGCAGTAGCCATGCTGGCTGAAGTGTGGGCCACGAGATGGAAGAGAAGAAGTGCCTGTGTGGAAAATGTAACCAAAAAAAGCAGGATAAAACGCCACCAGCAGCAGGCGAATGATTACCAGCGGAAGAATGGTGGTGGTACAGCTGGTCGATGCTTTGCCATCAACGTGATCTTTAAAATGATAAGAATGACGTTTCATGATCCATGCCAGGAACTTGCATTTCTACCATAATACTTGTCTCGAGGGTACTACGTTGTATGACATCCGGTGCCACTCGAAGCAGGGAACTGGCCATGACCTCAACCTATCGAGGCATTGACGATGACTTTACCAAGTGGAGGCCTTCGTATGAGATAAGACGTGTGCTCGCACCCGGATCAGTCTCGTCAAAGCACCGATCTATTACGGGAGCAGATGACGTTATTCTGTAGGATTACATTCGTCTATGAAGGACACAAATGTTGCCATCACTACTGCACGCCCTCCCCAAGCTTATTCAAGGACTAACAATGGTGTCCAGGGCAGGGGGATCATTGAACTGGGATTGTTTAGTCGAGCGTGCGAATGGCTGTCTCGGTAGCCATGAATCGGCATGAAATGTCAAACAACATTGATGGGAGACGCGTGTAGAAGACAATAATATGGCAACAGGGGGACATGATGGCGAATGGTTGCGACAGGCGGGTAAATGGTTGAAGGGCAGAAAATCAGAAAAGCTTGGTACTGGTTGGCCAGATAATTTTCGTACCACGAAAGGGGGAGGCGTAGAACGCGAGACTGTTATGGCCAGGATGGTGATAAGCACGGTCAACTGACCAGACGAATAAGGACTTTGTTGCCCTTTTCAAGCGATCTCAGGTCTGGCAGGTGACTGTCACCCTCATGACAGTTGAGACTGTTATTTCACATTGCAAGTAGGGGATTTTTCGAGAAGACAAAGTGTTTCTTGGAGTCACCCAGGCGTTCTCGAATTGTGTCGAAAGGACACGGCCCCAGCAAGGAGGCGAGAGAGGGGGAAAGGAGCTGAGTTGAATGGCTGTGGGAAACGTAACTCGGAAAACCTGACCAGCTCTTCACATTGTCACATGTGAGATCACGTTCGATCTCGCCTCGGCGTGAACAATTTCACAGTCCGCTGTGATGCACTTGTGGTTCTTTTCGCAACAAAAAAGCGAGAAATCCGGGCAGAAACATGTAGTTGGTGTGCACACAGTCACTGTACTGAAGCAGCGAAGGCTGAGTTGTGTGGAAACTACCAAGTGATTGTACTAACTGGAACCTTTAGCGGCGAGCACATGCATAGGTACATGCAGGATGATCCGTCCAAAATACCGAATTTTATGTGACATTTGAAAAAGAAAAAAATGTATATCATGACTCGTCAACGCTGAGTGCCACCTCCTGCAGTTGCCATCACCTGTGCATCCCACAAGCTGCAACTACGTACGTGCGAGGATTCACTGGGTGTGCAGGCGATGCCAGTCGGAAGAGAGTGTGGATGGAGTTGAACATATGCCCAAAAAGGGAAACGAATTGAACTGAACGAGATTAGGGCAAGTGTTTTTGTTTGGCGCGTAAGCGGAGCCAAATAGGGATAAGAGAGACGCGGAATTCGTTGGAAACCGTATCTTCTCTCTTTCTTCCTCTTCCTATCCAACGGGCCCAGCGCTGCGTAGCACGCTCTTCTCTCCCTTGTCCTATTATATAGCCTGTTCATGTCAGCCCACTTGCCTTCCTTTCCTGCGCGCGTCTTACCTGTCTTTTTTTCTTCTTCTCACAGCCCAACTTCGCAATCCCCATAATGTCTGCTACTGAGGCCACCGTTGCTGCCCCCACTTGAGGAAGTCAAGGCTGTCGAGACATCACAAGAGCCTGCCCCCACCACCTGAGGCTCCCGCAGAGGCACCTGCCCAGGCTACAGAGGAGGTCGCTGCTGCCACCGCGAGTTCTTTTTCTTTTGGTCTTTTCTCGACGTATCTCATTCGTGCATTTAGGAGGCCCCAAAGGAAGAATCAAAGGATGCTGTATGTTGCACTGTCGCCTCCAAAATTGCGTTGTGTTTGACTGGTACTTCACAGGAGCCCGTCACGGAGTCTGCTGGCGAAGCTCCAGCAGAACCTGCGGCCGAGACCGTGGCTGCTGAACCTCCTAAGGAGGAAGCCAAGACCGTGAGTTGAAACCTCTTTTGATTAGACAAAGGCGCGTCAAGACCTTTTTCAGGATGCTTGCCGCCGAGGCTAAGAAGGAAGAGAGGCCAAAGAGCCCTGGCTTGATCTCCAAACTGCTCTCCTCGATCAAGGAGGGTCAGAAGCAGGTCGCAAAGAAAGTCAAGGTTCCTAGGAGCCCCAAGAAGGACAAGAAGAAGGAACTTAAGGAAGAGGTAGGTTCATCGTATTTGCAGTCGGATCAAGCGTTTCATTAATGTTTGTTAGGCTCCTGCCTCTACCGAGGAGGCCCCCAAGGAAGAGCCTGCTCCCGAGGCCAAACCCGCGGAGACTTCTGCTGAGGCTCCCGTAGTTGAGGAAGCGCCCGCTGAGCCGGTCAAGGAAACGTGTGTTTTCAGTTGACAAGTCGTCACCGACTATCTGACGCTACATTTTCAGTGAGACTGCAGAGCCCGCTCCTGCCGAGCCTGCTGCCGATGCCCCTGCAGAGGCACCCGCCGAGTCCACTGAGGCTCCCAAGGAGGACAAGGTAGAGGAGAAGGTATTTTTATATCTATATGTCCATAGACATAAGATGCTGAAGATCCGGAAGGCGGCAGAGGAGAAGAAAAAGGACGACAGCAAGGCTCTCAAGGTCGGCCGTCGTTTGTCTGCCCGGGTCGGTGACTTCTTCCGACCAAAGAAGAGCGAAGTTTCTACGCCCGCCAAGGTCGACGAACACCCACCTAAGATCGACGAACCTACTCCATTGGCTCCCTTGGAGAACCCTGCCGTTCCGGTTGCAACAGAACAAGCACCTGTTGAGGAGACTGCTGCTCCCGCTGAGCCCGCGCCTGCTGCTGCGCCTGTTATCGCTGCTGCTGCATAAACAAGGAAGGTTGCGCTGATCTAAAGTCTACCTCACGAACGACATGAGCTATTCTCCGCTTCATTCATCTTTTGGTATGTCGTGTGGGTCGTTATGGTCCACTTCCGACGTCGGCGGTTTCTTTCCTTCTGTTTATGTTTCTCTATGATTCTAATACGTTACTCATTGGATCCGGTTCACTTTTTGACGACCCTACTCATCATCATGACTGCTTCGATCCGTGTTTCACCACTTAATGCTGATTCTCTGATCATTGATACCCTCTATTTTCCTCGTGATCCGGATCGAGTACAACATGTTTATAAGTTCTCCTTGTAATCAATCCATCTGGAGGGCATCACAATCAAGTCTATGAGTGAACAGGTTTCGGTTATGACTCGAACTGTAAGAAATTTGGAAAGTAAAGCATTTGATATCGCTCTGTCAACGGATGCGAAATGGCTCCAAAATCCTCGGCTACTGGCAGGGAGAGGACCACCATTGAAGAGGATGATGTTCTTCAAGCTATCATCCTCGCAGATAGCTTTAACAAACGATTTTCGCCGTTGACGCAGCACAAGCCTAGGGTATGCCTTTGTCGTGCTGATGATGCCGATTAGTCTAACCCACATTCACTCAGTGCTTGTTACCTGTCTGCAATGCCCCATTACTGGACTGGACGTTCGAGAGTCTCGCTCTTGCAGGTGTTCAAGAAATATTTGTGGTATGTCGCTCGCATGCCGAGCTCGTCAAAGCCGTCATAAAGTACGTTTTTTCCTCTAAAACGTCCATCACTCAACTACCCATTTGCGCAGAAACTCGAAATGGTCCAAACCAAGCACGGGCCTGAAGATCGTACCGATCGTAACCGCCAAGGAGACATTCTCCCCCGGCGATGCGATGCGAGACATCTATACGCATGGAATCATCACCTCCGACTTTGTGCTTGTCACGGGCGACTTGGTGAGCAGCGTGCGGGATCGACGAAGTCGTCCGTGTGCACAGGGAACGACGCAAGACGAATAAGGATGCAATCATGACGATGGTGGTGAAGGAGAGTGGGGCGAGGCATCGAACAAGGTGGGGTCTTCAATCTGGCAATTGGACTATAAGGTTGAAACGATGCTTTGGTGGTGATGTAGATCAAGAGCCGAATCCGCCGTGTTTGTGGTTGACCCGAAGACATCAGAGTGTCTCTATTATGAGGCTGTGATGGGCTATCCGCCCAAGAAGTACGCGAATATACCGCGCGAGATCCTGAACTGAGCACCCCGAGGTGGAGATCAGGAACGACCTTATAGACTGTTCAATAGACGTTTGCTCTGTGGAGGTGAGTCTCGTAAACCTTGTCGTCGTCTTGGCGTTCGGGCGACCGTTGCATAGAATATATTCATTGATGATTGCCCTAGGTTCCTTCTTTGTTCCAGGACAACTTCGATTACGGTGACCTACGGAGAGATTTTGTACATGGGGTTCTTATGTCCGACCTTCTTATGAAAAACATACACTGCTACATCGCAAAAGATGGGTATGCAGCGCGAGTGAAAGACACGAGGAGTTACGATGCGATAAGGTCAGTTCAACATATCCTAGAAACGGAAACGCTGCGAACTCGGGAACTTATTGGCTGACGTTTGAATTCAGCAAGGATATCCTCTCTCGCTGGACCTTCCCGCTTGTCCCGGATGACAACCATCCGGGAGGACACTCGTACGAACATATACGTGGCAATAAGTACATCGCGAAGGATAATACTGTCGCGCTTTCTAGGTAATCTCCTGTCTTTCACTTATCTGTTTGCGCAATTTCTGACTCGTCACTTTCATCCGATGCAGAACGTGCAAAATTGGGAACAATACCCTCATAGGCTCTCAATGCCTGATATCTGATAATGCTCAGATTTTATCTTCAGTTCTTGGTCAGCGGTGCACCATCGGGGCCGGGTCTGTCATTCGGAACTCTTATCTCTTCGATGAGGTAGTCGTAGGACCGAACTGTGCAATAGAGTACAGTATTCTGGCAGCGGGAGTACAGGTGAAGGACGGGAGCCGCATCGAGAAGGGGTGCTTGGTTGCGGATGGGGTCGTCATTGGACCACAAGCGCGACTGAAACCCTTTGAGAGGCTTTCGAGAAGGTTGTTGGAGAAGAAGCATGACCACGAACAGGAAGAAGACGGAGGCGAAGAAAACGAAGGCGAAGGCGAAGAAGGAGACGAAGACGAAGACGACGAAGAATCCGAGGATGACGATGAGAGTGAGATGGATTCTGACTATGAGGAGATTGAAGCGAGTATGTGATTCACCTTCGTATTTAATGGTGATGCCGATCTCATGCCCCAATTCACAGATCAGGATCCAGAAGCGTTAAAGAGACTTGGTCCTGGCAGTAATGCAGTTATTTGGCCACAACCTTCAATCAACGAAGATGAAGAGATAGACGAAGTAGAGCACCCAACGAACTTAAGGCTCATGCGTCTCGGTATTATTTCCAGTCTGACCAATGATTTACCGCCTCACCGGAAATACTGTACAGGGGATGACACATCCGACCTCTATCTCTCGGATGCAGGCTCAGAAACCTCCGAATCCGACTCAGACGATGACGACCATTTCGACGACTCCGATCCCTCCTCGTCAGTCACTTCCCTCCCGCTTGCTGACACATCGAACCTTGTCCAGCAAGCCGATGAAGCTGCGTTCATCGAGTTCCAACATGAAGTCGAATTATCACTCGATCGTGCGTTTGCAGAAGGTCATTCTGTTGATAACGCTTCAGTTGAGCTGAAGACGCTGCGCATGGCGCACAACGTCCCGCTCCGGAGAGTCCGAGAAGCTGTTGTTGCTGCCATCGTGAACCAAATAAAGATCGTGGAGGGTGGTGGCCCTGCGCAGCGCCAGGAAATTGCGGCCGTAGTGAGCAGATGGGGCGCACTTATTGATAAGATCGGAGGAGTGGATGCTACGGAGACCATTGAAGTGTTGCAGGTATGTGTCGTCAGGCGAACTATGTCAGTTGACACGGTGTCTGACCAAAATGGTGCATTGAGCAGGAGTGCTGTGCGTCCTCTGAGCGGCTTCCCTTGTTTGGACAGATCCTTGCTGCGCTATACCAAGAAGACGTAGTGGAAGAGGATGATATACGTGCTTGGCACAAGAAACCTCAATCTTGCGGTGATGATCAAAAATCAGCAACGCTGCAGAATAACTTCAAAAAGTGCTGGAACGCCGGAGCTTTTATGATCAAGCAGTTTGACGAGCAGGAGAGTGACGAGGAGTCGGATGAAGAGGACACTGCTACTTCGGCGCCCTCGACTCGGACGACAACTACCACACAACGAGAAAGTTCAGAGGAGTCCGATGACGAAGCAGAAGAATCGGAAGAAGACGGGGTCGGATCCGATGAAGCGTCTGAAAATGAGAGCGAATGATGTACAATTAGTACGGTATAGTCATAATGTATCAGAACGTATCAAGTCCAACAGTATCAAAGGTGATGGCATGATGGTGAAGCTACATAGTGCAAAAGCCGCTGGATCTATCGTACATGTCCACCCTATATGTACTTCAATATTTCAAGATGATGTACAGTGCTGTCAAACAGTTAGACCAATTGCTGCTTAGTGGTACGTCACAGACACTAACCATGTATGATTCCCGGTCTAGGACCATCATTATCAGTCGTCGTAATATGAGGTAACAGTGATTAGACTTACAACCAACCAAGGAGAGTCAAGCAAACGTTGATTAGCTGACAGTGATGAGGTCAATTTGGTCTCGTACATGACAGAGAAAACCGAAAGAACGTACAAGGTCAGCGCCACATCCCCGCTCAAGGAACACGCCGAGTGGGGGCAATATAAAAGCAAAGCTGTCGAATGACAGTTCGATTACCCATAAGGAACGGCACCTGAAATGTAAATGTAACTTACATGATCTGGAGGGGTTTTGTAAATCATTGCGCAAGGCGCTTCAGTTCAGGGTACAAACGTACCTTGCAGATGTCTGAAGCCGTAAACGCCATCAATAATTGGATTGCCTTGTAAGAGAATGCAAGTTATGCGGGCGACTTAAGAAGAGCGTGGTAGTGTGTTTATCGCCGTAATGTCTGCAGTAGCCTTTTTATATGCCAAGAAGCCCGAGTGAGGTGTTTGACCAACTCAGTATATTGACGTCACTGTGGGCCCAAACAGTACGCGGCTGTGTTGTTGGCAGACCCCGCAAGTGGCCTAAAGTGGCCTGGCCAGGTTACGTGTCTCTCGTCATGCCATCGGAGCAGGCTGCGGACGAATATCTCGATATACCCTATGTTACTACGCAGCCGCAGTCTCCGTTCCACAAGTTTGACCTGTATGTTCCGAAGGAAATCAGTGCATGTTTACTGCGCCCACTAATTTGTTTCGTCCATGGAGGTGCGTGGAGAAGGTGAGGCATTCACGCTTGTCGGTTCTGGCGTTCGTTCTCACACCAAGCGTAATGATGTTTGTATTCTCGTAATTTTATTATTGCGGTATTACAATGTACATAGCGAGGACAAATCTGATCACGCCGGTCTCGCTCGCAGGCTTGCCTTTACGACAGGGTACCCAGTTGCACTCCCGAATTACAGATTAACACCCCAAAGGCCCACTCCTGATAACCTCCTTCACCACCCCGAGCATGCGAAGGATGTTCTTGGGTTCTTGAACTTCATATGCGCTGCATTTGATCCTCGATTAAACATGGAGAGTACCTGCGTCCCAGATGACAGAGGTGCTGCAGAGGGATTTCGAGGGGTTCCGGGTCTACCCTACGAGCCTCATCAGCTGTTCCTTGTCGGCCACAGTTGCGCAGCCCACATGCTGTGCTCCATTTTTCTTGACATGTCCCCCCACTCTCCCAACGCTTCCGACGCAGACCAGCTCTCTCCATCGAATGCTGTTTTGGAGAGAACCAGGGCACTTGTCTTGTCAGAAGGAATTTACGACCTCGATTCCCTTATCTCTTCCTTTCCTGCTTACAGAAGTTGGTTTATCGAAGATGTTTTTGGGGGACACGACTCTTACGCGGACGTGTCCGTAATAAAAGCGCCAACTAGATATCATTCCGGGCACATTAAATGGCTGATCATACATTCCAAGGGCGATACGCTGGTTGACGAACAGCAAAGTCAAGCAATGTACCACCACTTAAGGAGTCAGTCTGTACAAGTATGCAAGTCATTCGACGAGCTCATTGAAGGACACAACGAAATTCTCAGAGGAGACCAGTACGTAGACGTGTTGCACAGATTTATTTCCGTTCTAGAATAAATACCGGCAACCGTGCGTAGATTTAATTCCAGCATTCAATGTAATGAGGATCTAAGTCGACTTGCTTATCGCTTCAAAGGCTCTCTTTAAGACCTCGGCAGCACGTTCGCAGTCCCTCTTAGTATTATACAATGGTGCGGGTGTGAGTCGAATTACGTCTGGTTTTCTTTCGTCTCCGATGACTCCCGCCGATTTGAGGTGGCTGAGTACCCTCTCCATGACATTTGACTCGGTCGGGAGAAATAGAAGTGACAACTGTGCCCCTCGCGATTCACGTTCCACGGGTGTGATAATCGTGAATCTTGGAGGATCATCGGGTGAATATTTCGCGGCCTCATGTGAGGATACATAGAATCCCGTTTGACGCAACAGCACCTCCAGGTGAGCCGTAAGCGAAACTGACCGCTCCCGAAGTGGTTTCATCATGCCCACTCGTTTGAACACTTGCAAACTGCCGAGCAGGGAAACGGTAGTGAGCACTGAGGGGTTTGATTGCTGAAATCCTTGTGCGCCAGGTATCGGAGAAAAGTCGGGGGGCATCAGAAACCGCGTGGTGGGGTCGTGTCCCCACCAACCCGCAAATCTAAATTGAACGGTGAATAGAATTTAGTCGCAGAATTTTGTGTATTTTCTTCCCGGGCGTTTACGGGGGAAGAAAAAAAGGAAACGGCGTACTGTGGCGTTTTGGTAGATTCCCACCTCTCATGCACAAAAAGTCCGCCGATTCCACCAGGCCCCGAGTTGAGGTATTTATATGAGCACCATACCGCGAAATCGACATCCCAATCGTGCAATGACAAGGGAACGTTTCCAATAGCATGGGCCAGATCCCAGCCACAAATGCATCCCTTGAAACGTATTCAATCATAAAGTTTTGCGTTTCGGGTGGAACAACAAAAATCCCACCGAGACAGGAAGTCTCCCCGAAGCAGCGGGCGTGACAGGAAGGCCAGAGGTATACGTAAAAACAATGGAGGGCACTAGTCAACATACCTGATCCTTGGCAGCTTCGGTGATCTCTTTCATGGGGAACCATTGGCCAGTATAGTATTGTACGCCACTGAAGATGACCAATGCAATAGACGAGCCTTGCTTAACGATCACATCTAGGACATCTGAACTTCTGAGGGTAAACTCGCCCTCACGGGGACCAAGTTCGACTATCGCGTCTTTCGGGTCATAGCCGTGGAAGAGTGCTTGAGATGCGAAGGCGTACTGCACAATGTGGTATAACACGTAGCCGAGTAGATGGTGTGCCAGCGTCCGGCGGTTGAATCGTGTCGGCTGAGATATTTTCCCTCACGCTCAAAGGGGGGAGGCCCACCTGGTCTGACGGAAACGCTTTCCCTTCACATAGAATCTTGTAGCGATTGGGAGTGGGTTTGTAGAATGCGGACATCATCAGGTGTAAGTTCGCAGTCAGAGTGCCCATACAGGCGACTTCCTTATCCTTGGCGCCTAAAAAATGCAATGCAGATACTGCAGGAAGGAAGGCCAGCAAGCCAGTGGGTAATACACACCAACCAGATCTGCCAACAGGGGTGTGACGGTGTCGGCAATGGTCATCCATTCGCGGCCGTGTGGGTGGTCAAAGTGGCCCTCTACGGCTCTCGATGTGGGGGGCGACGCGATAAATCTCGGACCTCGCCGTAATAGTTCCGGAATGGAGAAAGTACATACCGCGTTGCCCATACACAGAGTTCTTCTTGGATCAAGAATTGCGATCGCTTAGCTAAGGGGCCTAGTGAATTACCACATAGGTAGGTACATCGCTGACTAGCTGTACCACTGGATATGAGATGAGGTGAGGGCAGTACTAGTAGTAGAGAAACGTACCGATCTCTTCGGGGACATCTGCACCGATATCATTGTAAGTGGGGATAACAAACTCGTCCTCAGCGAGAGCAGCGCCTAGGTCTTCATGACCAACCGTGGTCATATTTTGTGAAGACGACTGAATGACGGTAATTCAGTCGATAGATTGTTGGACGAGTCTACTTCACCGTAATCAATCGGAATGTTATCTTAAGTCCGACGGCCGTGAGAACCGTCGACGCCAAGCTTGCACCGCGAGCGTGCGCGGGATCGTTCGCCCTGTTCAGAGGTTGTCGATACATGTAGTGTTCTTTAGTGTGTATCATACATCAGTGCCCGCAGTGTATCGCGCTCCCAAATTAATTCACGGTTCTCATGCTAATGCCTTTGGTTCGCCCAACCACCAGCAGGCAGGCAGCTTGGCAGGTCGTCCCTCTACAAATAAAGTATATTGTTCTCTCCTCCCCATACGTCCACCTGACTGTTCCTTGGCCAACGTGTGGGAGTTTACGTTGTAGCGAGCCATGAGTGTGTCCAATGCAGAAGACGGCGTGCAAAGGGCCGTCGTGGTTGGAGCAGGGCCCGTGGGTTGTTTAGCCGCGATATCACTCGCTAGGGTTGGGTGGCAGGTGGACGTTTATGAAGCAAGGCCAGGCATGTCCCTCCAGTCCCTTTTCTTAGGATCTGGCTTCGATTAAACTCAAGGTTCGGCCGCCCTTCTCTAGATTTGCGGTTACCGTCATCCAAGGCAACTACACAACAGCGTTCTATCAACCTAGCAATCTCGTCACGGGGGATTGCTGCTTTGCAGGCCATTGACCCGGCCATCAGCGAGCGATTCCTGCAGACTGCCATTCCCATGCGTGGTAGAATGATCCACGATATCAAGGGAAATCAACACAGTCAGTTGTATGATAAGGATGGCCAGGTGCGTCTGGTGTGGGTCATGGGGGCGTTTGCTGTATTTCATTTCCCCCATTTCTCTGTGACTTGTACACGGATTATCATTTCGTCCGCTATCTTTTTTCCGAGATTATTAAATCACTGACCGAGTCCTTTTTCACTATAGTGCATCTATTCGATTGACCGCGCTCTCTTAAACGAGGATCTCCTTTCCGAGGCGTCCATGGTTCCGAATATCCGCTTGTTTTTCAAACACAAGGTTCTTGCGATCGATTTTGATAACAGAACGATGGTTGTCCGGGACCTTGACTCGGAAAGAGACATCCGGACAGCCTTTCACTTCTGCATCGGTGCTGATGGCTCCTATTCAATTGTTCGTCGCCAGCTCATGCGGGCCGTAAGGTGAGTGTTGTGTATGCCCGTGTGCCGACCATCATTCCCTTGACGACAACGAGACAACGGGAAACTTATGGCCAACGGCGCATAGGATGAACTTCCAACAAGAATATATCCCTCACGAATATATTGAACTTAAAATACCGGCAGGCCGCGATAAACATGGCAAACCCTCGTTCTTGCTTGATCCGAATCACCTTCACATTTGGCCCCGTCACTCTTTCATGCTCATCGCTCTTCCCAACAAAGTCAATGTCCTTGTTCCGTCTTTCCCGTTCATCCGCACCTGACGCTGCTATGTTCGATATCTAGGATTGCTCCTTCACATGCACTCTGTTTGCGCCGACATGCGAGCTCGATCGCTTGGCCACTACGCAGGATATCTCATCTTGGTTCAAGACCCACTTTTCAGATGCACTCGCTCTCTTAGGAGAGGAGAAGCTTTTATATGACTTTGCGAACAATCCCCGCTGTCCACTTATTACAATCAAGGCTGGTGATCTTCCATGTATCACTAGTAGCGTGCATTGAGCGTCCTCTTATGTACGTAGGCCGAGCCATATCATTACAAGGGACGTTGTGTGATTATCGGCGACGCAGCCCATTCTATGGTGCCCTTTTACGGACAAGGACTCAACTGCGGCTTCGAAGATGTTAGGATATTGCAAGCTCTCCTCCAAGACAACGGTGTTGCACCTAGGAATGCACCGCCCAGATTAGACGAAGAAGCCCTCGCGGACTCAAGGCTGTCCAATGCACTGTCTCGGTATACAGAAACCCGACATGAGGATCTCGTTGCCATCTGTGATCTTGCCATGTACAACTAGTAAGTACCATTCCCACGCGGGTTCCTTGTTGCCTCTGCCACCTACTATGTTTTTGTGCACCACATTTATCATTTATTTGTGATTCCTGTGCCCGCTCGCTTCTGTTTATTATTGGTGGCAGTTAATATTGATATAAATTATACAGCATCGAAATGCGACATTCTGTGACTACGCCAACGTACCTGTTCAAGAAGGCGCTTGACAACTTCCTGTATGCCATCAGCTCGTGGCACAGTCCGTCTTCGGAACCAGCCGTTCGAGCCTCCATGACTACTATTCCTTTCCCTACGCGTAGGCCGTCTGGCTGGATCCCGCTCTATACTATGGTAACTTTCCGGCCTGATGTGAGTTATGCGACAGCCAAGAAGAAAGCTGCCAGGCAGTCCGAGGTTCTAACCACCGTCGGACGGCTTGGTACTATTTTGATGGGTGCCACGAGCTTGTACTTGATGCTGAGGGTGCTACGGGGTACCTCATCTCGAAGATAAGTGGGCCTAGGCATGGCTCCAGCCCAGGAATTTGTTGTCGCTTTAGTGTGCGAAATCCAGTAAAGAATAATGGCATATAGGGGGCGACGGATTTAATATTCTAAATCTCTTCGAGTGCTAGGCGGTGATTAACTGGAGGCTAGGAGCACGAGGAAATTTAGTGGGGCTTGGAAACATGCCCACCCACGTAGCTCTTGCGAGGATGGAAGGGTCGGTCGACTGCATTCACAGGCCGTAGGTAAAAATATGCAAAGAGGCGTGGGCATGGATGCAGATGGGTCGGTGGTACATGATATGCTATAGTCTACGTATGATTGGCCTAGTAAGACAATCAGTCAATATGGTCGTCGGTCTGCGTCGTAAACAGTGATAATCCGAACTGTCACACACAGAAAAGTAATACCATTGGGGGGGTGATTACCGTGAGTCGGACAACAGGAGGAAAAAAAAAAAAACAGAGGATGAAACGATCAACGATGAATATAGCAATGGCCAGGTCACCCTTGGTTACGTCTTTTTCGGTGGCCGGCCCCGCTTCTTCTTCGTAGCTGATTCACCCACAGTCTCCACTGGGGCAGCAGTACTACTGCCAGCAGCAGCAGGACCATCATCCTTCTGTTTGGATGGACGTCCGCGACGTCTTCGCTTAGCTGGACGCTCATCGGCGTCTGCTTCTTCCGACTTCTTCTCCTGCAGAGTGTGAAGTTGTGGCAGTGAGATGAGAATGGGAGTAAGGGTGTGACTGGGCTAGGAACGGATACCTTGCGTGGTCTACCGCGCTTCTTCTTGATTGGAGTTTCAGAGGAGGATACGGCTGGTGCAGTTGATGAAGATGGAGCCCCTGATTTCTTATTCTTGCTGCCCTTAGGACGGCCGCGTCCGCGTTTAGGTTTTGGTTCACTAGATTCTGCAACGCCTGAAGGAGATAAATGCAACAAAAATATGATCAACACGCCGGGCTAGAGCTAACTGGGACTGACGGGACAACGGCCAGCTTACCCTCCACTTCCTCGGGGTTATGTTGATCGTTCTCAGGGTTGCCCTCGTCGTATCTATCGGCGGGATCTTCTGGTTGTGGAGAGGCGGACATGGCAAGGAAGGGGGCCAAAAACACACCCGGAGGGGGTTGGTGGTCGAGCTGGTTGCAGGTACGATACGCCTGCTTCGAGGAGGGAGGGAAAGAGCGGGGAAAGGGTGCAGGTCCTCGTTTTAACGAATATCTCCCCTGCCGAATATAGTTGGAGGGACGTGTAAATTGTTTCCCTCGTGTGGAATTCTGGCCTGAAACTACTTATGGGATTTTATTAATATCGCCATGCAATCCTGGCTGTTTAGTAGCGGTTTTTGACCCCTGAATAATATAAATTTTCTTTCATTCGGGGGAGATACGTACGTAATTGACTGGTGGAGGAATATGTCATCCATATTTTTTTTTTTTGTATTTGAAAAATAAAATAAAATAGATCGAATTTTATTATTACGATTACCTCCGTCGGATGTGACAGCACATGCGTCTCTCCAGGATGTGATACGGTCACTCTGGACGCCGAGAATCGATCCAGCACTATGCGCCCAGACGATCATATCCTCTCTCCATCGCGTAACAGAGCAACGACATGACCAGTGCAGGGGCGCTCCTTTCGGCGATTTGCGGTCGCACGACAGATGGGCCTCGCGAGAGCCTCGAGTCTACCAACCCGCGTGCAGCCAGCAGCAAAGAATGAATTCGATTGCACACGACATGTCCCAATGAATTCCGCCGCCATCCGTATCTCTCGAGAGTCTCGGGCGGCCGCGGAGTTTTCCTGTGCGTCTACTTCGAGCGGCAGCCCAAATTAGTATGATGTTTCCCACGAGGCTGCACCTGTGGCCGATCAACGTTACGGTAGTTACTGTGTGCTCTCCGCGTCCCAACAGCCAGCGGCCAGACGATGCATCCACTCCAAGCCGTCGTCTTCCTTCTTTCCTCAGGGTGCTTTTCTCGAGCAAGGTTACTTTATTCGGGCCCCGAAGACCTCTACGCATTCCCTAAAAGTCGTGTTACGTTCCTTAACAACTTTCCTGTCTCCAACGAGACAGCCCGTCGCTGGCTAAGGGAGGGCTTGAAGGGGGGAGAACGTGAATTCATGGGTGATTTTCTGGAGACGGATGCCTTGCATCCACCAGCGTTGGTCAGGGAAATTGGCGGTTCTGAGCTTGAGAGCTTCCAACCATTACCGCAAGATTGTACGTCTGTAGCACGCGCTGCTCGTAATCGGTTTTATTTGACCGCCGACCCCCAGCACAGCTGGGCACCAGCAACTACACCCTTGAACGCATGAAGATGGGGCCCGACAGTGATTTCCTTTGTCTCATTCCGCCCCCACGTGACAGTTCCCCTGCACCAGAAGAACTCGATAGAAATGAAGCAATTCGAAATGGTTGGTCGCTATTGCAGCCCTTAACTGGAAAGTGCTTATATGTGTGTCATTTTTCTTTATCTTGGCCCTTTTTGCTCCCGACTTATCTCATTTGCAGCACAGACAAACGTGGTTTACATATTCCTATTGTCATAACCGCGAAATCAGACAATTCAAGGAACTTCCTCCCAATCATCCACATGCTCAGGGTATACCAATTTGTATTTTCTGCATACCGGGTATTCACACACCGTCAGGTTCTTACGAGCCTGCCGAGGATCCCGAGGTAAGCGTTTGTGGATTTTTTAATATTCATTTGCTTGCGCTCTAAATTTTCAAGTGGGAGGCTTTTACCTTGGGCCGTGCCCCTACTACAACAGAAGCTGGTGCGGATATCGTCGTAGCGGACCAATTCCCACGCACTGCCAATTTAGAAGTTGGACACGGTCCTGGCACACGTTATCTTGTCCAGCGATGGGGTGACGGCACCTTTTGTGACAAAACTGGTAAACCTCGCGAAGTGGAAGTGCAGGTCGGTGTCAGAATGTCATGGCGCTTGCGAGTTATAATGGGCTTGACCCGTTTCCTTTGCTATCTTTTTTAGTTTCATTGTTCCATGACGATGACCGACTCCATCCTTTTTGTGCGGGAGGCCAAGACCTGCTCCTACGTGTTGGTGGTGCAAACGCCTCGCCTATGCGGTGAACCGGGCTTCAAATCTCGCCTGCAAAATCATGACGAGTTGCTCATTCGATGTCGTCAGATAATTGATTTATCAACTGCCCCCGCAGCTCCTGCAGAGCAGTTGACACAGCTTGAGGAAAGGCAAGGCGACAATGTGGGCGAGTCCGATTTCCCCCATAGTCTTCCCAATAGGCAGTCCCTCTTTCCCATACCATCTCCGTCATCGACACAGGGTTCTATTGGGCTTGATCCAAACGCAAAAGATGACCCTTTCGACGGCATTCTCAGACGAACAATGGAAGCCCTGATGAAGAATCCCGAAATCCAGGCTCTCACAGGTAGTAATCAACAAGTGTACCTAAATCGCGGAGAAGACGGTGAAATTATCATCGAGATCCTGGAGGAAATACCTATGGATGGTTCAGGCGCTGGAGCTACCCGAAACGAAATGTCCCCCGAAGCGTATTCGCAGTTGACGGATGCTCTGCGGAAGGCGGGCTTTGATGTGAGGGACGATATGGAGGTAAACAGTGAGAGAGGTGAGATGCATGATGAGGAAGATGATGAACAATCTCATAACCTGAGAGATGAGTTGTGATATGGGTCTTCACTGCTTGCATAGTGGCTACTTCATGTGTTCACACTGGAAGTTACATGTGGATCATCTTAAACAGGATAGTGGAATCTGTGTGATTTGTGTCATGAAGGTTTGCAGTTGCCTGTATTATATTGTGCTGAAACTGTTTCCTGTCACTTTTGATTACTTCTAATTTCTACTGGGAGTACTGTTGCTTTCCACATAGTTGCCTACCTGTTGACTCCAGTTCTTGGTGCTGAGGCCAGTCAGAGTGTGGTTGGGTGGTAACTGGCTTATTCAGAACAGAGATGTGAACTGATTGGACCTAGCAACTGAGGGCTTAGTGCTATATTCCTTTGCATGGGTTCTGGTCTGGTCAAGGGGTTCAGAGGTGAGTCTGGGTTGGGAGATGGCTGGGTACAGTATGATGCTAGGACTGGGGTCAGGGTATTGTGCCAAAGGTGGTAGTGGCCCAACCAAAGTGGTAGGCAGTTTTGTTTTGTTTCATGTCTTTTCTGGTATACTAATAATAGACCTGAGTTAATTAAGGTGGGGATAAGTTGAAAAGAGAAACAAGATGATAAGGAAAGTCTACATATGTATATATGGGATACATTGGAGTGAGGTGAAAAATGCACATAGCAGGGTATGGTTGCCATAGTGGGTGGAGCACAAACTTGGAGGTTGGTACAGTCCAGCTTTGTGAAGGGTAGCATTCATGGAAGGTGGCAACAATGTCAGACATGTTATCCCATTCAGTTGTGAGTAACCATGATATTTTGTCATCAATGCCTTCATAAGCAGCCCAGTGGTCTAGGTACAAGAGCTGATACCAGTGGTGGCAGCAATCTACTTTAGAGTCAAGTATTTCAAATACCTTGCAATTGATATCATCATTGACAGTGACAGGAGATGTGAGGTTGATGATCATTTGGGAAGGGGTTGGCCACTGCAGGTTCTATTTGTGAAAATGGCAGACAGGATGAGTCAATGCATACATACTTAAACTGCCACCAAGCTTGCTGGCTCCTTGATTTTGCAGACTCTGATCTGCAACTTGAACTTGGGCCAGGAAAAGACCTGGTGGCCCTTGATGTCCTCTCCAAATGGCCTGATCATATCTCTGATCACAATGAAGACAACAAAGGAGTTACCCTCCCCCAATCCTCATTCATTAATCTCATTGATACCAACATCTGAAATGGTCGTGCTTTCCTCTACAAAGGGCCCCATTGTGTTATGCCACTGGTTTCACTGTTGTTCAATCTGGTTGCAGTGCTACATCTCATATTGTCCTTGCAGTGCTAGCATTTCAAATTTGTCACTGTAGTTGCTGTCACAGCCTTCAGGGTTGTATACATCACTATCCATCTCAAGCCTATGCATCTGATCACATAACCTGTCAAGCATAGCCCCTATTTCATGTTTCCCTTGATCATTTCCTTACTATGTATCATTGTGCATTCCTATGTTTACCTGTATGTTTCTGATCCCTTCTGACTCACATCACTGCCCCTCACTGCACACACCTGTGGTGCTGCAGTTGGTATGGCATCACCTGTGATACAATCATTTACTTGTCCTATTTTGTGCTCACTGTGCTGAATACTCAAGTTTGTCTGCCACTACTTAGAGGTATATAAATCCCAGTACAGTACTTTGTATTCTTTAGATTTTTGCTACCTTGCAATTACCCTTGCAAGCTTTCATGCTCTCTGATGTTTCCTTTTGCATGTTCTGCCTGTCTACCAATGGTGGAGCCTTTGTAAACAATTGGCATCATGTGATTCAAGCTGGGTAGCCATTAGGGGTTTTGACACATTCTGCCCACACAGTGAAGGACAAAACTGTTGCAATGTTTGTGATGTGTGCATTGTTGATGATGTATCTTGGGCTATTCTGCATGGGGAGTCATGATACATATACCATTGGAAAGTGGTGGCCCCCAGCTTTCCAGAACACTAAGGTATATATCACAGAAAGCCATACATGCTGAGATATACTGTATTCTTTCCAAAAGGTGCATTGCAACACTTTTGTCCCTGACTGGTGAAATAGTGATAAGTGACCTTGTGATGGTATTGAGGGTATGAGGGATGGGAAAATATGATTACATAATAAATCACATGATCTTGTAGATGATTTGTCAGTATGTAAACAATGATAAACATTGGACTTGTACCATTAACCCTCCCACTTTTACCCCAACTCATGAATCACCTCTCTGGCTCACATGGTCATTTTCTCAGGGAAACCATATCAAATACTGGTGACCACTACAGTACTGTCAGTATAACATGCTCTCAGGACCATTAATCCCTTAAAAAACCTGCTGTTAGTCATTCCCTGCAATGTTTCCCCACCCATGCCTGATGTGTTTTGGGACTAATCAGTACTTGGAAGGCTGAGAATGTTTTGGAGGTCAATCTGGCACTTCAGAACATGATGTACAAACTGGTCCCTTCTCAACCAATGCATTTCTAGCACAGGGACACTGGTATGGAAGTTGGGGTGAGACAAAACCTCCTTGTGCTCCAAGCACCATAAGAGTGTTCACTAGATCTTGCTCTGATCTGAACTGTAGATGACTGGGGAAGGGTTGTTTGGTCATATGTGACCAAAGTCAATATTCAGGGCTAGATGGAAGAACAGGATTCTGCTCCATGGCAGTTCAGTAGCATACCCTTCTAATGACACCCAGGGGTAAAGAGGATTTTGTCTTGCCCTGACTTCCATACCACTGTCCCTGTGCCAGAAATGCATTGGTTGAGAGGGGACTAGTTTGTCCATCATGTGCTGAAGTGCCAGATTGACCTCCAAAACATTCTCAGCCTTCCAAGTATTGATTAGTCCCAAAACACATCAGGCATGGGTGGGGAAACATTGCAGGGAATGACTAACAGCAAGTTTTTTAAGGGACTGATGGTTCTGAGAGTATGCTATACTAATGGTACTGTAGTGGCCACCAATATTTGATAAAAACTTCTTGAGAAAATGACCATGTGTGTCAGAGAGATGATTTCATGAGTTGGGGTAAAAGAGGGAGGGTTAATGGTACAAGTCCAATGTTTGTCATTGTTTACATACTGACAAATCATCTACAAGATCATGTGATTTATTATGTAATCATATTTTCCCATCCCTCATACCCTCAATACCATCACAAGGTCACTTTTCACTATTTCACCAGTCAGGGACAAAAGTGTTGCAATGCACCATTTGGAAAGAATACAGTATATCTCAGTGTTCTGGAAAGCTTGGAGTCACCCCTTTCCAATGGTATATGTATCATAACTCCCCATGCAGAATAGCCTGAGCTACATCATCAACAATGCACATGTCACAAATGTTGCAACAGTTTTGTCTGTCACTGTAGGTCACTTCTGTCTATTTTTGCCCACATCAGCAACCCCCCAAAAAACTGCCAGAATGTGACAGCTGACCACAGATTTTTTTATGCTGTCATAGTACCCTACAGTACCTCAGAGTCCCCAGAGACTCCCAGTCCTAGAGCATTTTCATGTCACAGTATCCTACAGTACTTCACATTACCCTAGGATCCCCAGAGTGTCCCAGCCCTACAGGAAATCACAGCACAGCATACCACAGTACTACACAACATTCTAGAGTGACCCCATCACACAGCAATTCCATTGGGATACATACATTTGGTAGTCCACCACACAACACAACACTATACTTTGGTAATCAGAACACTAATCAAACACTACAAAAATAATCCTAATCATGACTTCCAAACCTAAACCTAAACCTATCCTAATCTCATCCAAGTCTAATCCTAATCCAATGCTAATCTCACCCTCATCCTAATATACTGTTAGATTTGGCAAGTCGCTCATAGTCTTCATTCATTAATTGATGCTACTTTTCCTTACCATGGGAAAAACTTCCCATTTATGGGTCTACAAGACCACAATACTTAGTTGTTCTCGAGCGCTGACAATACAGCATGGTAACTTTTGTTTTATTGTCTTCAAATGTTTCATACATATAAATTAACGGTACAGGGACTTGCGCTATGACCATGCTTGTAGTTTCAACACCGGGTTCAACACCTGTGTCTCACCCCTTTTGTTTCATATAGCATACTTAACTCACTACTGTAGTAACACCGCCTCAGACATTTGCTGCTCATGCACTTGACTGAGATCTCATTATAGATTTCTGTTAGGTTATGAGCCCTGAGCTCTAATAGCCTATAAAATGTCTCACCTGAATTTTCGATACTCTCACTGTCGCTCATAGCCTTCGACCCCTATGTCAACCACCATTCCCTTCACTACAGACACTCTCCTGGGCAACATTCCGAAGCTCGACATCAAAGGCGCAAACTGGGCGATTTTCTCCCTTCACTTCCAGACCGCCATCAAAGCCAAGGAGCTGTGGGCTCACTTTGATGGCACCTCACCCTGCCCTGCCAGCACGACCTCCACTGATGAGGATGGATATGTGACTGTATTCCCCCCCGATGCTGATGAGCTTGCCAAATGGCAGAAAAGCGAGAGTATGGCGAAACATTTACTCACTCAACGAATTCTGGATTCCACCGCTCTGTGGGTATGCAGCCTCGGAAACATCGCAGGCATGTGGAGTGAAATCGTCCACAAGTACACTGAAAAGGGAGCTTATGCTCAGACAGATCTTTGAATGAAGTTCCTGGGCATGCAATGCCACATCAATGGTGATGTCCACCAATTCTTGGACAATCTGCATACAAAAAGGGATGAGTTAGCTGCCATTGGCATACAGATTGAAGAAAAGGATTATTGATCGACTATCATTCAATCCTTACCTAAATACCTTGCCAGCTTTGCATCCAGCCAACTCACAACTGCTTGTCTGTACAGTCCAACTCAAACCATTGACCCCGATATCCTTATTTCCCTCATTATTGAGGAGTCAGAACGACAAAACCGCAAAGAGATGTGGCACTCACGTCATAAACATAGGGCTCATGAAGGTGACAAAGCCTTGGCCATGACCCCCGGGAATTCCTCCAGTCGCAGGCGAGGAAATTGGAGAGATGGATGATGGGGAGGAAGTTCCACAGGCCCCGCTTGTCAGCATGGCCCTTGCTGGAACTGCGGATCGAGAGAGCATTTCAAATCTAGATGTCCAAAACTCGATAGGTCAGCCAATCATGGTGCGACAGATGATGTGAAAAGGGACTCAGCTAATGCAGCGATTTTCGACTCCAAGGAGGAAGGAGCGTTCTCCATCATCACTGTGAACAACCTCAACAACGATCTTCCTATCCCTG